TATAGCCCTATGTTTACCATACAAAGGAAGGCTCTTTTTCTTTTAAGATTTATTTATTTTCATCAGAAAGGCAGATATACAGAGTGAAAGATTTTCTGTCCCAAGTGGCCACCAATGGCTGAAGCTGTGCCCATCCAAAGCAAGGAGCTAGGAGCCTCCTCTGGGTCTCCTGCATGGGTATAGGGTACCAAGGCTTTAATCCATCCTCTACTGCCTTCCTCGGGCCACAAGCAGGGAGCTGGATGAGAAGTGGAGCAGCTAGGACAGGAGCACCCATAAGGAATCCCAGCGCATACGAGGTGAGGTTTTAGCCACTGAGCCATCATGCTGGGCACACAAAGGAAGTTTTATATCAGCTTCTGTATATTCTAACAGCAAATTGAATAAAATTGATAGTGCTGATTTGTTCATTATTCTTGAATAATATGTTTTTGTTTGCTGGGTGTCAGACACTGTCCTGGTGAGGAATGCAGAGATTAAAGAGAATCTTTGTGTAATAATTGTAGAGAATTTTGTGTTTTCTGTTTTCAGATAACAAAGTCTAGAGAGACAAAGAAATAAACACTTTATAATACAGTGTGCTACAATTGATGTAACTGAGCACAGAGAACAAAGGGAGGCTAGAAAAGGACTTAAATGTTCTCATGAATCGGGGAGAGAACAAGTGAAAGGAAGCCAATAAAGGTTTCTTAAAGAGGGTTATAGCTGAAATTGACCTTGATTTTAGAGCTTGGGAATAAATTTTAAAAGATTACAGGTGAGGAAACACGAAAATTTTCTACACATAACCTCAGTGTGTACGAAGATATAGTGAGTGGTATGGGAACATGTGGGTCTTGGGTATTGCACAATAGCCTTTTGTTGGCTAGGATCCCATATGGGTGCCAATTCTAGTCCCAGCTGCTACACTTCCCATCCAGCTCCCTGCTTGTGGCCTGAGAAGTCAGTTAAAGGATGCCTCAAAGCCTTGGGAACCTGCACCCATGCAGGAGGCCGGGAGGAGGCTCCTGACTCCTGCCTTTGGATTGGCTCGTCTTTGGCCATTGTGGCCATTTGTGGAATGATCCAGTGGACAGAAGATCTTTCTCTTTGTCTCTCCTTCTTTCTGTGTTTATCTGCTTTTCCAATTTAAGATAAATAAATAAAAAGAAGAACATGCAGGTCTTGGGAGAGATTAGAAATCATTAAGGTGACTAGGCGTGAACATCTGCTTGGGCATGCTGTGGAAAGCAGGGCCTGGATGATGAAGGGCCCTGGTCATTTTGGTGAGGTAGGGTTTCATTGTGAGGATGGTGGGGAGCTGTTAAATGGCGTGATGGAGGAGAGGGATGTGATTCGGTCTGTATTTGGTATCAAGCTGTCTGAAAGGTTTGTGGGAGTAGAACTGACAGGCTTCTGCTGACCTTCCCTTCTCCTGTCCAATACCCATAGTTCAGGAGGAAGGTAAAGACAAGGAGTAGAAAAAGAAAATTGTATTTTTTGTAGTACTGAGAGGCAGCCTGCAAAAAAATTCAAGGACATTCCCAGACAATGAAACCACATTATTAATTATGGAAAAGGGGTACACTTGTGCATCGTTAGCCTCAACTTGTGTAGTTCTTAGATTAAGCAAAATGTCATATTAACAGATGGTCTATAAAGTGTAATGATTTTTGTTACTTTGGTTGATTTTTAAAAAGATTTATTTATTTTTATTGGAAAGGCAGATTTAGAAAGTAGTGACAGAGAAAAAGCTTTCATCTGTTGATTCACTCCCCGAGTGGTGACACGGGCTGGAGCTGAGCAGATCCGAAGCCAGGAGCTTCTTCCAGGTCTCCCACATGGGTGCCGTGTCCTAAGGACTTGAGCCATCTTCTTTTCCTTTTCCAAATTGTACTCATGGAGCTGGGTCTGAAGTGGAGCAGCTGGGACATGAACTGGTTCCCATATGGGATGCTGGTACTACATGCAGAGGATTAGCTTGCTGTAACAGTGCTCGTCCTGAAAAATGGACATTTTTTGAATAATAGCTTGTATGTCTTTATTTCCCTTCTTAGAAATCTGTTTGGCAGTATGAGGTTCACCATTTCTACATAGTAACAATCAGAACAATTGTTCATATTTTGCCTAAGTCATTTCTGTAGTCAGCCTAGCCCTGTAGGCAACTGAGTTGATAACCACTGTTAACATTTATTAAGGTCTGGGGCCAGTGTTGTGGTATAGCGGCAAAGCTGCTGCCTGCAATGCCTATTTTCCTTGTGTCCCAGCTGTTTCACTTCCAGTTCAGCTCTCTATAATGTGTCTGGGAAAACAGTGGAAGCCTCTGGGCCCCAGCACCTGTATGAGAGATTGAAGTAAAGTTCAAGCTCCTGGCTCAGGCCCTGCCTGGTATAGCCTAGCACTGCCTGTTTTGTGCATCTAGGGAATGAACCAACAGATGGAAGATCTATTTTTTTTATGCTTTCTCTATTAACTCTGCATTTCAAACAAATAAATAAGTCTTTATTTAAAAAAAAAAAAAAAGCTAGGCCTGGTGCAGTAGCCTGACTTGTTTAAGTCCTTGCCTTGCATGCACCAGGGCCCTATATGGGTACTGGTTTTCCAAATTGTACTCATGTCCCAGCAGCCCTGTTTCCCATCCATTTCCCCGCCTGTGACTGGGAAAGCAGTTGAGGACAGTCCAAAGCCTTGGGGCTAAGAGGCTCCTAGCTCCTGGCTCCAGATTGGCACAGTTCTGGCTGATGTGGCTGCTTGGGGAATAAATCATTGGACGGAAGATCTTCCTCTTTGTCTTGCCTCCTCTCTGAATATCTGACTTTCCAATTTAAAAAAAAAAAAATAGGGAGCCCAGCGTGGTAGCCTAGTGGCTAGGGTCCTTGCCTTGCATGCTCCAGGATCCCATATGGGTGCCAGTTCTAGTTCCAGCTGCTCTACTTCCTTTCCAGCTCCCTGCTTGTGGCCTGGGAAAGCTGTAGAGTCTGGCTCGAGGCATTGGGATTCTGTACCCATGTGGGAGACCCTGAAGAAGCTCCTGGCTCCTAGCTTGGATCTGCTCAGCTGTTGTGGCCACTTGGGGTATGAACTAGCAGATGGAAGGTTTTTCTGCCTTTCTGTTCTTTATTTCCAATAAAAATAAATAAATCTTTTGGTGGAAAAAAACCTGCCAGGATTAAGGCAGTTTTACTGAAATTTTTGCAGGAAAAATTACAGATAAGGATTAAAATTTAGAAAATAGATGCTAGCTCATTAATATTAATAACTGCTACCTGCTGAATATCTCATGTGACCTCATTTCATTCTGCAAACACAACAGCGTTTGCTTTTACTATTCTGTGGTTGAGTAATCATTAGAGAAGGTAAGATATAAATTAGTGACATCGCTGTCTCCTAATTTCAAGACCCAGAATTCTGTCCTTTAGCAGATTACCTTTTCTAATTCAGCTGTTTGTACAGAAGTAAAATTTAGCTGTTTAAGCTATAAGCCAGAATTTGTTTCAGAAGTTTGAAAGTGATATAAATAAAATTTGGTTTGGCAGTTTTAGATAACTGCTTATGTGTGTGTATGTATAGCAACCTTTCGTAAAATTCTCTCCTATTAATATTATGTTATTAATACACCATCTTTTGATAAAGCTGGCTTGAAAAGTCGTAGTCATGTCATTATAACTATAAGTCATTTTTAGGTATTACAAGTTCAGTCGGCCTCGGCACGATGGCTCAATGGCTAAATCTTCACCTTGTAAGCACCAGAATCTCATTTGGGTGCTGGTTCAGTTCTTGCCCTGGCTGTTCCACCTCCCATCCAGCTCCTGCTTGTGTCCTGGGAAAACAGTGGAGGTTGGCCCAAAGCCTTGGAACACTGCACCCACATGGGATACCCAGAGGAGACTCCTGGCTTCTGATTGGTTGTGATCATTTGGGGTTTGAACCTGTGGACAGAAGATCTTTCTGTCTCTCTCCTGTCTGTAAATCTGAATTGCCTTTCCAAAAAAATAATAGTAGTAATAATAAATAAACCTTTTTTTAAAAAAGCAGAAATTCAATCAGTGTCAATGGCGTGCTGTAGTGGGTAAAGCTGCCACCTGTGCACTAACATGTGGGTGCTAGTTTGTGTCCTGGCTATTAAACTTTTGATCTAGCTCTTGATCTAGCTCCCTGCTGGTGGCCTGGGAAAATAGTGTAAAATGTCCCAACTGTTTGGACCCTTGGCACCCTTGTGGGAGACCTGGATGAAGTTCCTGGGGCGTGACCTAGTAGATGGAAGGCCAAGATGTCTGTCTCTTGTTCTTTATTTCTGTGTAACTCTGTCTTTTCAAAACAAAACAAAACAAAACAAAACAAAACAAAAAACAGTCGAAGAGCCTGAGTATTTCTGAAAGGCAAGGTAAAATTGGTAAAGATTATTTTTCTAGGATTGGTAATGTTCAGTGTACAAAAGGGGTAACAGACTTTGTTTTCCATAGAGATTAAATGGTTTTTCCTCAAATTTTTGAGGGATAGTCCAACTTCATTATTTCAAAAGTTTTATGCATTTGGTTGTTCTGTACATGTGGCTATGCTCACACTGCTGATCGTGAGATTATTAGGGAACTTTGCTTTTGGGGAGGAGCACCACTGTAAGAAATGGGGTCAATAATAAAACTTTTATTCATAATTCAAAACCCATTGTTATTCATGAGAAAACAGAAGAATCAGTGTTCCAATGGAATCTTATTTCTAGTTGACATGTCTTTAGTGACAGCAACAGGGCAAAATTTACGTGTTCATTGACACAGGTATTAGGCATATGATAAAGAAAGGAGCACATGGAGAGAGAAATACACGTGGCGAGATGCCATCACTGAGTTGCCTGTGCCTGCTTCGGTTTTCCTTTTCCATGTGCTATCCAGATGCACGGGATGCTTTCTGAGACTGGTTTACTAAAATGGGATAAGGGACAGATTTGATTCATTAAGCAATTTTTATACTTTATTTTAATCACTAGTAGATTGTGACTTTTTACTTTATTTTTCTTCCCTTAGAACCTGTCAGGTGAAGGTGTATTTTTGCTTTTTATTTTGGCTAGAAGCAAATTTATTTTTAAAGGAAGTATGTCTCCTCTGAAGATACACGGTCCTATCAGAATTCGAAGTATGCAAACTGGAATTACAAAATGGAAAGAAGGATCCTTTGAGATTGTGGAGAAAGAGAATAAAATCAGCCTAATAGTTCACTACAACACTGGAGGAATCCCAAGAACATTTCAGGTATTACCAAGTTTCAATCTGGAATAGATTTTGAAGAGAATTGTCTAGTAAATAGCGGTTCTTACTGTTAGCCTCATAACAGCCCTCCTAATTAATATATCTTACTTATTATTTCTAGAATATGAGTAGTTTTATAATGTTGTAGCATTGTTGACAGTGTATGATAAAGAGTTGGAAGAGTCACTACTATTGAAAAGAAAACTATAGGGGGGAGTCACTAAGTAGAATTTGAATTTGCATATCAGCTATTTTAAAAACAATGTTAGAATAACTTTTTTTAGCATTTGTAATGCATTATTATTTAATATTAGCTTTTAATGGAATTTGTTAATATCTTTTTTGCTGGTTTTCTGCTGTTAGTTTCAAGGATTTAAAAAAAATTATTAATATAAGTAAAGAATATTTATATCTTCTAAAAGCCAGTGAGACTGCTAATTACTTATCTTAATAAAAAAAAGGGTTTTCAGACAGAAAATTCGGTTTTTGTTGTTGTTAATTGTTTTAATTCTCAGCTCACATAGGCACTGAATAGGTATTCAGATATTCAGGAAATGTCAGTCCTAAGGAGCATGATGAGCATGCCACAGTGCCAATCAGCTCGCTTCTGGATCAGGTCACAATCAGTGTTAATTTGTCAAACACCCACATATAACTGTAAGGGTTACTGTGTTAAGGGCTAAGAAATCAAACTTAACAGTAACCAAATGCAGTGTCAGCTGTAAACATATTTCAGAGAAACCGAGGCAAGATAAATAGGCGTTGGAGAGTCAATGCCAAGAGGATAAGCTGAAGAACTAGGTAGGAACCAGACCCTTTAAATGTTTTCAAGATTTATTGAGGTGGTGGTGGTGATGGTGGAGAGGGAGAGAGAGAGAAAGAGAGAGAGATGTCTTCCATCCACTGGTTCACTCCCCAAAGGCCACAACAGCCACAGCTGGGCTGATCCCAAGCTAGGAGCCAGAGGCTTCTTCCAGGCCTCCCACATGGGTGCAGGGGCTCAAGCACTTGAGCCATCGTCCACTGCTTTTCCAGATACATGTCAGGGAATTGGAGCAGTGAATGGGGTGCTGGCACCACAGGCGGTGGCTTCACGCACTGCACCACACCACCAGCACCCAAACCAAATCTTGAATTTTTTCAATTTATTGTAAGGGGTCTTATGTTCTAAGGAGCAAATATCTCAAATTCATATTCCTTTGGAGACTAAGCAGATGGTTTTATTTCAAAATATAGTAGGGAAATGAGGGCATCTAAGAGATTAAGAATTTATATGGGAAATGAAAGTTCTGAAGGAAGAAAGAAGAAAGATTTGAAAAGATTTCAAGAAGACTTAACCCATTAAATTTAGGAGGTGAAGGAGAAAAGAATTAAGAGTCCTAATTTTTTCATGCATGGTCATTCCTTTCATGTCCTCTGTCAATGTCAGTAGAGGGAAAGGAGCAGTGTGTGAGGATTGGGAAAGTTGCGTTGTCTGAGATGTCAGACCTTCAGAGGGTAAGTAGGACTGCAGCTTTAACAGAGAAGCCGAAGACTTAGGATAGAGGAGTTGGACTCCTTACTATGTGGGTGCTTGCAAAAATCACGGAGGCTAGCAGGTGACCAAGTGACCAAGTTCAAGATTATTGTTATTAGTTCATGAATACGGGTTTTAATATTTGATTTTTTTTAAGTGGTAAACCAAACAGTTTTGTCTTTTGTGTGTGTGTGTGTGTGTGTGTGTGTGTGTGTGTGTGTGTGTGTGTGTGAATGTTTTACTAGAGTTTCTTCTCGAGGACATAAATCTAGAAGCTTCCTTGGAGCTACAAAAATGTCACTTAAAATTTGGATATAAATTATAAACTTTTTCATTCCCATGTATAAATGGAAAGAGATTGCTTCTTCCTAATTTTAGAAAAAGTGTAACTATGTTATTACTTCATTACTCTGTTTAGAAATTGTGTCTCAGCAAAGGGCACCTTTAGAAACCTAAGTGCATGCCTGCCAAGGGAGGGAAATAAGGAATAAGGCTGCCAGACTTTATTAAAGTAATTACATGATTTTATTTAGTCTTTAAAAATTTCATTCAAGGACCCAGCGTGTAGCCTAACGGCTAAAGTCCTCACCTTGCACACGCCAGGATCCCATGTGGGTGCTGGCTGTAATCCCAACAGCCCCACTTCCCATTGACTCCTTGCTTGTGGCCTGGGAAAGCAGTCCAGGACAGCCTAGGACCTTGAAACCGTGCACCTGTGTGGGAGACCTGGAGGAACCTCCTGGCTCCTGGCTTCAGATTGGCTCAGCTCTGGCCTTTGTGGCCACTTGGGGAGTGAAGCAGTGGATGAAAGAACTTCTCTGTGTCTCTTCCTCTGTGTATATCTGACTTTCCAATTAAAAAAGCAAATAATAAATCTTTTTAAAAATTTCATTCAAGATAAATTGAAAATTATTGCTTTTTTAACACATTTTTGAAATCTCAGAGAAGCTAAAATGAGTTACCAGTTGTGAGGAAAAGTATCATTAAAATAACAGTTTTTTGATGTGCTCATGGTCTTTGTAACTTAGTGAAAGCTAAATGAGTCTGCTTAGACAGTTGCAAAAGGAACATATTCTTATACTGGGAAAGTTAAATTTTTATATTTTGTTGGGAGTTTTAAATTATTTCCTGAATTGCAACTTGGGTTATTAATATATCCTTTTACATTGCAGCCATCTAAACAGTTTTGTCAGTATTCTAGCAGCTATTGCCTTTAAAAGGAAATGGTACACAATTGCTAATTCATTAGTTTTTATTTTTTGTAACTTTATAACTAGATTTGAAAATGTAGAATTCCCTACCATAAAATAAAGAATGCTAGGATTACTCTATGAAATGGTTTTTAATAGGATGTGTTTGTGTCTTACCAGGCAAATCTTTGATATAAATGTTTCAAGAAATCACTTCTCTTGATTGAAAAAGAAATGACTAGAAAAAATGAGAAATGTAACTTAGAAAATGTAAACTTTAGTATTCATTACACAACTTAACTGTGTTACGTGTTTTTCATAAGAGACTCTTGCTTTTGTCTTGCTTAGCTAAGTCATAACATTAAAAATGTGGTGCTGCGACCCAGTGGAGCAAAACAAAGTCGCCTGATGTTAACTCTTCAAGATAACAGCTTCTTGTCCATTGACAAAGTACCAAGTAAGGATGCAGAGGAGATGAGGTTGTTTCTAGATGCAGTTCATCAAAACAGACTTCATGCAGGTGAGCACTAATCATCCAAGCTGTTGACATTAGAACAATTTTTTTTTAAAGATTTACTTTAACTATTTGAAAAGTTGATCAGTAGAGAAAGAGAAGAAATATATTCATTCCATCTGCTGGTTCACTCCCCAAATGCTTGAAGCCAGGCCAAAACCAGGAACCCAGACCCCCATCTGGGTTTCCCATATCTTCTGCCATTTTCCTGAACAGATGGGAACAGGGTCGGGTGTGGATCAGCTAAGACTTGACCAGAACTCTTGCTAGCATCCAAGGTAGAGGCTAACATGAGCAATTTTCAAAGAATGAGAACAAAGATAGAAATATGACAGAACACATAAGGTACCTTTGTTGAGGTGCCTGGCTGCACTGCTCTGGTTTGGCTCCTGACTCCAAGTTTCTGCTAATGGGTTCCCTTGGGAGACAATGCTGATGGCTCAAGTGAAGGATTCCTACCAGCTTTGTGGGATACCTAGAATTAATTCCTGTCACCCAGCTTTGGTGAGATGCATCTGTGGCCACTACAGGAATTTAAAGAGTGAACCAGTGATTTGGAGCACATTCATGCTGTCCCTCCCTCCATCTCTCTCGACTGTTATTGCTTAGGGAATAAAGTTAACACCTGCAGCACTGGCAACTCAAATGGGCAATGGTTTGCATCCTAGTTGTTCCACATCTTATTTAGCTTCCTGCTAATGGCCTTGCCAAAGCAAGGGGACCCTTCTGCCCACATACATGGTAGACTTAGAAAACACTCTCGACTTCGGCTTGGCCAGGACCTGACCTTTGCTGCCATCCGGGGAGTAGATGGAACATCCCTCTCTCTTTCTGTAACTCTGACTTTCAAATAAATAAATAAGTCTCCCCCCCCCCCAAAAAAAAAACCAGAAAGAAAACAATAACTAGACTATAGATGATATTCCAATAAATACTGATTCAAACATTCTTAGCAGAGTACAAATAAACTGAGTTCAACAGCACAAAAAAATGAGTACATGCACTACAACCAAGTAGGATTTATTTCTGGGATATAAGATGGTTCAGTATAAAAGCATTTGACAGAATTCAACAAACGAGTAAAATCAATTCAGCATAATAAAAGCCGTAGTTAATGTCATACCCAAGTGTTGCAGGACAATTCACGTGAAAATACTAAAAACTAGGCCAAGTGCGATAGCCTAGTAGCTAAATCCTCACTGGGATCCCATATGGATGTGTCCTAGCTGCTCCGCTTCCCATCCAGCTCCCTGCTTGTGACCTGGGAAAGCAGTTGAGGATGGCCCAAGGCTTTGGAACCCTGCACTCACATGGGAGACCTGGAGGAAGCTCCTGGCTCCTGGCTTCGGATGGGCTCAGCTCCAGCTGTTGCAGCCACTTGGGGGGGAGTGAACCAGCAGAAGAAAGATCTTTCTCTCTATCTCCTTCTCTCTGTAGATTTGCCTTTCCAATGAAAATAAATAAATCTTTTAAAAAAAGAAAAGACTAAAAGCCACCTAAATTCTTATCCCACACCAAAGAATATTTATGTGGACAATGAATTTTCAGTGTGCAAACACAGGATTTATTTATTTAAAAAAATTTTTTTTAAATTTGTATTTTAAATTTTGAATTTTATGGTACAATTCTGCAGAGCCTGGAATTGCCCCCACCCAAAACGAAAGGTTTATTAAAGATGGAAGCCTCCTGCATAGCATTAGGAGTGGGGAACCAAGGGCAGAAAGACCCAAGAAGATGGTGGAAGTGATGTCTTTAGTAGCAGAACAATGGTTTACAGTGAACACAAAAGGACAAAACCTATCAGGAACAAGCATTTTGTAAACTTTAGAGACTCTTCCTTCTCTCATTCCAGCAGAGGTGACCCTGACTACTCATTAACCCATCTCACTGTCACATCATGAATGAAAAACTGACAACGTTTCCTCTAAGACCAGTAATAGTACAGGGTGTCTGCTCTTGCCAGGCATCTTGAAGTGTTAGCCAGAGCAGTTAGGCAATCAGGAACACCTGCACCCAGGGGCGTTTACTAGCTGTGGCACAACACTAGCCCCGGGTCACTTGACCCCATATGTAGAAAACTAGAGAATTGGACTGACAAAAAAGGAGGAGGGTTTATATTACAATTGAGAGAAGCTACTTTGTTAGATAAACTTAAGTACTTCTATATAATAATTGAGGTTTTGTTTTTTGTATAAAATTTTTAAAGTTTTATTTATTTATTTAAAAAGCAGAATTAGAGAAGGATTGTCCATCTTCTAGTTATAAAACTTCTGTGGTTGTCTGGCATTTAGCACCTATGTATTATGTATCCATGACTTGAAATTTGGGCTATTCTGGGGTTTTAGAATTTGTCAGGGACTTTGTTTACGAGCAGGCACTTTTATAAGCGTAAGTTTAATAATGTATAGGCAAAAATTTTGCACCACGTATCTAAGGCTATGGACATACCGAAACACAGACAGCTGGCAAGTATGGGAAGTAATATCTAATACCTGGTCCAGCAAAGCCAGCACCATCTCAGAATAATCAAGACTATTCAAATAACACCCTCAGGACGTTTCTCCTCATTGTGTTCCTTAGGATAAAACCAGGGAACCATCTGTCCCCTGACACTGAAGTGATCTAGTAGCACAGAGTGGCACAACAGCTCTCTCCTTTCCCGCAGTTATAGGAGGGAGGGCAGGGTCTTTCCTCATCACCTCCCCCTGGATTCCTTGCCATCCCACCCAAAGACCTGCATCAGTCTACAGTTGCCTCAACTATGTAACAAATATTTAAGAATAAATTGAAACTAAAATTAAAAAAATCAATAAGGTACGTTAAAAAGTTTCTGGAAAGTGGAATTAAAATGCAAGATTATCTGGTACAAAATTTTGAAGTCTGTAAATAGTGTTGCATGATACACACTTGGCCATGAACTTTTTGAAGATCCCCTCATTTCTGTTATTGTTTTGTTCTATCATATTGAGCCACTGCCTTAAAAAAATTGATATGTGCAAGAAAAGCATGTCTTTAAAAATAGTAAATAAAAAGCACAGTAGACTGGGGACTCAATGTGAACAGAATGGCACAATGCAAAACCCTGGGCTTAAAAAGCTCTGAGTGCGAAATTTAGCTTTGCTTGTTGGTTTTGAGCAAGTCACTTCATGTCTGGATTTCAGTTTCTTTATCCCTAAAATAAAGTTTACGCCCTTGATTTCAGGGCTTTTTTTTTTTTTTCTTTAGCTTAAAAGCTCCTTTATTTATTTAAAGGAGTTATAGAGAGAGATTGAGACGGGGAGACAGAGATCTTTTATCTGCTAGCACTCTACCAGGTGGCTGCAGTGACCAGGGCTGGCCCAGACTGAAGCTAGAAACCAGGAGCTTCTTCCAGTTCTCCCATGTGAATACTGGAGGCCCAAACACTTGAAACATTTTTTGTTGCTTCTCTAGGCCATTAGCAGTTGGAGCAGAAGTGCAGTTGCTGGGACACAAGCTGGTACCCATATAGCATACCAGTGTAGATGACAACAGCTTTCTGTACTATGTTACATCATGTGCCTCCAGGGCTTTTTTAAGAGTAACTGCTTACTTTTCCAAATGTTGAGTTCAGTTCAGGGCCTCTTCCCTGCTCTGTTAATTAAACTTTGGGACGTTGAAAGGGGCTAGGAGATAGAATTGGATAGAGAATACCATTGTATTCATTTATTTCCCAGCCTACAATGCAAAAAAAAAAAAAAAAAAAAAAGAGTAAGCTCTTACTGGGGCCGGTATGGTGGATCAACAGGCTAATCTTCTACCTGCTAAAATCAGCATTCCATATGGGCACTAGTTTGCGTCCTGGCATACTCCATTTCCAATCCAGTTCCCTGCTTGTAGCCTGGGAAAGCAATGGAGGATGACTCAAATTCTGGGTGCCTGCACTCATGTGGAAGACCTAGAAGAAGCCCCTGATTCTTAATCAGATCAGCTCCTGCCACTGTAGCTATTTAGGAAGTGAACCAGCAGATGGAAGGTCTTAAAAGAAAAATCAAGTGCTCATGAATGTAGGCATTTATGTTACTAGAGTAGCTATTTATGTGTTTGGCTCTGATTTTATGATCTTGGGCAAGTTGCTTAAATCGTTTGGGCTTAATTTCCTTAGTTCGCCAAAGTGTTGTGATGATATATGATGTGTGATATGATGTTTTATGCTTTACAGGGTGTAAGATAAGGAATATGACAGTAACAAACAATGGTAATCTATGAGCAAGACAATCAGCTGACCATTTAGGGGAAGGCAATGAAACTAGTTCCTTACCTCACAGCCTTTTTCTAAATACATTTCTCACTGATCATAGATTTGGGTATTAATACAATGATAGAAACACTGTTAAGGGAATGAATTTTAATGTAATCTCTGGCTGGAAAAGACATTCTTCCATAAAAGTTAACATTCATTAAAGGAGAAATCTGATCATTCATGTAAAAAATTGAAATAACTATGGCAATTAAAAATGGACAAAGGAAGAAAATATTGGTCAGCATGACAATTAATATTGCTAATACAGAAAGATCTGTTTTTGTAAATCAGTAAGAAATGTACAACCCCATAGACAAGTGAACAAAACTGAATATAGGAGATTTAGGGAAAAAAATAGATGTCCCTTAGATAGCAAAAATTCTCAACACACTTAAGCTCTGAATTACATGCTTAACATCCCTAAACAAAATCCAAAATCCAAAATACTCCAAAATTTGAAAACTGTTGGATGCTGACATGATGGCACAAATGGCAAATCCTTACCTGACCTCATGTAACGGGTTGTAGTCAACACACGCACACTAAACATTTTATATGAAATGCTCCCTGGATAAATGTATGACATCTGTGAGAGAGAGTGCGGGTTGGGGATGGAACATGAATGGAATTTGTATCTAGGTTTGGGTTCTGTCTCATTCTATGTATAGAAACATTTCAGAATCTGAAAAACTATGAGATCGAACGTTGTGGTGCCAAAAAGATTTCAAATAAGGCACACTCAATCTGTCACATTGAGAAGAGTGTTGACAGAAAACAAAATATTCTCACTATTTTGTAAGCACTTAGAGATTATTTGAGAGGATTATCTATTAAAGTTAATTTTGTTTAAGATGTCATGTCCTTTGCTAGATGTTTGGCACAGCAGGTGTTTTCCACTTGGGAAGCACATGTCCTTCACCAGAGTGCCTGTTTCAATCCTGGTTCCTCTGCTGCTTCCCAGTGTGCACGTCAGCAGGAAAAAGAATCTAAAGGAGAGACAAGAATTTGAATGTGGCATTCAAATATGAGATATCAATGTCCTAAGTAGATTCTTAACTGTTACATCTAATGACTGCCATTGTTTGCAATTTTTTTTGACAATTTTTTTTATTATATTTTTGACAATCTTTACATAGTTAATTGGGGTAAAAAGGTTCAAGAGCTATAGGAAAGTGGGTAAGACTATTATTTCCATATTGTTTCCTTCATGTTTAAAGGGGGGTATTAAGGGAGAAGACCCACCCAATTTCCCACCCTCCCCAGGTCCCGCATGTAAGGTATGCTCCAAGGTTCTTGCTCAAGTGGTTTTGATAGTTCACCAGTTAGAAATTGCTGCCAATCTTGCCACTCCAAGCACGATGAGGTCTTTGAAGAATCCACTGATTGGCATAGACCATCATAGAGTCTCCGTTTGCCTGTATTTCGCTGCCAACATATAGCTGAGATGGTTGATTGACCTGTTCTGTCTTCTCTCTTTTCTTGGTTAGGGTTCCGAGTCTAGCATTTTGACTGGGGAAATCCCCAAAGAAACTTTGTCTGAGGTGTTCCCAGACCTGATTCTTGTATGTGCTAGTGAGCACAGGGCCCAGCACAGTCCATTCCCACAATCAGCTGGTGGTTGCAATTGCTGGGTTGGTTCTATTTCCAGCTCTGTCTTCCACTGGGACCAGTGGGTGTTGCAGTCCAGCCTGGTGCTGCCCAGCACACACTCAGCCCTCGCATAAACACGTGGGCGCTGCAGCCTAGTTGGAGCAACCCACAATAACCCCCACCAGGCCCGCCCCTTGCCCTAGTTCCCATGCTTGCCAGTATGTACAGCAGACTAGCCCAGTCTGTCCCACATCCCATTCAGCTCTCATACATGTCAATGGGCATTGAAGCCTAGTTCAACCCAACCAGCTCCACTATCCAGCCCACACATTCCAGATGATCATCAGGAAATTGCTAACCAAGTTAATGTGTACTTATAAAATGCTTTCTGAATGTAAATTAACATTTATACAATATCTTGGATGTTTTTGAGTTAATGTTGATTTCTTTGCAGTGGAAGACATATATTCTATGTGATAAACTTCTACTAGTAGAGAATGCTTGAAGAGTGTATGTTATGGACTTGGCATAGTAGCCTAGTGTCTAAAGTCCTCTCCTTGCATGGGCTGGGATTCCATATGAATGCCATTTCATGTCCTGGCTGCTCAGCTTCATTCCAGCTTCCTGCTTGTAGCCTGGGAAAGCAATTGAAGACAGCCCAAAGCCTTGGGACCCTGCATCTTCATGAGAGACTCAGAAGAGCTCCTGGCTTTGGATCGACTTAGCTCCAGCCATTGCAGCCACTTAGGGAGTGAACCAGTGGATGGAAGATCTTTCACTCTGTATCTCCGTCTCTGAGAATTTTTCCCAATAAAAAAAATAAATCTTTTTTTTAAAAAAAGTGTTATTATGGTCTCAGCACGATAGTGTAGTGGTTAAAATCCCTTGCCTTCCATGCGCCAGGATCTCCTGTGAGCTACAGTTCTAATCCTGGCAGCCCTGCTTCCCATCCAGCTCACTGCTTGTGGCCTGGGAAAGCAGTCGAGGACGGCCCAAAGCCTTGGAACCCTGCACTCGCGTGGGAGACCTGGGACCTGGCTGCTGGCTTCGGATTGGCTCGCCTCCAGCCATTGTGGCCTCTTGGGGAGTGAACAATCAGATGGAAGATCTTCCTCTCTATCTCTCTTCTCTGTATATCTGCCTTTCCAATTAAAAAAAAAGGGGGGGTTATTAGAGGCATACCTGTCACTTTCTACGTGTTTTCTTGGCATCTAGTGTCACTAGGTATTTATATAGTGTTAATTATCAAGTATTTGTATGGGAAACTAACATTTTTTCTTTGTAGATTTTATCGTATTTCATGTTTTTTAAAAAAAAGATTCATTTATAATTATTTTTTTTATTGCAAAGTCAGATATACAGAGAGGAAGAGAGACAGAGAGGAAGATCTTCCATCCAGTGATTCACTCCCCAAGTGACTGCAGTGGCCAGTGCTGCGCCCATCCGAAGCCAGGAGCCAGGAGCTCTTCCAGGTCTCCCACACAGGTGCAGGGTCCCAAGGCTTTTGCCGTCCTCATCTGCTTTCCCAGGCCACAAACAGGGAGCTGGTTGGGAAGCATGTCTGCCGGGATTAGAACTGGCGCCCGTATGGGATGCCAATGCATTCAAGGTGAGTACTTTAGCCACTAGGCCACGCCGCCTGACCCGCTATTTCATGTTCCTGCCAGTTTGTTTTTTTTGTTTGTTTTGCCCGAGATTTTTTTTTTAAGTTCTCTTTGACCTTCCTTGTTTTTTGTTTTTTGTTTTAAGATTTATTTATTTTTATTACAAAGTCAGATATACAGAGAGGAGGAGAGACAGAGAGGAAGATCTTCCGTCCGTTGATTCACTCCCCAAGTGAGCTCAATGGCCGGTGCTGTGCCAATCCGAAACCAGGAGCCAGGAACTTCCTCCAGGTCTCCCATGCGAGTGCAGGGTCCCAAAGCTTTTTGGGCTGTCCTCGACTGCCTTCCCAGGCCACATGCAGGGGGCTGGATGGGAAGTGGAGCTGCTGGGATTAAAACCGGTGCCCATATGGGATCCCAGCGTGTTCAAGGCGAGGACTTTAGCCACTAGGCCACGCTGCCAGGCCCAGCTCTACGTTTTCAATACTGTACTATATGTTATTTGAGAAAGAGTTGATGGGCAGTTTGATGTGTAACTGGTTTCTGTTTTTGTTACCAGCCATTAAACCTTCTCAGGGATCTGGGAGTTTTGGAGCCATCCTGGGTAGCAGAGCCTCACAGAAGGAGACGATCAGACAACTTTCTTACTCAGATACCCAGGTTTGTTTGTGTTTTTTAGCATTTCAAAAAATGGTAACTATGAAAATTCTTGTAAGATAATTCCAAGAAATAGAGTTTAGATGGTAATGCTTGACAGTTCTAGTACTGCCACAAGGATGTTTACCAAATATTTTACATTTATTGTTGTAATTTTAAATAACTGGATTTGTGAATTTTTGAGAATTTATCACACACTTGAAGGTAAATTTATGCTCTTCTAAAGCACTCAGTTAGATGGCCTTGGAAATTTCAGATTTCCTTTGCTGATTGTAATTCTGTCATAAGAAAGTCATTGAACATCTTGAGTAGAAGAATCTTGTAGGTCTTACCATATATATGAAGCTCAACTGGCAAAATGTTGATCTGAAGCATTGTTTGCTAACATGTTTACATCTCTGAATGCTCTTGCTGTGTCAGTAGAGTAAATTTTCTATCTCAATTTGCTTGTCCTGTCATTTCAAAATATTCTAGAAAATGGAATTTAAAAATAAATTCATTTTAATGCCAATAACATCTTTGAAATCCATACACAGTTGTTTCATAAATATACATTTTCCACAATATTTTTTAAACTGTTCAAATTTAGATTTTTCAAAGCTATTTGTATTGTTTCAAGAGTATTGACTAATGAGTACAAATAGGTTGATGATAGCAACCAGTGTCTGCAAGGGTCAGTTCTTCTGTTCTTCTTCTCTCTCTCTCTCTCTTTTTTTTTTTATTTTTTTATTTTTGTTTTGTTGTTGTTGTTAATTTATTTTTGTTGGAAAGGCAGATTTTCAGGGAGGGAAGAGAAAGGATTTGCATCTACTGATTTACTGCCCAAATGGCCACAGCAGCCAGAGTTGACACAGTCCAAAACCAGGAGCTTCTTCTGAATCTCCTGCATGGATGCAAGGGCCCAAGCATTTGAGCCATCCTCCTCTGCTTTCACAGGTGATAAACAAGGAGCTGGGTGAGAATTAGATCAGCCTGGACACAAACAGGCACACGTATGTGCTGCCAGTGCTAGCAGAGAGAGGATTAGCCAGTTAAACCATCATGCCAGGCCCCTCCCCCGTCCCCCAAGGGTCAGTTCTTATGGTTATCACTAGAACCATGTGTTTGTCATTTTAAGTTAATAAATAAAAGCCTACTCTTGCCTTCTGCCTCCAAGTATGTGATGAAATTTTTGTGTTTATAAGAATGCTATAGGAAAGGATCAAATCCATTTTCTCATGCCAATGACTGTGTGTTAGAGTTACCTGGAATGCTTTGAAAAACAATACTTAAAAATTGACCTCCCCCCAGACTGATGAGGCTAGAACCTGTAAAATATGTGTCTCCAGTTAACATTTTTTAAAGTTGTTCCCATGACAATCAGCTGCTCTGAAAGTATTCCAGTTTGGGCCAGTGCTATGGTGGAATCAGCTAAGCTGCTTGTGGCACCCACACTATATCCTGTATATGCTCTGGTACATGTCCTAGCTTGCTCCATTTCTTACCCAGCGTCCTACTGATAACATGGAGAAGCATCAGGAGTTGGCTCATGTCCTTAAGCCCTTGAACCTGTGTAAGAGACCCAGGAGAAGCTCCTGGTTTCTGGCTTTGGATCAGCTCAGTTCTTGCCATTACATGTATTTGCAGAGTGATATAGCATATGGGAGATATCTCTCTGTCTCTGCTTCTCTCCGTAACTTTGCTTATCAAATGACAAACAAATATTTAAAAGAATTCTAATTTAAAGATTTAACTGTTGCTTTATTCTTACAGGTTTCTTCAAAAAGAGGAAGTTTTGAAGCTAGAGATGATATTCCATTTAGAAAAGTTCTTGGTAGTCCAAGTAGAGGATCAGTTAAGGCTGTACCTGGTAGTGGAATGGCTGTCCCTCGTTCAGTTCCTTCTTTGACATCTACACCATCTCCTCTTAGAGCAGGATTATTAGAAAACCGGTAAGAATGATTGATTTGAGGAGTAATTAATCTTTGTGGCCCACCCAATGAGTTGTAAGTGCAACCCCGCTGACCGTTTCCTGTCTGTTTCTAAGCTTTCCTTGTTATTCTCTGTCTGTCTATTCTAATTTGTTTGTTTGTTTGTTAGTTTTGAGGGGTTTCTGGAGCGATCCTGATGGTCATTGCCAGTGAGGGTGGGAACCCAAAGTCGGAACCAAGCAAGGACCAGAAAAAGCTCCTCTCCCTAGTTCCGAAGGAAGTTTTCTGTTCTTGTGTTTCTGTGGACCGCTCAGTGCTCCTGGTTGTTGTTCCAATGACCTTGGATCCTGCAAGACAGGATTTGGGCTTCTTCCATCCCATGTGGTAGATCCAAATGGGGGTGGGTGACCTCAGAGTTCTCGGCCTCCGAAGGCACTCCAATTCCCCATGGTCTCCCCAAGAAACCGTTGAACTTATCTGGACAATAAGATGCTGGACTTTATACTTGGTAGATGCTTGCAATGAAAGAATCTCAACTGAATTTGAACTGTGGTAATGCAACAAGGTGGAGGAATCCGCCATGTGGGGGGTTGGGGAGGAGTCGGGGGAATCCCACTGCCTATAAAACTGTCACATAATGTAATGTAATCAATTAAAAAAAATGATTGATTTGTCTTACCTGTATTTGTTTCTAAATGTCTTTTGGGTCCTTTAGATAGGTGAATTATTTAAAAAGAAAAAGGAAAGAAATATAGATCACATTTTAGTAGATAAAAATTTATCTACTAAATAACAGAGTTTCTTCATGCTATATATTAACAACGTAATAACAGCTATGCACTAACAAGAATATTAATTCAAATAAAATGTTGAACTGATTATTTAAGTTACCAATTAACATATCATGCATCAGAGTTCCTGGGTTTGTTTCCCAGTGCTGACTCTGAGCAACAGTGGTCATGGCTCAAGTTGTTGGATTCCCGCTAAATTATATTGGAGCCCTGAATGCATTCCCAGCTCCTGGCGCTGGCTTTGCCATTGTGGGCATTTTGGATTGAGCCAGTAGTTAGGCGCTCCTTCTCTCCCCTTTTCTCTCAAAGAAAGAAATTAATTTTATGTATTATATGAAGAATTAGGTAGTAGTCATCAAATACTATGTTATTTTTAATGATATGAATAAGTTTTAAAGCTGATCTTTTTTTCATGTGTTCTTGATAGTACTGAGAAGAGAAAAAGAATGCTATCATCTGGCTCAGAGCTGAATGAAGATTACCCTAAGGAAAATGACTCCTCATCGTAAGTTTCTTTAATAAGAGCTTTTGTGGTACAGGCTCACTGTTTCCTCTGCCACTGCTAACAGAGAAGTTTGGTTGAATGGTATTCGGTTTGTGAGAATTCCAGAGACGAATGTGCAAAATTTTACATGCTTTTATCATAGTACATTGCATGTTCAAACAAGAGGCCATTTGGCTGTTACTTTGTCATGTTATTGCATTTCTATTGCCTCTTTAAATTTTCATTGCTTATTGGAAAAATAGAATTGAACCACTCTAAGTAGGTGCTTTTTCCTGTCTGCTTTGCTTTGTTTTGTTTTAGATTTATTTATTTTTATTTGAAGACTTAAAGAGTGAGAGAGACAGTTCTTTCCATGTATTGATTCATTTCCCAGGTGACTGCAACAGCCAGGACTGGACCAGGCTAAAGCCAAGAACTTCATCCAGGTCTTCCACATGGGTGACAGGACCCAAACACTTGGGTCTTCTGCTTTTCTCAGGCCATTAGCAGGAAGCAGGTTTGCAAGTTGAGCAGCCAGAACATGAACTGACACCCATGTGGGCAGTGATTTTACCTTTCTTACCACAGTGCTGGTCACCTAGCTGCTGTTTTAATGTGCATTCCATTCTTATTTTGTTCGTGTTAACATTACTCATAAAAAATCAGCCTATGTACAGGTATGGAAGTCCTGTGCAATGCAAAGAGTGTAGTTTTTCCAGATTTATTTTTATTGGTATTGAACAAGTGGAATACTCCTACAGCGGGGCAGTCATCAGTTCATAATCCTTCCTGATCATGTGAGAATGTTTTAGTTTTAATCTTCTGCAAGAAAAAACTCATTACACAGTTGACAACTGGTGCCTCAGTTGCTTAACAGAAGTAACAATTGATCGTTAACCAGTAAACCAGTGTTTGAATTTAGTGAGTGAAGTCATCAGAAAGGAACTGGGGAGAAGCATATAAAAAAAATGTTGTGTTAATTGGTTCTGTTTATGTAGCAGATACAGAAAGTCTGGGTGGGTAGTAGAACTGTTATCTGAAACTGCCAACTCCATGGACTTTGATTCCTTCTACTTTGTTGATCTGCCATTCTTCCATTTTGTAGACCAAGATGGCTGCTTTACTCTTCCACTTTCATGTCTCCATTCCTGTTAATAACAGGAAAAAGGAGTGGCATACTGTTTTCCTTCAGGCTAAAAATGTATACACTGCTCTGGTGCATATCACATTGGACAGAAGGTCAGTCACATGATTGTATCAAAATATGGAAAAGTCTTGAGAAGTGTAGTTACCCAAAAGTCAACTGGTGTGACATGTAATGATTAGTTTCCTCCTCTGGTCACCAAAACTCACCATTCCTCCCATACACAGTGTACCCTTACCCTCATCCTAATGTAGACAGCTTCCAAACCTATTGTAAACACTGTGTCCAGCTCAGAGTCTAGCATCTTTATGGATGATATGCAGTTCTCCTTCTCTAGTCCAAATGTGTTTTGGACCATACTTTTCACAATATGGTACCTAAAAAAAAAAAGGCAAGTTAATCTCTATTCCCCACTGCCTCAACCCCATGCATGTAGAAATTGCTGGAACAGAAATGAGATAACTACTACAAAATTTTCTCTTTAGCAAAGAATAGGAAAATGGAGGATTCTGTGGTCTACAGCAGTAATAAAATCTTGCTAGGCAGAAATTGTGGCAACAGATCAGGTAGTGGTATAAGTTCCTGACTAGCCTATCCAATCTGTTCTCTGTGAGGAACACCCTTGCTGGTATATTTTCTTTGTATCTTTTCTTTGAGGATCATTATTGAGTTAATTTTAGAATACGCTTGCAAACTTTGAAGTAGTCTGCTTCACGAAGTATTCAGAAATCCAGAATTTTAGTAATCTAAGAATTCTTTAAAGGTAAAACAAGTAGGCTTTTATAGACTTGAGAAAGAATTGAGTCAGTGTTTTTGTTTGAATAAGGTTTTCTTTTGAAATAATCTTAGATTTACAGAACATTTGTGGAGGTAATATATAATATTGCTGTATGCCTCTCCCTCAGATTTCCCTTGTAATAAATTTTGTTTTTAAACAAAACTGCCCCCATTTAGTTTCCTTAACATTGATAAAGTTTGAGAAAAAAGCAATTGGATTTTTTGATCCAGATGGTCTCAGATTATAAGGCAGGTTTGATTCTAGGCCATTGGCATGCAACAATTCTGTGTTGGCTTTTCGTTGCTAATTGCAAGCTGACTAGCCTGGATGTATCCATCTCTAATAGAACCTTGTTAAAAGCAGTAAAAGGCACCGCCATAGCTATGGTTCTTCTTACTCATCTTAAATGTTTTCCCTCAGGCTGTAGGTATAGGGACTATAAGGCCTGCTTTCCAGGAAGTTACACAGATTATAGTCTTAGCTTTAGGGATGGTGTGGGAGTCCTGCCTTTACAGGACATTGTGGATAACTCTTCAATGTTGTGCTGAAGCATAGTGATGATAAACAGCCTGCCAGTCTGTAATGTGCCACGTATTCCAGTAGGTAGCTCTGTACTTTGAGTAACAAGATTTGTGTTACAGGGTCCTTCTGTGAGGACCAAATTTCATCCTAGCTAGTTTAAACAGAAGGTACTCGCAATAGTGTATTAAATGGTTTACAGAATCCCTGCTTTCTCAGGCCACTAACAGGTTGCTGGATGGGAAGGAGAGTAGCCAGGACGTGAACAGCCTCCTTTAAGGGATCCCAGTGCTTGAAAGGGGAGGATTAGCCAGTTGAACCAGGCCCAAATTCATTGCATCTTATCACAGATTCCTCACATTAATGCTTCCCAATTTGTAGATGGAGGCTCTTAGAAAAGAAGGCTTAGCAGGATGAGGTACTGTGCATGGATGCAGATGTCTTTAGGCCTTAACTGATATTGTCATCTTCCACTGCTGTTCATTCTCAATTACTTGCATGCTCTTCTAATACTATTGCTGGTCTTAAATGTGTGTCTAGTGTTGTTAAGTTTGATCTTCATCTCTGAGGGAGGTGAGCCTCTGCTCACCAAGTGCTTATTAATTGGTCATAATTACTACTAATCGTAATTCCCTAAAGGAGCATGCTGCTGCTCAGTGTTCAGAGCATCAAGGTGCTTTTGTGAGTTCCCTTAATTCTGAACAACCCTGTCCTCATTGTGTAACAGAACCCCTTCTTTAAAATGCCTGAAGTTCTTTACCTTTGCTTGTGTGGTAATTCCTATCTTTGTTGGTTGGCCAGCATGAGGAACCCGGAATGACAAGATAGTGACTATTAATATAATTGCTCTCTTCCTATGCCTCCCTTGTCAAAGAATTCCTGCTCTGGGAACCACTCAAGCAAGGTCTATGTTGGAGGGACAAAAAGCACAAATTCCCCATGTGAGTTACTAAAAATAGTGGTGAGTGAGGCTTTCTCCTACCCCTTAATTTCTGAATCCATGTATGAATAATAGTTTGCAGGGCTGGGGAATGTCTGGCCTGTACGCCATGGCAAATTCACAATTTTTTTAAAAGTGATTTTACTTACTTGAAAGGTATCATTAATGGAGAAAGAGGGACAGACAGGGATCCTCTGTCTGCTGCTTCCCTGTCTGAATGGCTGCAGTAGCCAAGGCTGAAGCCAGGAACAGCTTCTGTGTCTCCCACATATGTAACAGGATCCAAAGACTTGGCTCATCTTCTGCTTTCCCAGGCCTATTAGCAGGAAGCTGAATGGCAAATGAAGCACCAGTACTCAAACTGGTACCCTGTGACATGCTGGTGTTGCAGGTGGTGGCAATGAAATCATCTTTAAGTTGCCCTTTTACATTGTATTTATTTATTTACTTACTTATTTGTAAGGCAGCAAGAATAGGATTCTGTGAGTTTTCATGTTAGTGGATGAAACACTCTTAGGAGTGCCCGGATAGTAATGCCAGTCAAGGCCCTGAGAGCAAGAAAGACAAATGCATACTTGGAGTATTCTTCATTCTAATCAGATTTAATTGCTGTGTTATCGGGTAGAAGGGCTATGATGAATTTGCTAGTAAAAGACTGCTTTCCATAAGGTTGTGGTGTTCAGTCCGAGGCTCAGCCTGTTACTGAACACTTGGCAGTTAGCAACAATGGTAGCTAAACCATGATGAGGAGGAACCCCTACTGTTGCTTCTGTATCTGCCACCATGACTTACTCTTGGGCCTTTTGTGGTCTATGGAATGATTAAGGACACAAATTGACTAGCATCCACAGATCAACAGTTCCACATGATTGTTCAATCGTAGTGCATTTCTCATAATTAATATGTAAAACATACCTTTACCCATGTGGTTGGCAGGGACCCAAGGAGTTGGGCCATCTTCCACTGCTTTTCCCAGAGAATAAAGTTAGAAATGGAGCAGCCAGGACACAAACTAGTGTTCATACTGAATTCCAGTGTAGCAGAGAGTAGCTCTACCTTCTGTGCTTGATAATGGCCCCAATTTTCTCATTTTCTTATGCATCTTTGGTCCGAGGTTCCCTAGGACTGTTAGGTGTGTCAGTTGTGGTAATAAGAATGGCTGGGCCGTGTTTCATTCACCATCTAGTAGGAAAGCCTGCACTAATTCATGTAGCAGCTGCAGGGTTCCCAAAAAATGAGCAAACTTTTTGCAAGTCACCATTCGGGCTTAAGATTAGAGCTCAGACTTCTACATCTGTCACATTATTTTAAGAAAAACAAATCAAAAGACCACACCCATTGGAGATGAATGTACACTTTTTTAAAGATTTACTGATTTTTTAAAAGATTTATTTTTATTGCAAAGTCAGATATATACAGAAAGGAGGAGAGACAGAGAAAAAGTTTCCATCCGATGATTCACTCCCCAAGCAGCCACAACGACCAGTGCTGCACGATCCGAAGCCACGGGTCTCTCCCACATGGGTGCAGGGTCCCAAGGCCTTGGGCTGCTTTCCCAGGCCACTAACAGGGAACTGGATGGGAAGTGGAGCTGTCGGGATTAGAACCGGCACCCATATAGGATCCTGGCACTTTCAAGGCGAGGACTTTAGCTGCTGGACCACCATGCCGGACCCATAAACTCTACTTTTAAAAAGTAGATTTGTTATTTAATTATTCAAAATGCAGAGATAAACAGACGCATTCATCTGCTGATTCATTCCCATAGATATTTGCAACAGCTGGGGCCAGACCAGACAGAAGCCAGAAGCCCTCAGCTCAGTTCAGGTCTTCCATGTATTTGTAAGGAACCTATGAAATTTGGACCATCACCTGTTGCCTCATTGGTGCCTGGTACCAGGAAACTGGAATCAGAAATAGAACCAGTACTCTATTCTGGGCGCTCCAGTATGGGATATGGGTATCCCAAGTGCTAATTCAACTGCTAAGCCAAATGCCTGTCCCAAACATGTTCCTTGTGGGAAGCTTAATTCTACAAAGGAAATTTCAAATGTAGGTAGAATTTTATGATATTGTACATATAAAAATCACCTATTTTAAATAACATCAGTGATTTTTAAGTGATTTGAGTAAGTACACTAAGTTGTGTTTCATCATCACAATCCAGTTTTAGTACTTCTATTCTCTCGATAATAATAAGTGTCCTACAGTCATTCTACTATGTTTCTTTTTCTTTTGTTTTCCCTTTTCTTTTTCTTTTTTTTTTTTTTTAAGATTTTTTTTTTATTGGAAGGACAAATTTACAGGGAGAAGGAAAGACAAAAAGATATTTCATCCGCTGACGAAGTGGCAGCAATGGCCAGAGCTGAGCTGATCCAAAGGCAGAAGCTGGGAGATTCTTCTAAGTCTCCCACATGGTTCCAGGGTCCCAAAGCTTTGGGCCATCCTCCACTGTTTTCCTGGGTCACAAGCAGGGAGTTGGGTGGCAAGTGGAGCAGCCAGGACACAAAGCGGTACTCCTATGGGATCCCAGCGATTCTTAGGCGAGGATTTAGCCATTGAACTATCACACTGGGCTCTTTGCCGTGTTTCTAAAATGCTTTGCATGAGCCATATGCTTTTCTGTGTGCTTCCATCCCAATTCACCATAGATAAAAACTCTTGCAAGTTGTAGCTGTATGGAATACCAGAATTACTACTTCTAACATAGTAATTTCTGTTGCTATAATCAAATGAGTGGTCTGATTCCAGAACCCTGTCCTTCAAATGGGCTTTCTAGGCCCACATAGAGTTATAAACTGTTAAATATCAAGTTTTCCAGATGCAGATTCTGAAATAGAAATTAGTTGTGCAAGCGAGTTAATAAGGAAATCTCCAGGAAAGATCAGGAATTCATTGTGGGGAAGCAAGGCTGTGAATGACAGGAGACAAAGCATATAGTTGTTCTATTCCGAGGTGTGGGTCCCAGACCTCTGTGCCACAACACCTTGCCTTCTGGTTGGGGATCTCCGAGTGCTTGAGCACCGTCTCATGAAGAGGCCTTGGCTATTGAAGATACACTGAAGTTGGTGTGAGGCTGTGAAAGGGAAACACAAAAAAAGGGTCCTGTGAAATCATGATAGTTCCCCTACATCTGCAGTTCTAACCAAAGCATGAGCATTTACACCCTGAGAACTCTGCGTATATGAACTCAGATGCTCAGGAAAGGACTTGTTGAAAAAGTTTTTAACTGTATATCCATGAATTAGTTACATTGTAGTCACTGAAATGATGTTTAGTAAACAATATTTTAAATCACTTAGAATATAGGAATATTTGGTTTTTGTTTTACTTTTTTTTTTTAAAGATTTATTTATTTATTGGAAAGTCAGATATACAGACAGATAGGAAGATCCCAGCGTGTTCAAGGCAAGGACTTTAGCCGCTAGGCCACGCCTCCGGGCCCTGTTTTACTTCTTAAAAGTATCAAACTTGAGTAATTTCTTTTAATAATTTACTCTTTTTGTCTTAATAGTTGGATCATTTCTTTAAAAAACAAAAGGTTTATTTATTTTTATTGCAAAGTCAGATATACAGAGAGGAGGAGAGACAGAGAGGAAGATCCTCCCTTCCGATGATTCACTCACCAAGTGAGCGCAACAGCCGGTGCTGTGCCGATCCAAAGCCAGCAGCCAGGAACTTCCTCTGGGTATCCCATGTGGGTGCAGGGTCCCAAGGCCTTGGGCCGTCCTCCGCTGCTTTCCCAGGCCACAGGCAGGGAGCTAGATGGGAAATGGAGCTGCCGGGACCAGAACCGGCGCCCATATGGAATCCTGGCACATTCAAGATGAGGACTTTAGTTGCTAGGCCACTGCGCCGGGCCCTGGATCATTTCATTTGGTCATGCTTTTGGCCAAGAAAGTAATCTGGCTGTCTTTGGTTTGACTTTCATGTAAAGAAAATGACCTGAAGTATTCCTTCGTTGAAATTCCCTTCCTGACTACTGTGGCAGGTTTCTAACTTAAATAAATCCTGTTTTACTCCCTATCCTGTCTCATGGAACTTCTGCCTGAGACGTGAACTGAGATTGCCCTAATTCTCTGTAACACAACCCTGGTGTTTAGAAGTGGGGTCTTTGGGAAATAAGTAAAATCCAGTGAGATCATCAGTGTGGAGCTTCCATGATTGACTCTGGGGGGGGCGTAAGAAGAGTGAGAGAGACTAGAGGAAAACACACAATGCCATTTCTCCATGGCATATCCAGCACCTGCTTTATACTTTGCCAGCAAGAGGACCACTACCCATTGCTGTCCCTCAGATTTACCCCTGCTGAACTGTGAACCCAAATAAAGCCCTTTATTTTGTACTTTTAAAAAAATACTCTTTTATTTATTTATTTTTAAAGATTTATTTATTTTTATTGAAAAGTCAGATATACAGAAAGGAAGAGAGACAGCTAATTTGATAATTTTTATTTTCAGTAGTTATTGATCTCTTGAAGCTGTAGCAAACTTATAGCCTTGCCTTCAGACATCTCGATGAATTTTCCACTAGATGTCAGTATATTTAATGGTAATTATTCAAAACTAAGAACAGTATCTTTGCAAAGATTCTATGTTGACTTTTTATTGATTGCAGGAACAACAAGGCTATGGCAGATCCCTCAAGAAAATATTTAACCAGCAGTAGAGAAAAGCAGTTGAGTTTGAAGCAGTCAGAAGAGAATCGGTCACCAGGTAAGTTTATGTAAGATACTTATTAATTGTATGATGTATTGTGCTACACTGTAAATAAACACCTAAACTGGTTTGTGTTTTTCTGCGTTATTCAGAAATACTGCATAATGTGGGACTGGCTATTGGGCACCAATATGTAACCAATATTGGCTAGAATATTTTGAGGCATAGAAACATAAAGAATTTACATTGTTCATAATACATTTTGGCTTTGCCTTCTTCCGTAATTCTCTGTGGAATTAAACTCTTTCATGATCAAAGTACCTGCTCCATAGAATGAATAGGAGGAGATGAAGTGGTTGAAATTAAAATTTATTGGTGTTGTTACTTATTATAAGCTTCAAAAATCTTGATAGCATTGCATATGATCCTTCTGATTATCTGTATAAGAAGCCAACAGTGGCTAAGGTTCCCACATCCCACACTGCAATGCCTAGCTTTGAGGCCTGGCTCAGCCTTCTCATTCCAGCTTTCTAAGCAAGCTGATGGCTCAGTGTTGTGGAGACCTGCACTGAGTTCCCAGCTCTAAGCTTTCCACTTCACTTGCCCTTGCTTATCTTGGTGAACAGTGGCTGGGAGCATAAGCATACCCCCTCTGTGTGTCTCTGATGTCAAATAAGGGAAAAAAAATTTTTTAAGATTTATTTATTTATTCATTATTGGAAAGGCAGATTTAAAGAGAGTAGGAGATGTAAAGAAAAAGATCATCTGTGTACTGATTTATTCCCCAAATGGCTGCAGTGACAAGAACTAATCCAGTCCGAATCTAAGAGCAAAGTGCTTTTTCTGGGCCTCCCATGTGGATGCAGGGTCTCTAGGCTTTGGGCCATCCTCTGCTGCTTTCCCAGACCACAAGTAGGGAGCTGAAAGGAAATGGAGTAGCTAGGACACAAACCAGTGTCCACATAAAATCCCAGCACTTGCAAGGGAGGATTAGTTAATTGAGCCATCGTGCTGGACCCAATAAGAAATTCTTTTTTTAGAGATTTATTTGTTTATTTTGAGTGAACAATAGAGACGAGGAGAGATATTGCCCATCCATTTACTGGTCCAGACCGAGGTGTACAGCCGAGAATTCCATTTGGGTCTCCCATGTTGTTGTAGCAGCAGTCTATGCACTTAGGCTATTCTCTGTTGCTTTCCTAGACACATTAGCAGGGAGTTGGATTGGAAGTGGAGCAGCCAGGACTTCAGCGATCACTCAAGGAAGTGGCATCACAAAAAGCAATAGCTTAAGCTGTTATATACCACTGACTCTAATTCTTTTTTTTTTTGATTGGAAAGTCAGATTTACAGAGAGGAAAAGATTCCGTCTGCTGGATCACTCCCCAAATGGCCAGAAGGCTGGAACTGAACCAAATGAAGCCAGGAGCCAGGAGCTTCTTTTGGGTCTCCCACATGGGTGCAGGGTCCCAAAGCTTTGGGCCGTCCTTGACTGCTTTCCCAGGCCAAAGGCAGAGAGCTACATAGGAGGGAAGTGAAGCTTCCAGGATACAAACCAGTGCCCATATGGGATCCAGACGTGTGCAAGGTGAAGACTTTAGCCAGTAGGCTACCATGCAGGGCCCTGTAATTATTCTTTTAAAAGGGGGCGGGGGTGGCCTGGCATGGTAGCCTAGAGGCTAAAGTCCTTGCCTTGCATGATCCTGGGTCCCATATGGGTGCTAGTTCATATCCTGGCTGCTTCACTTCCCTTACAGCTCTCTGCTTATGTCCTACGGAAGCAATAGGGGAAGGCCCAAAGCCTTGGGACCCTGCACCTGTGTGAGAGACCGAAAAGAAGCTCCTGGCTACTGGCTTCAGATCAGCTCAGCACCAACAGTTGTGGCCACTTGGGGAGTAAACTAGCAGATCAAAGATCTTTCTGTCTTCCTGCTCTCTGTAATTCTGACATTCCAATTAAAATAAATAAATAAATCTTATAAATTTTTTCCAAAGTCAGAAAATTTACAGAAATTTGCTGCAAAGGAACACTTCTTTACTAGTATAACTTTTCCCATAATATTTGTAAATATTTTACTTCAGAAAGAAAACGTTGGGCGCGATAGCGTAATGATTAAGGTCCTCACCTTGAACGTGCCCAGATCCCATATGGGCGCCGGTTCTAATCCCGAGCAGCCCTACTTTCCATCCAGCTCCCTGCTTGTGGCCTGGGAAAGTAGTCAAGGACGGCCATAAGCCTTGGGACCCTGCACCTGTGTGGGAGACCTGGAAAGAAGTTCCTGGCTGCTGGCTTTGGATCGGCACCAGTCACTTGGGGAGTGAATCATCGGACGGAAGATCTTCCTCTCTGTCTCTCCTCCTCTCTGTACATCTGCCTTTGCAATTAAAAAAAAAAGTTGAATATAAACACACCCAATGTATAATTTTGTTATGTGAATTTGAGTGATTGACTTGAAAATTAAATTCTTCCTTTGTCATTTTAAGGGCTTTTACCATTGCAGTCATCATCATTTTATGGTAGCAGAGCTGGATCCAAGGACAACACTGCTGCTGGTACTAACATAGACAGGTATGAATTAGTTACATGCCTTGTGATGAACTTGAAAAGTTCTTTTTTTAGGAATATTGAATGATGTGGTAAGTTCGGCATTAGGTCTAAGTTATACTCTAACCTAAAGTTGATGAGAAACATAAAATCATGAAATTTTAGTTAGAAATTGCTGTAGCAGAATGTTTTCAGATTGTTTTTAAAATTTTGCACTGAATAAATAAATTGTGATATGTGGTGGTTTGTAGTGACAGCATAGGTTATGACTACCAATGTTACTTGATTCTAAACAAACAGATTTGCATGAACCCTGCTAATGAATATATTTTAGATCTCTCTTCTTAGTTATTTTTCAGTTGTTTTTGTTTCCTATAAGTTATATTGTTTCCAGAGATTAAGATGTTTTCTTTCTCAAAATCATAAACATATCATTGAGTATCTTGTGTTGAAAAAATTCCTGGGGCAGGCATTTGATACAACAGTGAAGATATGATTTAAGATCCCCACAACTGGGCCCAACGCCGTGGCCTAGCGGCTAGGGTCCTTGCCTTGAGCATGCTGGGGACCCATATGATCACTGGTTCTAATACCAACAGCCTTGCTTCCCATCCAGCTCCCTGCTTGTGGCCTGGGAAAGCAGTCAAGGATGGCCCAATGCCTTGGGACCCTGCACACATGTGGGAGACCTGGAAAAGAATCTGGGTTCCTGGCTTCGGGTCAGCGCAGCACCGACCATTGCGGTCGCTTGGGGAGTAAATCATCAAATGGAGGATATTTCTCTCTGTCTCTCCTCCTCTCTGTATATATCTGACTTTGTCATAAAAATAAATAAATCTTATTAAAAAAATCCCCACAACCCATATCAGAGTGCCTGGGTTCGAGTTTTCACTCCTGTTCCATTTCTAGCTTCCTGAAGTATATATTCTGAGAGGCAGCAGATACTTGGGTCTCTGCCACCCATATGCGAGACCAGATTGAATTCCAGGCTCTTGGCTTCAGCCTGGACCAGCTCCTACCATTGTAGACATTAGTCTGCAGACAGAATAGCTCCCTCTACTATGTCTCTCTCCATTTCAAATTAGGAAAGTAAATAAGATGTTCTTTTTAAAATTAATTGTTGATTCAAAAGATGTAACTAATTTTTAAAATTTGTTGAGTGTAAATATATAAGATAATAACTAAGTGCTTGTGACATAAGGTAGTGTTTAATATTTGTGTATACTGAGCCCACCACAGTAGCTTCGTGGCTAAAGTCCTAGCCCTTTATTCACTGGGATCCCATAAGGGCACCAATTCATGTTCCAGCTGCTCCATTGCCCATCCAGCTCCCTGCCTGTGACTTTGGAAAGCAATTGAGGACAGCCCAAAGCCTTGGGACGCTGGGCCTGTGTGGGAGATTCGGAGGAGACTCCTGGCTTTGGGTTGGCTCGGCTCCAGCTGTTGCGACCATTTGGGAAGTGAGCCAGCGGATGGAGAGTCTTTCTCTCTGTTTCTTCTTCTCTCTGTAAATCTGGATTTCCAATAATAAATCTTTTTTTTTTTTAATACTCTTATATACTATACATGGCCTATTAAATCATATTTGGGGGAGTGGTTAGTTTATATTTATGTAGGTATGAGGCAGAAAGATCTCCCAAGAACTGGTTCACTCCCTAAACATTCCCAGTAACCAGAGCTTGGGAGTATAGAGGTCAGGAGGTTCAAAGTGGAGGAATAGCACTCAGTGGGGTAAGAATTGTCTCTTCAAGTAATGGTTCCAGGAAACTGGTAGTTCACATATAAAAATCAATACAATTAGAACTCCTTTCTCTACCATGTAAGAAACTGACCAAGTTTATCACTGCTCTAAATATATGAACTAGAACTGGCAAATTGTCAAAAAAAACTTATAAGGATAAATAATCTTGCCCTGGAACTTGGCCGTAGAATCTTAGATATCACACCAAAAGCATGAACGAAAAAGCTAAATTGGACTTCAGAACTTGAAGTCATTATAAAATGAATAAACATCCACGAGAAGGAGGAAAAATGTCAGTCATAGCAATAAGCATCCATGAAAACAGCGTGACATTTCCTTAAAGGAAAGTAGACAAGGTGGCTGGCATTGTGTCCACCATCTGCAGTGCTGACATCCCCAGTAGGTGCTGATGCAAGTTCCAGCTGCTCTATTTCTGGTCCAGCTCCCTGATTATGCACTTGGAAAGTGGAAAATGGCCTAAGTGCTTATAGATCCTTGCCAACCATGTGGGAGACTCAGATGAAGCTCCTGACTTAGGCCTGTCCCAGCCCTGACTGTTGTGGCTGTGTGAGGAGTGAATCAGAATATGGGAAGGATCTCCATTTCTGCCTCCTTTCTATGCCCATGTGGGATCCCAGTACATGCAAGATGAGGACTTTAGCCAGTAGGCTACTGTGCCAGACTCAAGATTTTGTAATATCAAAAATTCTTTCTCCCTTCTAATCCTACAAGAGTACCAAGCTGTGAAGATGCTGTAGGTTAGTGTTAACCAAGTTTCACAGGAAAACAGAAAAACTGCATAACTAATTTAGGAATTTCATAAAACGTAAAATATAGCAGTAGAAGAAAGGTATAGATCATTTTTCTACTGTGACCACAGAAATGGGCAAAATAAAGTACTGGCAATTGAATCCAGTAGTTTGTCAAACATGATAGTTAAAATTCAGTAGTACATATTCTAGAAATACAAAGGTGAGTAAATATTTTCAAATCATTTGAGAATTGTAATGGATTAAAATAAGCTTTTAATATGGTACCTACCTTTTAGATAGGAACAGAGGATTATTCCCTTAGTTTAATAAAGTATCTACAAAAAACTTCAGTGGTGAAAACAATAAAAGCTTTGAGAAGTATTTCCAGTGAAGTCAAGAACAGAGTGGCATTACCCTAAATATTATAGCTGATGCAATAAGAAAATATAATGAAGTATATTACAAGTTTTGGGATTGGAAAGTGAAAAAATTGCTGTATTTTTGCATTCAATATGATCTGTCAAATGTGAAATAGTAAAAGAATCTCCTTAAATTATTCAAATAACTACATAGGATTCCTGTAATGCAAGATCAGCTTTGTATACAACACTGATGACAACAAAAGCTAGGTTTGTGTGGTCATAGCAAGAAGGAAGTAGGGACAGAGATAAGACTAGTATCAACCATGGATGTTTGAGAACTCAAAGTTTGTTTTTAAGATTTATTTATTTGTATTAGAAAGGTAGATTTAAAGAAAGAAGAAAAAGAGAGATCTTCCTTGCACTGGTTCATTCTCCAAATAGCTGCAGTGGCCAGAGCTGGGCTGATCTGAAGCCAGGAGCCTGAAGCTTCTTCCAGGCCTCCCTTGTGGGTGGAGAGGTCCAAGGACTTGGGCCATCTTCAGCTGCTCTCCCAAGTTATTAGCAAGGAGCCAGGTTAAATGTAGAGCAAGTGCAGTGCAAACTAGCACCCATGTGGTATACTGGTAGGTCAGGTGCAGGCTTAACTTACTACATTAGCGTGTATTCGGCTTTATGTATATAAATAGGTAGAGTGATTTGGTGGGAGGAATGCTGTGCTTGCTTGTGTTAATTTGTCAATGTACATGTTATGTCCTTTACTAGGGAAGGCCTTGAACCAGTGAGCCCAGACCTTTGTTACTAAATATAGATTAAATATTGTACATTCAAAATGCCTGGGACCCCTACCGGACCCCTCAGTTTTGCCTTTTTTGATGTCTTCCGTGTCTTTTTCTTAGATATTGAGATCCCCCAAATTTGTCACATATGTTGTAATTTTGCTAGTTTTAAGTGCTGAGTAGTATTCAGTCATTTGGGTCTACTACAATTGTTCATCTATTTGCAAGTTTCTTGACTATTATGAGTAAAACCTCTGTAAATATTTTTTAAAAATCGGGGACCATAAGTGTTTTGAGATAGAATATTTTTGAATTAGAATATACATGCATGCATGTGAGATAATTTGGAGATTAACCCAAATCTAAACACAAAACTCATTTAAGTTTTATATACAAAGTCTGAAGGTAATTTTATATAATGTTCTAGTAACCCTGCATTTTGACTGGAACTTGGTGCTAGAAGTCAGATGTGCCTTCATGTCAGCTCTCAAAAAGTCCGATTTTGGAGTGCCTCAGATTACGAATGAACAACGTACACCATTCTCCAGTACGAGAAACCAGGGCTTCTTTGAACTAGTGATTGATTCCAGGTTGGCAGGAAAATGTAAAGTGAATGAGTAACATCTTGTGAAGCCAGAAAATAAGGATGTTCCCGCAGAAGAATAGTAACATACGCAAGGGCACAGGAAGCAACCTGGAGAAGCTACCAGTGAAGAAAGTAGAAGAATTCTAGTAACAAAATAATGATATGGCGGGGAATATTTTTGTATACGAATCCATACTGAAATGAATAGAGAATGGGCAGTTCTATCTTACAGAAGAATTCCAATGAGTAGTGCGAAAGGAAGGTGAGAATAAAAAGTGATCATTAGACAAGTACTACAGTAATAATTGTCTTCCCTGAGTCTTCCAGGGAAAAATAAATAGTACTCAAAAATTTATTTTGCTTCTTTCTTTTTTTAATAGGTCTAATGTTTCAGGCCAAAGTCCTTCTGCCAAAAGAAGTTTGGGATTTCTTCCTCAGCCTGCTCCTCTTTCTGTTAAAAAACTGAGGTCTAACCAGGACTATACTGGCTGGAACAAGCCCAGGATGCCGCTTTCTTCTCACCAGCAGCAGCAACTGCAAGGGTAGGTAGATGGTTACAAAATGTAAATATCATGCACTTTATTTTTTACGAAGTGTTCCAGCTTAAGTATGTTTTGCTTGTCCAAAAATACAATAAGGAAAGGAGTCACATTAACTTTAAATTCTGAAATGTTTAGAAACTAGAAAATAAAAGTTTATCACATCCGAGGCATTGCCTGGGACATGACAGTTCCAGCTTCCTGCTAATATGCTCTCTGGAAAGTAACAGGTGAAGGTTTAATGGGTTTTCTCTACCTCCCACACAGGAGTCTCAGAATGAGTTCCAGGTTTCTGGTTTTGGCGTGGCCCAGCCTCAAACGTTGCATGATTTTAGGGAGTAAACTAGCAGATCAAAGGTCTAGCTATATCTATCTTTTCTCTTTCTTTTTGGTTTTCAAATAAATAAAAATAAATGAAAATGTAGTTTAAAATTTTAAACTTACTTTAAAACTTTTTAAAATTCATCACATCCATAAATAATGGCAAACCCATTATCTTTCCTCTAGTCAATTTTTGAACTAGAAATATATACGGAGTAATATTTGGGAGCAAAGAAATGAGTATTCTTCAATCTTATTTGTTTGAAAAAGCAGAGTTGCAGAGGGAGAAAGAAAGGCAGAGAGATGCTGTTTTCCTCCTCAAAAAACAATAGCCCAGGCTAGCCCAGGCCAAATCCACGAGCCTGGATCTGAATTCGGATTTTTTATTACTTTTTTAAAAATTTATTTTATTTTTATTATAAAATCAGATATACAGAGAGGAGGATAGATAGAGAGGAAGATCTTCTGTCCGATGACTCACTCCCCAAGTGACTGCAACAGCCAGTGCTGTACCGATCTGAAGCCAGGAGCCAGGAACTTCCTCCAGGTCTCCCACATGGGTTCAGGGTCTCAAAGCATTGGGCTGTCCTCGACTGCTTTCCCAGGCCACAAGCAGGGAACTGAATGGAAGTGGAGCTGCCGGGATTAGAACCAGCACCCATATGGGATCCCAGCACGTTCAAGGCGAGGAGTTAAGCCACTAGGTCATGCTGCCGGCCCTCCAGTTACATTTTAACTGCTGTGTTGTATTGCTTCTCTGTTTCGCCGCACATTAATCATGGACATCCTTATATATTATCACAAAATTTTTAATCATATTAATGTGCAGTTATGTTCCCATTTTATGATGCAATCTGGGCTAGACTGAGCTTTCTTAGGAATGTGTGCGTATATGTTTTTAATAGCAATAAATGTGGAATTGCTAAAATGAGGGTAGGCATTTGGAAAAGTCAGGGGGACAGAAGGGATTCCATAAGATTCTCAGGTCATCTGACAACCGTAGTAAAATGTGTAGAAAAGTAAGAATATTGTTATCAGTGTTAAATTTGTTGATCCTGATAACTGTACTCAGTTTATATAATAGGAAGTATTTAGTGTTAATGGTTTGCTCACTTCTGGCTTTTTCAGCTGCTTGTGGAGTGAACCACTGTAAACCCACCTTTCAAATAAAATTAAATATATTTTTAAATGCATATGTCTGTAACCTCTGTGCCCAGACCTGGATCAGAGACTTGGTGTTAGGGCCAGCAGTATGTATTTTTATGGACCCTCCTGGTGACTCTGATACATGCTGAAGAGGAGCTTGCTATATTGACCACACTTAAAGAACTATTGAAGTCTTCTAAAGTGCTGTTTCTTTCATTTTCAGCTTCTCCAACTTGGGAAATACCTGCTATATGAATGCTATTTTGCAGTCTTTATTTTCACTCCAATCATTTGCAAATGACTTGCTTAAGCAAGGTATACCATGGAAGAAAATTCCACTCAATGCGCTTCTCAGGTAATTGCTTTGTATTTCTAACCTTTTACTTCAGGAATATAGAATAATGAGGTTTCAGACATTAATATTATAGCATTATTGGTAGTCTGAAACATCCTGCCATCCAGGGGCAAGCATTTGTGACATAGCAGGTGAAGCTCCCACCTGTAACATTGGCATCCCAAATGGATGCCACTTCCTGTCCCCACTGTAACACTTCCAATCCAGTAGCCTGCTAATAGCCTGGGATAAGAAAATTGGCCCAAGTGTTTGTGTCTCTCTTACCCACACAGGATATCTGGCTGAATCTCCTGGTTTCTGGCTTCAGGCTTCAAGCTGGCCCAGTCCTGGTCATTGCAGCCATCTAGGGAATGAATCAGTGGAAGGAGTGTCTCTCTGTTTCTCTGTGTATGTGTAAATCTGTCTCTCAAATAGATAAATACATCTTTTTTTTTTTTTTTTTACAAAGATATACAGAGAGGAGGATAGATAGAAAAGAAGATCTTCCGTCCGGTGATTCATTCGCCAAGTGAGCCCAGTGGCTGGTGCTGTACCGATCTGGAGCCAGGAGCCAGGAACCTCCTCCAGGTCTCCCACATGGGTGCAGGGTCCCAAAGCATTGGCCTGTCCTCGACTGCTTTCCCAGGCCACAAGCAGGGAGCTGTATGGGAAGTGGAGCTGCCGGCATTAGAACCGGCACCCATATGAGATCCCGGCGCATTCAAGGCGAGGACTTTAGTCACTAGGCCACTCCGCTGGGTCCAGATAAATACATCTTTAAAGGAAAATCCTGTCATCATGTGCTTTTTAAAACACGCTTTGTCTTTTGTTTTACCAGACGCTTTGCACACTTACTCATTAAAAAAGATATCTGTAATTCAGAAACCAAAAAGGATTTACTTAAGAAGGTTAAAAACGCCATTTCAACTACAGCGGAGAGGTTCTCTGGTTATATGCAAAATGTAAGTACTGATTATTTTTTAATATTTAGAGGTGAGAGAAATTGAAATGATTTTTAGTGTGTGACCTGGTAAAATGTAATTTGTGTAGTTTGTTCATCATGTGTTGAAAAGCCTGGGGATCCAAATTAAACTTCAGTTATGGCTCTTCTGTTCATTTTATTCCTATTTTAATGTATCAATGTGATCTCCCATTGAAAGAACCTGGGCTGTGTTAGCTGCAAAAATTATTTTAGAAAAATAAAGGAGTTTTTTTTGTTTTGTTTTTATATGAAGGACTTATTAATTCATTCATGCTGATACAGCTGATATTTAAGCCTATAAAATCTAGCAGCTGGCAATGTATACACTGGATTAAGCTGCACTTGCATCCCCATGTTCCATATTAAAATATGGGTTAAATCCCAGCTACTCTGCTTCCAAAGCCTTTTTCCTACTAATTTGCCTGGGAAATCAAAAGAAGATGGCACAAATATTCGACCTTTGGTTATCCATATGGGAGACAAAGATGGAGTTCCTGGATCCTATCTTTTTCTGTTGATTTTTATTTGAAAAGCAGATTTACAGAGGGGAGAGACTAAGGAAAAGATCGTCCTTCATCTGGTTCACTCCCCAAATGGCCACAACAGCTGGAGCTGGGCTGAAACCAAGAGCCATGTCTTCCATGCAGCTGCAGGATCCCAAGGCTTTGTACCATCCTCTACTGTTTTCCCAAGCCAAAAGCCGGGTGCTAGATGGGAAGTGAGCCAGCTGGAACACAAACTGGCACCCATTTAGGATGGTGACAGCCTGCAGGCTCAGGGCTAACCAGTTGAGCCATCACACTGGGCACTACCCCTTTTCTCACCCCAAGGGAATGAACCAGAGGAGGGAGGGAAGAACTCTGTGTCTCTGCCACTCCTATACCCTTTCTCCTCTGTCTTTCAAATGAAGAAATAAGTAAATCTAAAAAAAAAGCATTTTAAAAAATCTGCAGTTTTTGGTGCACAAAATATGGACCCCAAATGCTTATTAAAATAAATATGAACTCATTCATATGTCATTGACTTCCAAGTGCTTAAGTTAATATAAATTATAGTGTTGGTAAGCTATAATGGTGATAAGAAATGTTTTCATGTGATTAAGGATACCATTGTCATCTTAGGATGCTCATGAGTTTTTAAGTCAGTGCTTAGACCAGCTGAAGGAAGATATGGAAAAATTAAATAAAACATGGAAGACTGAATCTGTTCCTGGAGAAGAAAATTCACCGGATATTACAGCTACCAGAGTTTACACATGCCCTGTTATTAATAATTTGGAATTTGAGGTTCAGCACTCCATTATTTGTAAAGCGTAAGTTGTAATTAAAAATACTCCCCACCCCACCCCCCATTTTTTAATTTATTTGTGGCAAGTTGATAAAACATTCCTGTGACATACCAAATGCTGTAAATTCTTACCTTCTATGTCAAGGAGATATAATGTGACAGACTTGAATATGTAGATTTGAGTTCCAGTTCTGCTACCAGCTTCCTACTTATGTATCCCCTGGGAAGTGGCAAAGGTTAACTCAAGTATTTGCATTCCTGCCACCCACATAGGAGACCCTAATGGCATTCTGAGCTGATTTGATCCAGCCTTAAGTGTTGCAGGCATTTAGGGAATGAACCAAAAGATGGAAAGTACTTTTCTGGCATTCTTAAATGCTGTCCCATCCTCCCTCTCTCTCCTTTTTTTTAATAAATTTTGTTTTTTATAATGATTACATGGAGGATCAGGGTAGGAAGGAACGAGGTTTAGGGAAAATTGGGTGAATTCATTGCTTCCAAATTTGCTATTTCTTGCTGTTTTATGGGGGAAAGGGAGAGACAAAGGGGGAAAATCACTCACGACTTTCTACACATCCCAGTACCCAGGGGTGAGGCACTGCCACCTCATATCAACCCAGAGTCATATTCCAAGGTTTCTGTCCAAGTGGTTTGGATAGTTTTGAAATGCTTTCGATTTCACCAATCCAAGGATTATATCACCCTCCTAGTGTCCATTGCTTCCATTCCCCAAGATTTTTTGCTGTCATGATTTGTTTGGGGTAGTTGTCCAGTTAGTTCTGTTCTGCTATAGCACCAAATGTGTTGCCATATTCTCCTTTTACAACAGGGCCTGTTTCCATTGCTCCAGGACCTAGGCCAGGAGAACCAAGTCCTGCTGATCCCCCACCCCCTGGCCTTACGAACCCCACACCCACCTAGTAAGCATTCCCTAGAACCCGGATCAAGAGACCGAAGTCCCATTGGATCCCCCACTCCTGGGGCTCATAAACCCAGCACCCACCTCACAAGCCAGGTCCCAAGACCCGGAACAGTCGATTCGAGTCCCACCAGATCTCCCACTCCCTTCTGTGCCTTTCTCTCCCTCCCTCTCTCACTCTATTACTTTTTCACTCTTAGGTAATTTAAAAAAAAAGAGGGATGAGGCTGTCTCTTTATCTCAAATTCCCTCTCCCTGAGTCTTCCCATAACTAATGCCTTCTTGAAAACTTCATGCACCATTTGCTAGCTACCTTGTCCGAAATTCTAACCTTCACTTCCCCTTTCCTTGCTGTTTTTCTGTTGAAATATGTCGTCGTCTGATTTCTATTGCTGTTACAAAATACCCAAGACTGGGTAATTTAGAAAGAATATAGAGGTTTACTTAGTTCGTGGTTCTGGAGGTTAGAAGTCTGAGAGCATGGCACCAGCCCCTGGTGAAGACTTGGCAATGTCCCATGATGCAACAGCAAACCTGACAGTATGGGCCTCTTCAGCTTCTTTAAAGCCAGTAATAACATTATGGGGGCCTTAAACTTCTGACCTTAATAGTCCTAATGCTTTCCCAAAACCCCACCTCCATTACCATGAATTTGGACGTACCTTTCCATCAGGCATGAACTTTCTGGCAATACATTCTACTCATGACAGTATTTACCACTATCTAACATACTCTGTTTGTTTTGTGTTTTATATGTCTTTCTCCTTTTCTTTTCCCTCCCATAGGCTGAAAGCTTCACAAGGGGACATAATTTTGTCCTAGTTTATTCACTGTTGTTACTCTTTACTTATAGCAGTTTCTAGGATATAGGAAGCTTTTCATTTGTTAGTTGCTGCAAATCAAATTGCCTTAACCTTAATGTCTTAAAACAACACCCATTCATTAACTCACAGCTCTAAAGATCTGAAATCCAGGCATAATACAGCCAATTTCTGTGCTCATAGACACTGAAGTCAAGGTATTACTACCTGTGTTCTCATCTGTAGCCCAGGCCCTCTTCTAAGATCATGAAGGTGATAGAATTTGCATCCATACACCTATAGGATTGAGGTCTCCATTTTTGGTTCATCATTGGGATTTTTTCAGTTTTCTGTTTGTTTTATTTTTTTTTAAGATTTATTTATTTTTATTTGAAAGGTAGATTATAATTTATAGAGATATGAAGAGATGGAGTGAAGGTCTTTATCCACTGGTTCACTCCCCAAGTGGCCACAGTGGCCAGAGCAAAGCCAGTCTGAAGCCAGGAGCCTCTTCCAGGTCTCATGTGTGGATGCAAGACCCAAGGACTTGAGCCATCTTCCAGTGCTTTCCCGGAGCAGGGATACAAGCAGAGAGCTAGATCAAAAGTAGAGCAACTGGGACATGAAATGGCATCCGTGTAGAATGTCTGCCCTCGCTGACAGAGTCAGCTTGTATGCTACCATGCCAACCCCTAGTGTTTGTTTCTTATGCCAACGATAGAATGTCAGTGTCATGAATTCCATAGAAGAACAGTGTTCCTCAAATATACATGTACTTGAGATAATCAGTGGAAGATGGAATTAAAGGGTAAATTAATTTTGTTGCAAAAGACAAAATCTACATAGAATTTTTTTTCGTGATCCATATTTTCCTTGCGCATTTTGAAATACCCTTGTTTTTGTATTTCTTCAGTATTTTTCTAAATGCTTTCACTTGTTTCCTTACAGATGTGGAGAGATTATTCCCAAAAGAGAACAGTTTAATGACCTTTCCATTGACCTTCCTCGAAGGAAAAAGCCACTCCCTCCTCGTTCAATTCAGGATTCTCTTGACCTCTTCTTTAGGGTGGGTAATATCTTGAGTTATTTCTACATTCTAAATTTTATATATCACAGATCAGTGAATTTAAAGTTGGCCTTCAAGGCAAAGTGTCAGAGAAATTGTTTATGTGCACTATAAATGAGAAACATTTATAAATTTTATATAAAGATTATTTGTTTATTTGAAAGAGTTACAGAGAAAGGGGAGGCGGCAGAAAAAGATGTTCACTTGCCATTTCCTCTGCAAATGTCTACAAGTACTTGGCTGGGCCTGCGTAGTCCCAACATCAGGAGCCTGAAAATCTATCCGTGTTTCTCCGTGGGTGCTAGGGCCCAAATGCTTCTCCCGTGTTTTGGTGCTTTCTCAGCATATTATTAGTAGGGAGCTGGATCAGAAATAGAACTTTGCTTTTATGGGATGTCGCTGTGGCAGACAATAGTTCAACTTGCTGCACCACAGTGTCAACCCCCATGGTTTTAAGTTTTAGAAAAAGGGGTATGGGCCCAGCGCGGTGGCGCAAGTGGTTAAGGTCCTCACCTTGCACGCCCGGGATCCCATATGGGCGCCGGTTCTATCCTGGCAGCCTCGCTTCCCTTCCAGCTCCCTGCCCTTGGCCTGGGAAAGCAGTCGAGGACGGCCCAAAAGCTTTGGGACCCTGCGCCCACGTGGGACACCCGGAAGAGGCTCCTGGCTTCGGATCAGCATAGCATCAGCCGTTGCGCTCACTTGGGGAGTGAATCATTGGATGGAAGATCTTCCTCTCTGTCTCTCCTCCTCTGTATATCCGCCTTTCCAATAAAAACATAATAAAAATAAATCTTAAAAAAAAAAGAAAAAGGGGTATAATTCATTGAAGAAGCAAAGTGATTGCTTAAGTTGAGTATATATTTTATATATTTAATAGTATCTTAGACAACCTTACCAACCTCACTATTTTAAATTAATAATTTAAATCATTTGAAATTGCATATTGGAATTTTGGTAACACAAATTCAAATTGTAGATACATTTTTTAAAGATTTATTTTCTTTTTATCAGCAAGTCAGATATACAGAGAGAAGGAGAGACAGAAAGATCTTTCCATTGAGTCACTCCCCAGGTGGATGCAACAGCCAGAACTGTGCCAATCCGAAGCCAGGAGCTAGGAGCCTCTTCCAGGTCTCCCATGAGGTCGCAAAGTCCCAAGGCTTTGGGCTTTCCTTGACTGCTTTCTCAGGCCACAAACAGGGAGCTGGATGGGCAGCAAGCCTACTGGGATTAGAACTGGTACCCATATGAGATCCTGGCGCTTGCAAGGCGAAGACTTTAGCTGCTAGGCTACCATGCCAGGCCGGAGATAATATATACATTTATGCACTAAGAACTTAAAAAAATGTATTATTTGCTTTTTTTCTTGGGTTATATGTGCCCTGTTAGAAACCTAAAGGAAAAATCTTGTTTATCCAAAGCTGTAGATAAGTATCTATGTCTGTGATATGCTGCTAATGACGTTCAGAAAGTGTTGAGGGCTTAGTTGGACCTATACTGTAGTAATCCTTAGAACTGGTAAACAGGGCCCGGCGGAGTGGCCTAGAGGCTAAAGTCCTCGCCTTGAACGCCCAGGATCCCATATGGGCGCCGGTTCTAATCCCGGCAGCTCCACTTCCCATCCATCTCCCTGCTTGTGACCTGGGAAAGCAGTTGAGGACGGCCCAAAGCTTTGGGACCCTGCACCCGCGAGGGAGACCCGGAAGAGGCTCCTGGATCCTGGCTTCAGGCATAGCACCGGCTGTTGCGCTCACTTGGGGAGTGAATCATCAGACAAAAGCTCTTCCTCTCTGTCTCTCCTCCTCTGTATATCTGACTTTCCAATAAATAAATAAATCTTTAAAAAATAAAAAAACTGGTAAACAGTTGCCAGGATCTCCCTTCATCTGTAAAATAGTAGTGGTTTTTCTATTGGTAGAGTTGCCTTCTAAGTTTAAAAAATCTTTTTTCTATTTTTTAAAAAGAAAAATTTTTTTAATGGAAAAAACATTTAAACATTATCTAGAATACTCTTGGTGTGTTTTTTTGTTTGTTTTTGTTTTATTATTCCTTTTTTACTTTTCCTATTATTAGCATGACTTTGAAGAATTTCCTTTGTATCTTCATGCCTATTTTTTTCTTTTTAAGATTTATTTTGATTTGTTTTGGAAAGGCCAATAAACACAGAGGATGAGAAACAGAGAGGGGGAGGAAGATCTTTCTGCTGATTCTCTCCCCAAGTCGCACAATGGCCGCAAGCTGAGCCCATCCGGAGCCAGGAGCCTGGAGCCTGGAGCCTGGAGCCTGGAGCCTTCTCCAGGTCTCCCACATGAGTGCAGTGTTCCAAGGCCCTAGACCATCAACTGCTTTCTGAGGCCACAAGCAGGGAGCTGGATGAAAAGCAGGGTCGCCCGACACAAACTGGCGTGCATATGGAATCTCTGTGCATACAAGGCCAAAACTTCAGTCATTAGGCTACCGCACCAGGCCTAACCCCCTATTTTTTATTAAGGATTTCTTGTTTCCATGTTGTAGGTAATGATATGCAACCTAAATTTGATTCTTTTAGAGCAGTTACTTTTTCTTAGTAGGCTGTCACCAGAAGATTGAATGAGTTCCATTGTAAGAAAGAGATAGAGTTACACCTAACAGACCAAGAACCCTGCCTGACCTGAAGGTGATCTTACCTCTGGCAAAATGGTAAAATTTGGATGTACTTTGCCAGTGATTCATGCACATCCATGGGAAGAGGTTGAGAGCCTTCTTTCACTGTCCCATTACTATTATAAATTAAGATATTTCCTAGGTAAAGGAGAAAATAAGAATTCTGAAATAGAACATAAGAATTTGTCCTAGCTAAGAAGAGTTGCAGTTTTAAAGATTTATTTTTATTATTTTTTCATTGGAAAGGTGGATATACAGAGAGGAAGATCTTCCGTCCGATGATTCACTCCCCAAGTGAGCGCAACGGGCCGATACTATGCCGGTCCAAAGCCAGGAGCCTCTTCCGGGTCTCCCATGCGGGTGCAGGTTCCCAAAGCTTTGGGCTGTCCTCGACTGCTTTCCCAGGCCATAAGCAGGGAGCTGGAAGGGAAGCGGGGCTGCCGGGATTAGAACCGGCACCCATATGGGATCCCGGACGTGCAAGGCGAGGACCTTTAACCACTTGCGCCACCGTGCCGGGCCCAAAGAGTTGCAGTTTTAGACGCAAAATTTAAGCTGTTTCAAGACTTCCTGCCCCTGAGCCAGTGAAAATAGAGAGGCTTATTTGCATTTCAGTGGGTTAATACTGATTCAGTGTTTACCAAAACCAGTGGACTGTTGTATAAAATGCTGATTGGTAACAAGATCTTATCACAGTTTTAATTTTTAAAAAGAAACAGGTGATTCAACTTCATGCTTCTTTATTTTTCCTTTTCATAGGCAGAAGAACTTGAGTATTCTTGTGAGAAGTGTGGTGGGAAGTGTGCTCTTGTCAGGCACAAATTTAACAGGCTTCCCAGGTAAATTTAATAATCAGCTAATCTTCACCTTTTCCTTTTTAAAGTACATACAAATATTACTTAAGTCAAGCTTACTAGAAGGCATTGGTCAGGGAGGTTGTTAAAGCTGAGCTGTGCAGACTTAGCATGCTCTTTCGTAAGAAGGGGAGAGGGAGGAGAGTGTTGAAGAGGAAAAGGCCCAGAGTGCCCCAAGGTGGCAGCAATCAAAGGATGCAGCTGGTGAAAATTCGGGCTAATGGTAGAAATGGCTAGTAGCTTCAAATTCAGTAATGTGTAATACTGAACACATTATTATAATTGTTGTACTATCATCTTCCTCTCTTATCCCATATCCCCAGTAAAAATCTGCTACAGACAATCAAATGTATTTATGGAAATAAAATAGGAAGAGTAATTTTTTATAGTATTCATTCCTTTTGTGGAGTATCTTTATCAGTAAGTTTTCTATGATCATAATAAACATTTTCTGACATAGGTATCCAATTAATTTATATTGGTACTATTAGCTCTTTGAAACAAACGAAACCAAGATAGTTACAAAAAAAAGTTACAATACAGTTAAAAGGCAACTCTCAGTTCTTCCCAGGAATAGATCACCACAAACAAGGTTATCATTAACATTAACGTGGCACTTTGCAAAGTATTTACTTTCATTTATTAGCTTCAGTTTTCTTAGTGTGAAGTTTCAGAAACCTAGCCCCTATAGTTTTTTTTATTTGCCATAATCTCCTTTCCAAAAAATAAGTTGTCTCATCCCTTTCCTGTTTTGTAACTACTTGGTCTTTCAGGTGAAGGGGAAAATGGTAGGTGGAATTCTCTTTTTTTTTTTTTTTTTTTTTCTGGGATGTCACTTGTATTTGTTAATTTATATTCCAAACTTACAGGAAATAAAAGCATCCATATTTGAAATCCTAGAGATTAGTCTTACTCTGTTTTTGTTTTTGTTTTTTTAAGATTTATTTTTATTGGACAGTGAGGTATACAGAGGAGGAGAGGCAGAGGAAGATCTTCCGCCCCATAGTTCACTCCCCAAGTGGCCACAACGGCTGGAGCTAAGCCAATCTGAAGCCAGGAGCCAGGAGATTCTTCCAGGTCTCACATGCAGGTGCAGTCCCAAAGCTTTGGGCTGCCTTTGACTGCTTTCCCAGGCCACAAGCAGGGAGCTGGATGGGAAGTGGGACCGCCAGGATTAGAACTGGCTCCCATATGGAATCCTGGTGCGTACGAGGCAAGGGCTTTAACTGCTAGGCTACCACACCCGGCCTCTATTTTTGTTCAGTTATCAAAACCCCTCTACTTCCTGCTTAAAGGGACTGCTGTTTTATCGAGTCTTTTTACCTTAGTCTTACTCATCTTTGCAGATCAGTGAGTTTCACTGTCATCTTGTTTTGTAAAGTTGGGATTGTTTGACGTTTAAGTGAAAATTTGATTTTTGTGTTGTTTCTACTCTTCATGTCAGTTGGGTCCATGTTTCTCTGAAGTTGTGGATTGAAAAGGTCATGAGCTCTAACATTCTTTTAATGAAAAACTTCAGTTTGCTAATTTTTGGTTTTGTAGCCCGTGTGATAAAAGCTGATACTGTAGGAAAGGAAGCAGTTTTCCATTGATCAGACATTTTTTGTTTGCTGACCTGTTTAAGTTGTGTGTTGTGTTTTTTGTTTTGTTTTTACCTCAAACTATAGTTTATTTCCATAAGATTTTTGAAATGTCATTTTTAAAGTGTTCTGTGGTTTGAGATATATTTGATACATCAAGTAGAGATTATGTTGTGTATGAGAAGTGGGAAGTTTACAGTAGTAGCCAAAAAGAATGAAGTATTTCTGGTAAGTTACAAGCCTTTCAGACCCATACACCGGATTCAGCATACAATTTTAATATGAGGGTTTTTCTCCAAATGGAAAAATGTGTTCTATTTGAGCTTTCTCCAAGCAAAATACTGTTTAAATTAAGACAGCAGGACATTTCCATTGTAGCACAGATAGTTAAGGCATTGCAGATTAAACCACTGCTTGGAATGTTCACATTCTGTATTTGAAAGCTGGTTCAAGTCCTACCAGCTCTGCTTCTAATCCAGCTTCTGCTGATGCATCATGAGAAGCAGCAACCGATGACTCATACACTTGGGTGCCTGCCACCTTGTAGGGGACTAATGAAGTCCTAGGTTCCTGGCCTCCCCCCGCCCAGCCCAGCTTTTAAGGGCATCTGAGGAATATACTAGCAAGTAGATCTTCTTTCTCCCTGTCTCCACTCTGCCTTCCAAACAGATGAAAATAAATAAACATTAGAAGAAAATAAGAGTAATTCTTGTTGAAAATAATCTTGAAATTATTTTCATCATTATATTATGGGCCATGTACAAATTTAATATAATTTTACTGTTATTGGTGATATGACACTACTTCTTTTTTTAAACTATGTTTATGGTATAATAAGTAATTATTGAACTTTATACCAACATTTAAAACATCCGTGTTCTTCTTTGCTGTGTTTTGGTGGGATTTCCAGAGTTTAAGGGAATACTGTATTTTACCCAAACTTCATTAATCAGCCAATATCCATGTTTCATTTTTGTTTTTTATACTTAGTATCTAGACCATTGCCTGCCTAGCACATGGACAGTGTTCAGTTAGTGTTCTTTGAAATATTTTTAGGTTTGCCATATGTATTCTCTAAATCAGAAGTTATCCAGTGTAGTTAAAGTGATCTCTTTTCATCTGTAAGAGAGCTACCTATGTGATACATGCGTTAGTAAGATGGTCTGCTGTTTTTCAGAGTCCTCATTCTTCATTTGAAACGGTATAGCTTCAATGTGACACTCTCGCTTAACAACAAGATCGGGCAGCAAGTCATCATTCCAAGATATCTAACTCTGTCATCTCATTGCACTGAAAACACAAAGCCACCTTTTGCTCTCAGTTGGAGTACACACATGGCAATGTAAGTCCTTAAGAGAGAATGTCTACCTTCCTGTGGAGATTGGAGGCACTTGTCTCATCCACTTTCTCCTAATCCTGATCTTCCCCCCTAATCAGTGGTCCACATGGACATGTATCCCTCTCAACTATGTAAACATCACCAAAAATTAAATTTTTAAAACTTTAAATAAATAAATATTTTTAAAGTCACAAAAAAAAGAAAAAACTATGAAATAGGACATTTTGGTATGTGATCAAAAGATTGACTGAGCTAGGTACGTGATGCCCTGGTAAAATCAGACCAAGAAAAGAGGTTTTGCTGTTACTTTATTTTGTAAATAAATTATTGCCTGTTTTTGACATATTTGAAAAAAAATGCTTAAGCAAAATTCTTCCAAGGTCATTATCTGCTGTTTGTAAGATAGTTCTTGAGGGAGTACTGTTTTAGACTGCTAGAAGATAGTTTGATACAGGGAATATATAAATCAACCTTGGGCAATCTTAAGAATCAGCTAGACTTAAAAATGCCAATTTCTGTGTTCTGTCCCTGGAGGTTCTGTTTCATTAGATCTAAGATAGCTTGGGAGTCAGTGTTTTCTTTCACTTACTTGAAAGGCATAGCTATTAGAAAGGGATCTTCTGTCTGTTGGTTCAAATCCCAAATGGATGCAACAGCATGGAGTGATACGGTCTGAAGTTTCTTCCAGATCTCCCACATGGATGCAGAGGCTCAAACACTTAAGAATACCAGTTGAATAGAATCATAAAGCTATAGAAGTAGAGATGAAGAATGACCTAGATGTTTTGTCCAAATCCTGAATTTTCCATTTTAAATGCAAAGAGATTAGTGATTCATCACGTCACAAAAGGTCATATCCTCAGTACCAGAAAGAGCCAGATCTCCTGGCAAAATAGGTATTTCAGACATTGAAATAACATTGCTAACTTGAATGATTGGACTTTAGTAAATGTGTTCTTTTTTGGCTTTCTAAGTTACATAAATTTACACTAAAATCTTCATAAGATATTAATATGCCCAGATTGTCTTCATGTTTTTTTGTTTTGTTTTGTTTTTTTCTCCCGTGGCTTTTCTTTCAAATGAATATTTTTGTTCTGTGCAAACTTCCCTCTGTCTTCTTTCTAAAACTTGTGTTATATCATAACTCAGTGTTGAGTCTTTGTGATCAGTGCTGAAACCATGCTGATGCCACAGATAATAGATTTAAGGCCTTAGGCAATTCTTGACTTACCTATCAAAGTAGGAGGGTAGTTTTGAATGTTCAATGAAATTGCACATTAAATTTCTACTTTTTTTTAAAGATTTATTTATTTTTATTGGAAAGGCAGATACACAGAGAGGAGGAGAGACAGAGAGGAGAACTTTCCATCTAATGGGTTCACTCCCCAAGCAGCCACAACAGCTGGAGCTGAGCCAATCCAAAGCCAGGAGCCAGGAGCTTCTTCTGGGTCTCCCACGCAGGTGCAGGGTCCCAAAGCATTGGCCTGTCCTTGACTGCTTTCCCCGGCCACAAGCAGAAAGCTGGATGGAAAGTGGGGCCGTCAGGATTAGAACCGGCACCCATATGGATCCTGGTGTGTTCAAGGTGAGGACTTTAACAACTATGCTATCACACCAGGCCTGTACATTAAATTTCTTAGTACAGTGTCAGACATTCAGTAAGTCTTCAATAAATGAGAGCTATTCTTGTATTATTGTTTCAAAATAAAGAATTGAGGCAACCTAATTTTCCCCACGTGTTTTCAGGTGCATTACACTTAATTTCCAGTAATGTTTATTTCAGTTAACTGGATCAGATTTCATTTTCATTTCATTACATTTTCTTTTGGTCTCTTTTGCCAATAATTTTAAAAGTGTTGTAATTACTTGCCTTTTGAGAGGATACATGATATTATAGTATAAATTAATTTATTTTGTAAGTTAAATTCTCTCTTTAATAATGTAATTGTATACGTTATCTCTATCTTCTAATTCTCTGATAGTTCTAGACCACTGAAAGCCTCCCAAATGGTGAATTCCTGCATCACCAGCCCTTCTTCTACACCTTCAAAGTGAGTTATATTTCTTATGTACTCCATGTTTTCATTTTTAAGGATTTGGCTTGCCCTATTTTCTAAGATTCACATTTCCCACCTTTTCTTTACTGGTTCTCTCTTTGCATAATAATTCTCCATCACCCATACTGTGAAATTCTTTTAATCCGGGGTGTAATGGAGTCTACAGTATAATAAACTTTAACATGAAACCGGTTCAGTTGATCCTGTCAATATCTTACTTTATTCTGTCATTTGTTGCTATGTTATTTTCATCCTGAAACATTTTATATATAAAGATTTATTTTACTTTTTTTATTGGAAAGGCAGATATACAGAGGAGGAGAGACAGAGAGGAAGAGCGTCCGTCCAATGATTCACTCCCCAAGTGAGCGCAACGGGCCGATACTATGCCGGTCCAAAGCCAGGAGCCTCTTCCGGGTCTCCCACGCGGGTGCAGGGTCCCAAAGCCTTGGACAGTCCGCGACTGCTTTCCCGGGCCACAGGCAGGGAGCTGGATGGGAAGCAGGGCTGCTGGGATTAGAACCGGCGCCCATATGGGATCCCAGGCGTGCAAGGTGAGGACCTTAACCATTGCGCCACCGCGCCGGGCCCATCCTGAAACATTTTAGAGTTTGCTAAATGGTGAGCAGGTTTAGAAATTGAATGGATAAAACACACATTAATCTAAAGCCCTTTTCTCGAGATTAGGCATGGGATCGCAACTCCTCTTTTCACTTGTCGCTAGTCTGCCAGGCCATTTCTGAAACTGTGAACAGAAGCTATTCTGTAGGGAGACAGAAAACACACACACGCTAGAGTGTAAGTTGTTATTTCTAAGGAGGAAGGCTAAGATTTTTTTAAAGCTATACTTCTTCCAACATCTTACTAGAATGACAGTTCCTGATTAGATAGTCATTTGAGTTTAAAATTTTCTTCTTTCTAAACAATTGATGTACCATCATATTTTGTAAAAAAAAAATAATAATAATAAAATAACTTGTTCGTTATTTAGGGACTTTGAGGGAGGGACTTACATAATCATAAAATGACATTTGGGAACTGCTGTTTTCTTTTCCTCCTGTTAATTATTTTTCAGTGCAATTAAAACCAGATGATTGGGGCCTGGTGTGGTGGCGCAGAGGTTAAGGTCCTCGCCTTGCACGCCCAGGATCCCATATGGGCGCCGGTTCTCCTCTCTGTATATCCCTTTCCAATAAAAAAATAATAAAAATTAAAATCTTAAAATAAAAAACAGATGATTAACATGGCTAGAATTCTGAAATGGTACCAATATGAGTACTCTTATCTGTTCTCAAGATACAAATGAACAATACCACTTGGCTGCTTAGAAAATGAGCAAGTAATACATTCACAGGATGAATATTTTTCATTGCTACAGGCAAGCCGCCTTCTGTGGATATAGTAATTATTGATGGAATGCACTCTTTATGTACCAGATCACCATATTTGCAAGCAGGTGGTGATTTCATCGGGCTTCATTTGACCTTGGTGTGGTCATGTGTTCTCCAGGGTCTACGGTTATGAGAATGAGAGGTGGTTAATAAAAGGTGATTAGACCCTCAAAGACCTGTCATGCCGATCGAACTTAAAAGTGGCTGAGTTATGAACCAGAATATCATTGATACTTTTGCAATTTCTTTTGTGACATTTGACCCTGGTACAGGCAGTAGCCAGATGTCACCCTCCAGCAACAAAGTATTTATCTGGATAAACTGATTCATATGTTCAGGTTTGCAGGAACATAAACTCAGAAATAAAGATGTAGGATCCTTGATTGGCAAATGCTAGGCTAATGCTCTGGGCCCAAAAAAAAAAAAAAAGGAGCTCTTGAAAGCGTGGTGGGAGGCTCTCAAGTGTTCAGGCTGCTGTGTGGTGATGTCTGGCTGCTGTCGGCCACAGACTGTTTGGGCTCCTTGCCTCTTGGACCACTTGCCTCTTTTCTTTGATCTCCATTGTGCAATTCTGATCTCCATTGTGGCCTCTTAATCCTTAGTGCCATCTTTCTTTATGTTTATTTACAGTTTTTCCATTTGGATCAATTGCATTGTTCTAATTTCTTTTTAAAATAAAGCATATAGATATTGTGTTTCATGAAGAGTCTTGTTTCTGGCTTTTGCCACTTGTTTGTTGAGTTTATTTTCAGTTCACCTAAAAAAAACACACAGTAACACCTTACTTATCTGATATCACTGAGGAGTAATATTTGATATTCCACGTAAATGAATTTCTATATAATTGAAACTTGCCCTTCTAAGCATTTAGATTTTAAACGTTTTAGCCAGTTTAAATGAAAATCTTTCTAAAATGTTAACACTACTGTGTTTTGAAATAAAGTGCACTGGAGGCAGCAATTATATTTTAATAACATGGAATTAGTATTATATCAGTTATTGCACTGTATTTTAAAGTGTTATTGCCCTCAAAGGCTCTTAATTAATGCAAGACAGTTTTCATTTACATTAAATGACTTTATAGGTTTTTGTCCTTTTGTTATAGTTATTCTATTTCATTTCTTGGCTCTCATTTCTTTTTTTTTTTTTTTTTTTTTTTTTATTGTTGTTTACCTTGTATTATGTGGTACAGTTTTATAGGCGCTGGGGATTCCCCCCACCCCTCCCATACCCCTCCCCCCATGGTGGATTCCTCCACCTTGTTGCATAACCATAGTTCAAGTTCAGTTGAGATTCATTCCTTGCAAACACATGCCTAGCATAAAGTTCAGCGTCTTATTGTCCAGTTAAGTTCAGTGGCCTCTTGGGGAGACCTTCTCTGGTCTGAAGGTAGGGCTAACAGAGTAAAGATCCGGTCAGTTAAAAGCCCCAACAAAACCTCAGTATCAATATACAACATTATGGAATTAATTGACATAGTATTGGGTAAACAATATGTTAAAAATAATGCAAGTTCCATTCTTCGAAACATCTGGGTTGAGACAGTATCAATGACAGGTTCAAAAAATAACAAACAACCAAACAAAAAGGCTCTCATTTCTTGATGAACTTGCTATTCTATTTGGTACTCCATTTCCTGGGAGAGAAAGGGTCCCTGTAAGTGCATGGGCTTTGGAACTGCTTTCCTCAGAAGTCTTTTTTCCTTATTTTGGATTCTCTATGTTCTGGAACGTAGATTGCCAGAAGTCTGACCTACAGATAAGTAAATAAGTGGAATGTTACTGTTCTTTTTAAAGTGCATGCAATATAATTTAAAAGGTCAATAATTAGTCCTCATGCACTTGCTGTCAAAAACAAGTACTCATTGCTATTCCTGCATGAATTCAGTACGTACTTTATAAAGACAAGAGCAAACTTCATTGAGGTTGATCATCAAGAGAAAAAAGACTAAGCATAAAGTGATGAGTTTACTCTGATGCTGTGTATTGGCGTGAGAGTTGTCTAGTTTTCAAAGCATGGCTCTTATAAAGTGGGGCAAAAATAATGCTTTAGTACTATAAGAGATCTTTTGTTCGATGCTTTTCTATAATAGATAAGCTTTTTGCTTTGGAATTTATACGTGAATATCATAGCAAAAACAAATGTTTATCATACCTAACATGGTTTCATTCCCCATAAATTACAGGAAATTTACCTTCAAATCCAAGAGCTCTTTGCCTTTATGCCTTGATTCAGACAGTGAGGATGAGCTAAAGCGCTCTGTGGCCTTCAGCCAAAGACTTTGTGAACTATCAGGCAATGAACAGCAACAGGAAGACCTGGAAAAAGTAAGTAGTTTTTCCTCTAAACATGTAACCAGGGGGGGGTTGTGTAACTTCTTCTGTCCTTTTATATATCCATCATCAGCAAACAAATATGTTAGACTATAAAATCAGCCTATTTACTGCTACATCAGGCCTGTGAAGAACTTAGTCATTCTAGACAAATTCCTTTCTCCCATTCCCTTCACACATATTGGTCCTCAAATAGTTATTTGCTTTATTTTGATAGTACTTCATTTTGTGAAGGGAACAATAGCAAATGCTCACAGTGACAAAAACAACCAGCTAATCGAATCATTTGAATGATGAATGTGAACACATAGCTGCATCATCTCTGTTATGATATTTAAGGGTACTTAATAGTCTAGAAGCTGAAGCGCTCTTTTTTTTCTTTTTTTTTTTTTTTTTTTTTTCTCTTCATTGTATTTGAAAGACGGACGGATGGAGCCCATCCCCTCCGTCTCCTGCTTTACTCTCCAGATGCCTGAAACATCCTGGGCTGAGCCAGGTCAAAATCGGGTGATGTGCTGTATTTGTAGGCGTCCTTGTGAGATCTAAAAGTAATTATCTTCTTCAGGACCCAAAATTATGCAGAATAGAGCCTGGTAAGCCTGGATTGGAAAATACAGGATTTGACAGGATGAATGAAGAAGAGCTAATAGCAGCCGTCCTAGAGATGAGTAAGAGAGAAGCTTCTCCATCTCCAAATCATGAGGATGATGACAAGCCAACCAGCAGTCCAGATACTGGGTTTGCAGATGATGACATTCAAGAAATGCCTGAAAATCCAGACCCTGTGGAAACTGAAAAGCCCAAAACAATCACAGAGCCAGGTAGGTTTCATGAAGACAAATGTCTGGTATCCAAAACATACTTTTAAAGCCTAACGTTATAAAATGTACATACTTTATTTTTATTTTTTAAAATTTATTTATTCACTCCCCAAATGACCACAACAGCCAGAGCTGAAGCAGGCTGAAGCAGGCTGAAGCCTGGAGCCTGGAACCTCTTCCAGCTCCCAAATGGATGCAGGATCCTGAGACCTTAGGCCTTCTCCAGTGCTTTCCCAAGCCACGAGCAGGGAGCTGGATGAGGAGTGGACTAGCCAAGACACAAATCATTGCTGTATGGCATCCTGGTGCTAACATGGGGAGGATTAACCAAAACAATAACAAAAACTTAGATTGAACTTAGATTGAAACAAACATTTTTTTGTTCCATTTTTTCATAGACTTTTTTTTAAAAAAGATTTATTTTTATTATTTTTATTGGAAAGGCGGATACACAGAGAGGAGAGACAGAGAGGAAGATCCTCTGTCCGATGATTCACTCCCCAAGTGAGCGCAATGGCCGATGCTATGCCGATCCAAAGCCAGGAGCCTCTTCAGGGTCTCCCATGCGGGTGCAGGTTCCCAAAGCTTTGGGCAGTCCGCGACTGCTTTCCCAGGCTACAGGCAGGGAGCTGGAAGGGAAGCGGGGCCGCTGGGATTAGAACCGGCGGCCATGTGGGATCCTGGGCGTGCAAGGCGAGGACCTTTAACCACTGCGCCACCGCGCTGGGCCCTTTCATAGACTTTTAACTGCTGTAATATACAGGTTGTCGTAGACTTATGTAGTATTTATTTTGAACTTAATTCTTTTCATTTAGAATGCATACATTTTGTTTATTAATGCAAAAATATTCTCAGTTGACATATAATGTAATATGTAGAAAAATACCTTTTTAGCTTGATTGGTTTTGTATGTTTTTTTAGATTTATTTGTTTATTTATTTGAAAGGCTGAGAAACAGAGGAAGAGACCGATAAAGATCTTCCATTTACTTGCTTATTCCCCAGATAGCCACAACTTCCCAGGCAGGACTGGACTAGGTGGAAGCCAGGAGCTAGAAACTCAATCCTTATCTCCCACATCGGTGGCAGAGGCCCAAGTCCTTGGGCCATCATCCCCTGCTTTCCCAGGTACATTAGAAAGCCAGATCGGAAGCAGAGCATCCATGACTCCCAGTGGCATTCATTGTGGGACGCTAGCATTGGAAACTGCAGCTTAACCCACTGTGTGCCTCAGTACCAGTAATGCCCTAATTTTTTCACTTACTCTAAATGATATTGTATTTCTAGCAGTTGATCCCATGACATTGTAGATACTTCCTGTGAATACGGAAGTTTGTTCTTTCCTGTCCTTAACCCTAGCTTCTGATGATGACCTAATTTCACAGTAAATCAGTGGTTCTCAACCAAGGGCAGTGTTGTCCCCACAGAACCGATAGCATTGTTTTCATTTTTAGTTGTCATAACTGGAGCGGTGTGTTTCTGGTATCTAATAGGAAGAGGCCAAGGACACAGTTACACATTCTACAAAATGTACAACAAATCCCCACACATACAAAAGCTTGTCCTTGCCAAAATGGCAGCAGTGCTGAGGAGGCTGAGACCCTGACATGCTTGAAACCAGAAGAAAATTCTGTGTCCTAAGCAAGTTATAGATGAGATTAAGGTAAATTGCTTTCCAAACAGTAGATGTCACTCTAGTCCAGAAATTTCAGTTTGTTACAAAGCATTTTCCAAGATCCTGTTATGTTGTGTTTCCACAGATCCTGCCAGTTTTGCTGAGATAACTAAAGACTGTGATGAGAATAAAGAAAACAAAACTCCAGAGGGATCTCAGGGAGATGTTGATTGGCTCCAGCAGTATGACGTGGAGCGGGAACGGGAAGAACAAGAGCTTCAGCAGGCGCTGGCTCAGAGCCTGCAAGAGCAAGTAAGAGAGTCATGGAACAGCTTGCTGTACCTGTCTTCCCCCACAAAGTAGAATAATAGTGACTAACGGGTTTTGAGTGCTTAACTGGGTATCAGATGTTCTAAATAATTTACCTGTAATGTGTCTTTGATCCAAAAAAAGAAAAAGAAAATTTTGGGGGTACTTTAGCGAGGCTTATTTAGTTATGAAACAGGTATATGGTTCATTATGCTTATTTCTGAAATCCAAATCTACTTGTATTTTTGGTTGCTCTCCATTACTGTAGTATGCAACAGGAAATCATGCTAGAAGAAGCCGTGCTAGAGATTATTCTGGTCCAACTTTTATTTTGTAGGTTGTAAAAATAGCCAGTGTGTACTGGTGTTTTGTCTCTGCAGGTTAAACTGCTGTTTACAGTGCTTTCATCTCATATTAGCATGGCCATTTGGAGTCTCAGGTGCACTGTTTCCAGTCCAGCTTCCTGCTAAGATTCCTGGGAAGGCAGAAGATGCTTGAGCCTTGGCCATCCATATGGGAGACGTACATGGAATTTCCAGCTCCTGGCTTTAGCTTGACCCATCGCTGCTATGAGAGCCATTGAGAAATAAACCAATAGCTGGAAAATCTCTGTTTCTCTGTACCAGTCTGCCTTTTTTTTTTTTTGTAAGCCAATTGACACAGAGATCTTCCAGCGACTGGTTTACTGCCCAGAATGACCACAATAGCCAATGTTGGGGTGGGTCTAAAGCCAAGAGCTAGAATCTCAATCTGAATCTCCCACATTGATGACCGAGGTCCAGCCATTTGGGCCATCTTCCATTACTTTCCAGACACATTAGCAGGGGCTGGATCAGAACTGGAGCAGCCAGGTCTAGAACCAGTGGCCATATGAAGCATCAGTGATGTAGGCTGTGGCTTAACCTACTATGCCAGAATACCAGCACCAATTTGCCTTTCATATAATAAACTAGTGAATTTTGAATGGCAAAGCTACAGGAGAGGGAGAACCAGGTAGGTAATCTTTCATTCATTGATTTACTCCCCAAATATCTGCCATGGCCCGACTGGAACAGACTGAAAACGAGAGCCCAGAATTCCATTCAGGTCTCCCATATGGAGGACAGGTGCCCAAGCACTTGAGCCATCATCCACTGGCTTCCCAGATGTATTAGTGAGCAGCTAGATTGGAAGGCTTAATTGGGGCAGCTTCCCCAGAGCAGACATTCGATGCAGCAGCAGATGCCACTCTCTGTGCCTGTGTCTCATATCCAAATTCCTGGATTCCAGTCTCAGAGTTATGCCAAATCCAACTTCCTGATAAAGCATAAGCTTTAAGGTAAGAGGTGATGGTGACTCAATTAAGAAACTAGAACCTGGGCCCAGCAGCGTGGCTTAGAGGCTAAAGTCCTCGTCTTGAATACCCAGAATCCCATATTGGTGCCAGTTCTAATCCCGGCAGTTCCACTTCCCATCCAGCTCCCTGCCTGGGAAAGCAGTTGAGGATGGCCCAATGCTTTGGGATCCTGCACCGGTATAGGAGACTGGAGGAAGTTCCTGGCTCCTGGCTTCAGATCGGCACAGCACCGGTCCGGTCATTGTGCTCACTTGGGGAGCGAATCATTGGACAGAAGATCTTCCTCAAGCTCCTCCTCTCTATATATCTGACTTTGTAATAAAAATAAATAAATCTTTAAAAAAAAAAAAGAAAAGAAACCAGAACCTGTCAATCATAATCTTTCATTATTCATCTTTGTCTCATAGGGTGATCGGTATGCTAGAGGCAGCTCACTGTCAGCTCAGGAAACAAAACCCCCTTCTGCCTAGCTCTACATGCAGAATCATGTGGGTGGTTTTCTATGGCCCATAGTGGGAGTAATTATATCGTGGAAACCAACAAATGCCATGAAGTCAGGAGAAAGGAGAAGCAGCAATTTGAAGAGTATTTACAATGTGCTAGGCATCTGCGCATGTAAGAACAGTAGAAATTACATTGTAATTTCACATTGAGTGGTTATTGGTTAATAAGCCAAATGTCACTGGTGAGAAAAAGTAGCATTTCAATCATTTTAACCCCCAACATTGCAGCTGACATGATGATACAATTTAAATTGCCATCTATAACACCAGCTTTCCCTATGAATACCAGCTTGAATCCTGATGCTCCACTTGCCGTCTGGCTCCCTGCTGATGTGCCTGAGAAAATAATATAAGATGGGCCACTGGGTCCTTCCCGTATGGAAGATCTTGAATGAGGAGTTCCAGGCTCCTGGCTTCAGTCTAGCCCAGCCCTGGCTGTTGGGATCAAATGGCAAATAAACCAGCAGATTGTTCTGAGAGTGTATGTCTCTTTCTTTGCCTTTCAAATAAGAAATAACTCTTTAAAACGAAATTTTTAGAAAACAGTGTTTTTTATATATGTGTGTATTTAAGTTTTATTTATTTTTGTTGGAAAGTGAGACATACAGAGAGGAGGAGAGACAAAGAGGAAGTTCTTCCATCTTGTAATTCATTCCTCAAGTTGCTGCAACTGCCAGAGCTGAGCCGATCTGAAGCCAGGAGCCAGGAGCTCTTCCAGGTCTCCCACGTGGGCACAGCATCCCAAGGCTTCGGGCCATCATTGACTGCTTTCCCAGGCTGCAATCAGGGAACTGGAAGAAAAGTGGAGCAGCCAGGGTACAAACTGGCGCCCATATGGGATCCTGGTGCATACAAGGCAAGAACCTCAGCCCACTAGGCCTTTGTACCAGGACCCAATGTTATGTTGTAAGGGGACAGTTAAACAGCTTTTTTTCTTTGTGCTCCCAAAGATTGTATTCCAGACCTCCATAAGGATACAGAAAGTATTATTAGCAGTTTCTTCTAAAGAAGCTGAAAAATAAGCTTAATCAGTACCTCTTATATATCTTTTCTTTCTTCTTGTCTTTTTAGGAGGCTTGGAAAGAGAAAGAAGATGATGACCTCAAAAGAGCCACTGAGCTAAGTCTTCAAGGTGTGAAGGGCATTTAAGTTATATTTTTGTAATGGTTGAAAGTATCACAAATAAAGAACAAAATATGCTTTTTAACAACATTGAATTTGAATACCTCCTGAGGAGATAGCATCTTAGAAGTTACTTACAGATGTGTTTTCCCTACCTCTCAAGTGAAACCATTGTTGTTTATTTTTAAGGGTTTTTTTTGTTTTTTAATTTAAATTTTTAAAAATATGTTTTTTAATTTCAAATATTTGCAGAAAGATAGCATCTTTCCCTCTGCTGGTTCACTCCCCAAATGGCCAGTGGCTGAAACTGAGCTGATCCACGGCAGGAGCCCAAGGATCTGGTCCATCCTCCACTGCTTTCCCAGGCCATAAGTAGAAAGCTGAAGTTGGAAGTGGAGCAGCCAAGACACAAACCAGTGCCAATGTGGGATGCCAGCAATGCAGCATGAGGATTAACCTGTCGAGCAACCATGCCAGACCCAAAACCATGATTGTTAACATATTTCCTTCATCTTTAACAAAAAAAGGATTTTTGCCATGTTACTGTTGTATGGTTAAGCATTTCACGTTTTACTTTTAAAAAAATTAAGTAGTGGCCCCAGCACAATAGCATAGCGCCTGAAGTCCTCACCTTGCACGCTCCAGGATCCCATGTGGGTGCTGTTTCATGTCCTAGCTGCCCTGCTTCCCATCCCACTCCCACCTTGTAGCCTGGGAAGGCAGTCGAGGGCAGCCCAAAGCCTTGTGCCCTGCATTCAAAGCAGTTCCTGGCTCCTGGCTTCAGGTTGGCTCAGCTTCAACTATTGTGGCCACTTGGAGAGTGAAGCAACAGAACATCATCTTCTCTGTCTCTCCTCCTCTCTGTATATCTGACTTTTCAATAAAAATAAATAAATCTATTAATTAAATAGCAAGAACAATATTTTTTTAAGATTTATTTTTATTAGAAAGGCATATCAGAGTTATAGAGAGACAAAAAAAAAAAGATATTTCATCTGCTGGTTCACCTCCCAAATGGCCACAGTGGCTGGAGCTGAGACAATCCAAAGTCAGGACCCAGTAGCTTCTGTCAGGTCTTCTATGTGGGTGCAGGGTCCCAAGGTTTTGGCCATCCTCAACTGTTTTCCCTGGAACACAAACTGGCGCCCATATGAGATCCCAACACTTGCAAAGTAAGAATTTAGCCTTTGAGCCATCATGGTGGCCTACCAGCTGCCCTGCTTCTAATCCATCTCCCTGCTAATGTGCCTGAGAAAGAAGTGGAAGATGGCCCAAGTATATCCAAGTATATGACCACTCATCATCTGCCTGAGAGACCCAGAAGAAGTTCCTGGATCCTGGCTTCAGATCTGTGCAGATCCAGTCTTTGAGGCTTTTTCAGGAGTGAGCCAGCAGAAAAATTCTGTTTCTTTCCCCCTCCCTAACTCTGTCTTTCAAATAAATCAATAAATCTTGTTTTTAAAAAATCAGTAAAGATGGATTCTTCCAGTACAAGTGTACTGCTTTTTTAGAATCGATCTTGGATTTATTTTATAGTCTCTTCTACGACTTCTAATCTTACATGAAGTTTACTTCACATGGGATTTAATGCATCTGGATTATCTGTAGGATTCCATTCTATCTTCAGCTTTATTTTGTGAGGATTAGAGTTCTTTATCATAAAGATATATTTAGAATAAAAAACATTTGGAGGGACAAGTCTTTTTTAAAGATTTATTTTTATTATTTTCTTATTGGAAAGGCGGATATACAGAGAGGAGAGACAGAGAGGAAGATCCTCTGTCCGATGATTCACTCCCCAAGTGAGCGCAACGGCCGATGCTATGCCGATCCAAAGCCAGGAGCCTCTTCCGGGTCTCCCACGTGGGTGCAGGGTCCCAAAGCTTTTGGGCCGTCCTCGACTGCTTTCCCAGGCCAAGGACCGGGAGCTGGAAGGGAAGTGGAGCTGCCAGGATTAGAACCGGCGGCCATGTGGGATCCCGGGCGTGCAAGGCGAGGACCTTAACCACTTGTACCACCACGCCGGGCCCAAGGAGGGACAAGTCTTGTGGCATTGCTGGTTAAGCTTGCAGTTGCAACACCAGTATCACATTTTATTTTATTTATTTATTTATTTTTATTTTTAAAGATTTATTTTTTATTGCAAAGTCAGATATACATAGAGGAGGAGAGACAGAGAGGAAGGTCTTTCATCCGTTAGTTTACTCCCCAAGTGGCTGCAACAACTAGAGCTGAGCCAATCCAAAGTCAAGAGCTTCTTCTGAGTCTCTCACACAGGTGCAGGGTCCCAAAGCTTTGGGCCGTCCTCTACTGCATTCCCAGGCCACAAGCAGGGAGCTGGATGGGAAGTGGGGCTGCCAGGATTAGAACTGGCGCCCATAAGGGATCCTGGGCATGCAAGGCGAGGGCCTTAACCACTACGTTATCGCGCCAAGCCCCAGCATTGCATTTTAGCTGCTGCTTCTGATGCAGCCTCCTACTAATGCCTCTAGGAAGGCAGCAGATCTGACTGTGTCATCCGTGCAGGAGACCTGAATGGCGTTCCTGGCTCCTGGCTTCAGCCTGGCCCAGACATGACTATTCAAACTACCAGTAAGAAGTGATGAAGGAATCTAAACCTCACAAAAAATAAAGCTGAGGGCCCAGTGTAGTGGTGTAGTGGCTAAAGTCCTAGCCTTGAAGACACTGGTTCTAATTCCTTTTCCTTAACTCTGCATTTCCAATAATAGTTTTGTTTGTTTGTTTTTTCAAAAAGATGAAAAATAGAATATAATTCTACAGATAATTCGAATTCGCTAAATTCTATATTGTGAGTGAATTGGAACACTAGTAATGTATTGTTTTCTTAAAGTAATTGAAATATATACCTGACACAATTTTGTCTTGCTAATTGTATCCCTGTGTCTATTCTAAGATCTTTTGTGAAAGCTTATCTTTGTGTTCTCCAGAGTTTAACAACTCTTTCGTGGACTCCTTGGGTTCTGATGAGGACTCTGGAAATGAGGATGTTTTTGATATGGAGTACACAGAGGCTGAAGCTGAAGAATTGAAAAGAAACGCTGAGGTAAAGCTCGTTGCATGTGGAATAGATCCGATGGCCAGAATTACTCCTGGTGTTTATCTGCAGAGGCCCATGGCAGTGTCCAGAGCAGCCATCAGTGCCCTCTGTTTTCTCCAGGGATTGCTCTGCCTTACATGTAAAATTCAAAAAAAAAAATAGAAAAGAGAAATTCATCCTGAACACTTTATGTTCATATAGAGAAGAATTGAGTGACAGCATATAAATACAAAAATGCCTTTAGCTCCACCCAGTAGCAGTATTCTCTTTGTAGCTTGATTCCAAACTTAGTTATTTGTTATTCAGTGAACACTGTTGAATGATATTAACTAGACCACACTGGACTCTTGCACTGCTATTCATTTTAGTTTGAAAGGGTTACAGAAGGAGAAAGATTCAGTCCTCTTATTCATTCCCAAATGGCTGAGCCAGGAGCTCTCCCATGTAGGTAGAAGGGCACAGACTTGTGACATCCTCTGCTGCCTTCCCAGGCCAGCAGGTAGCTGAATTCTAAGTAGGGCAGCTGGTACTCAAACCAGTGCCTATGTGGGGTGCTGGCACAGCAGAGAAAATTAACTTATAAACTCATGGCACTGGCCACAAGCATTTTGTTTTAAACACTTGTTTAAAGTATTTCTTATTATCTTAAACATGTTTTTTAAGGCATTTCACTGTACATCGAGAAAAACTATCATTATTGTGTTTCCGTATTTCAAATTTTGTTTAAGGTAAATTCCGGGGGAGAAGGGGAGGATGAGTTTTGGTGCAGCCATTCAGATACCACTTGGGATACCGATGTGCTATATCAGAGTGCCTGGGTTCAAGTTCAGCTCTGCTGCACAGTCTACCTTCCTGCTAGGTGTATATTCGCCCTGGGGAGCAGTAGGTGAAGACTCAAGAACTTGGGTCTGTATTGAGATCCCGGCTCCCAAGTGTTGGCCTTGCCCAACTCTACCTATTATAGGCATTTGGGAAATCAGGAGCATACTCCCAATCTTTCTGTCTTGGCTATTCAAATAAAGAGATATGTAAATAGGGTGTTTAAAAAGCATATGACAAATCTGTAAAGGTAAATTACTGTATCATAGCTAATGGGCATTTTGGTAGTGTATGATTTACATAGATCTAAATTCTTGGCCAAAATTTAATCTTGCAGTGCTGCTGGAATGTGTGAATATCACTTTTTAGATGTTTTTGTTGTTTTTACTCACTTATAATATTTCAATATAGATTTAAAAAAACAAAACAGGGAACTGGCATTTGTGGCATAGCACGTTACACTCCCACCTGTGGCACCAGGATCCATTATGAACACTGGTTTGGGTTCTTTGTTGCTCCACTTCCAAGCTATTCCATGCAAATGCACTTAGCAAAGCAGTGGAAGATAGCCCCTGCCACCCTCATGGCAGCCCTGGGTGAAGCCTCTGGTTGCTGGCTTTGCCCTGGCTAAGCCCCAGTCTGGCAGCCAATCAGGAAGTGAAACAGCAGAAGGACGCTTTCTGTGTGTGTGTGCATGTGTGTGTGTGTGTGTGTGTCCCTCTCTGTACTCCTGCCTTCCATGTAAAACTGTTAAGATAACCCAAAATGTGAAAGGCTATTTATAATTTCTTAGCAACACAGCAACCCTCTTTGCTTTTCTCTTTAAAGAAAAAATGGAATCTGTTGTTGGTGTGATTTGCATAGCTAGCATCTCATGGGTAGCAGTTTAAGTCCTAGCAGCTCTATTTCTTTCTTTTTTTCGATTTTGTTAAGGTTTATTTTGTTCTTATTTGAAAGGCAGATTTACAGATTGGAGGAGAGACACAAAGAGAGGATCTTCAAACCACTGGGTTACCCGTCAGATGCCTACATTGGCTGGAGCTGGCTAAATCTAAAGTTAAGATCTAGGAGCTTCTTTTGGGCCTCCCATATGGGTAAAAGAGCCCAAGGACTTGAACCACCCTTCACTGTTTTCCCGGGCCATTAGCTGGGAGCTAGGTTGGAAATGGAGCAGCTGGGATTCAAACCGGCACCCTTTTGTGGGATGCCAGCCTCCAGTGCTTTATTTTTGTACAAACAAAATGACATGTGCATTTCTGATTCCCAGACAGGAAATCTTCCTCATTCCTATCGACTCATCAGCGTTGTCAGTCACATTGGCAGCACCTCTTCTTCAGGTAAATGCACATCAGACTCACTGCATGGAAGCGTGGTAGCCAGCATTAACTACTCTCACATTGCTCTGACCCACCATTATGAAGTCAAAAATGAATGCAAAGAAAAGCTGGCAAGTCTTTATTGATCACCTCAGTGTGAATTGCTAATAGATATGACTATTTTGATTTTTCTGTTCTTAAATGACCTAAATTCTCAGAGCAAAATATATTTATCAAAAAAAAAGCTACCCGATTATAGTCCTATTCCTGTCTTAATTCTCCGTACCTGTTCTGGAATGGCTTTTTATAAGCATTATTCTGACAAGATAGGACTCTGATCACATTCTACCCAAACTCCTTACAGCTGAGAAGAATCTAGTATGTTTCTTAAAAACCTCTGTCTTAAGATGTTATTTGTTTCAGGTCATTACATTAGTGATGTGTATGACATTAAGAAACAGTCTTGGTTTACTTACAATGACCTGGAGGTCTCAAAAATCCAGGAGGCTGCTGTGCAGAGTAATCGGGATCGGAGCGGTTACATCTTCTTTTATATGCACAAGTAAGAAACTGCTGGGGCTAAGGTCACGGGCTAAGAAGCACCCACGTACTTTCTGCTTCCTACCACTTGATTGGTTAAGTTTTGGGTTTTGTTTTCTGTAGTTGGGGATCATCTTTGATATTTCCTTAAACGGGATATTTTCTCCTTTAATCCAACATGAATTATTTACCATATTGTATCTAGGTATGGAACTTTAAAACTTTTTATGATAGAAGCTATCCTATTTTCTTTTAATTGGAGAGGTGGAGTACAGAGAAGAAGAGAAAAAGATGTCTATTGGTTCACTCCCCAAATGGCCACAACAGCCAGAGCTGAGCCGACCTGAATCCAGGAGTCAGGAGCTTTTCCCTGGGTTTCCCACATGGTTGCAAGGACCCAAGGACTTGGGCCATCCTTCTTTGCTTTCCATGCCAAAAGAAGGGAGCTGGATGGGAAGTGGAGCACCCAGGACACAAACCAGCACCCATAAGGGGCGATGCTTGCTGTAGAAGATTAGCCATTTGGGCCATTACGCCAGCCACTCATAAATTCTTTTGATCCTCCGGTTTTATCAGCTAGAGAATCTGCCCTGTTACCTGCAGTGCCTGGGGTTGGAATAGAATTGAAGCCTGGAGCCAGAAGCTCAGTCCAGGTGCCCTAGATTGGTGGCAGGAGCTAAGTTACTTGACCTATCGCCCCTGTTGGCTGGGAACTAGAGCCAGAGCTGGAAATGAAATCCAGGTTCTCTGCTATGGGAAGCAGGTGTCCTAAACAGCATCCAGCATCTCGATTATCAGGCTAGACGCCAGCCCTCAGATAGCATTTTTGTTAGAACTGTTACCAGTTCTTGCCAGCCTTGACAGTCGGTAGCACCCAGAGGGATAATGAACAAGGAAGTGAGCTGCCTTTTTTTTTTTTTTTTTAAGTTTTATTTGTTTGAAAAAGTTCTTTCATCCACTGGTTCACTACTCAGATGTAGTAGCCAACACTGAGCCAGACTGAAGTCAGGAACTGGAACTCCATTAGGATATTCTGCTTGGATGGCAGGGGCCTAGGTGTTTAGGTCATTTTCCACTGCTCTCCCAGGTACATTAACAGGAAGCTAAATAGGAAACAGAGCAACCAAGATTCAACCCAGCACTCATGAAATGCTGGTGTCACAGACTACAGCTTAACCACCACATCACAATGTCAGCCTCAGAAACTTTTTTCAGTATTTATTTGAAAGACAGGGCTTCTGAATAAAAGAAAAAGAGCTCTTCCTTTTGTTGATTTACCACCAATTTGACCACAGTAGCCAGAGCTGGGCCAGGCCAAAGCCAGGAGTGCCTGAGCTATCATCTTGCTGTCTTCCCAAACATACTCTCAAAAAGCTGGATCAGAAGCAGGGTAGCCAAGACTAGAATCACCCCTCTGATATGGAACAAGGGCGTCCCAAGCGACGGCTTAACCCTTTGTGCCATAATACCTACTCTTTTTTTTTTTTTTTAATTTAGTGGCAGAGAGAGAAAAAAGATGGAAATCTGGTTATTTAATGAAATTTAGGCACCAAATGGGATTGTGTGGGCTTTATCATTACCTTCTGTCTGTCCTTTAGTTCTCACTGCATTCCTTGTTTAATTGTTTGTTTCATTTTAAGGGAGATCTTTGATGAGCTGCTGGAAACAGAAAAGAACTCCCAGGCACCCAGCATGGACGTGGGGAAGACAACTCGGCAGGCCTTGTGAGGAGCCACACCTGGGCTGGCAGTGTGCGCTGCGGCTTCTCCTGCCACCCACCTCACCCCTCCTCTACTTGATGCGGGAGCAACAAACAGCTCAGGGCCAAACCAAAAGACAAAAATTGCAGTTAGATGGACTGTTCCATGCTAACTGTTTTATGGAAAACTTGGTTTCACATCTATAACTGATTATCATCTTTTTTTTTTCCTCCTACAAGAGTGGCACTTCCTTTTGTCTTGGAAATTTGTGTTGTAAATACATATGTGTATACGTGTGTGTGTACATGCACACACAGAATGAATGTAGCCTTAAAGAGGTAGATGATTCACCAGAGTTTGCCTGGTCAAAATTAATAGCACAGCAGTTTGGAGAAGAAATGAGGTTGTCCAAGAGTCTGCCCACCTGGGAAATGTGTGAGGATGCACACAGCAGTTGATTCTGCACTTTTGTGTTCTTTGAGCAACTTCACTCGAGTCTGTCACCTTTTGGATGTGTGTCTGTCTAGTGTAGTTCACTGGAAAACCAGCTGTCCATGGTTACACTAATGACAGTTTAAGTTCATGAATTGGTAATGCCTTTGCTGTTTACATGCAGTCCCATTGGATTGTTGGTGCTTTGGAATGCATTATGATCTCACATTTGGCGTTCATGATATTTGGTTTCTTCTAGAAAGATTCCTACATTATTTTGATCATGAAAATAGAGTCTTTTCATCTGTATCATTCTTTGAAGGAGCACACATTAACCTAAAAGACAGTAATCAAAATTGCAAAACCTAGAAGAGTCGTATTGCGCTAATTAGCATCCAGCAGCGGGTATTCCTGGAGGCTTGGCCAACACTTGTTTTTCTATCTCTCAGAGAGCAGTCATGAAAAGTGATCTTGTGTCAGAACTGAGACTCTGGACCACTAAAGCTAAAACCCCATCAGCATGAAATTAAACACACCAGCTATAGGATGCAACTTGATCATTTAATCATTTGCTTTCTGACTTTACCCTTAAACAGAATAAACATTCAAAAAAGTGATTGATTAGGTAATCCCAGGAACTAGCCAGTTGCACAGACGTGTAACAGTGACTCTGACCTTCCAGGTGCTGTGATTTGAGGCCCAGTGGGTATGCAGCATCAGTACCACTTTCATCACTGAACTGACAGAACTAGCAGAACTAGCTTGGTCAAGCAGCTTAGGAACCCTGTAAAGAACTGAGTTTGACTGGGACTTGAGTCCACAGAATGGTTGTCTGAGCTCCAGTTTATTATCATTAGGATCAACAAGAGTTAACTATAACAAAAGGAAACCTTCATTATTTCCTCTCATGCTTTTCTGTAGATGAGACAACATTTCAGGTTTGAGGTAGAAATTCAGCTACATGAAATTTTCTCGGGAGGACTTCTAAAACCCATTCTCATGGAGGGTGCAATGTCATATTTGGGTAATTACCTTCCAAGAATTCCCACCTCACTCTTAAAATTTGGAAGGGCTCTAACAGTTCCACCTCTACTAAAGTTGTCATTGAATTGTGAAGGGCCTCGGCAGTTGGGCCTAACTGCTGATAAATGCTTTGCCTCCACCATCTCCCTGCAGATGTTACAGTGATAGGAAATGCAGGTGCAGTAGATCAGGGCAGTGGAAAATACTAGCTTTTGAGATTTTGCTTCATTTCTTTCCCATTTAAATATATGTGCTTCAGAAGCCAGTCCTAGCAATTTTATTTCATTTCTCCAGGAGTCTCGAAAAGAATTGGTGCTTGAAAAGAATTGGTTTTCTAATCAAGAGGTGAAGTGGTTAGGAAATGCCTTAGCTGATTATTACTTCTCTTCCCTGTCACCTTAGTGAATTTTGAGAAGCACTGTTAAAAATGGAAGTGCTTTAATACTTTAAGGGCTGCACTAAGACATAGAGAAAACTAGAAACGATGCATCCGCCTAGATTGCCTTGGGAAGCAGCTTCATTTGGATTGCTCCTATAGCTTGCACGTGTGTTGTTTAGATGTGCACTCGACTCAAGCACCTGATTCCATGTGATCTTCACATCTTGGACAGGCCTTGCTAGTTGAGAACTGGTTATTGGGTAGAAGAGCTCCCTTGTTGTTCATATACTGGCAGGCCTAAGACTTGGGACCTGTTTGATCATTGTGGCCTTGATAGCCTTTTCATTCTTTCTTCACTCTGTCAGCCTACCACTTTGACTTTTAAAACAGATGCAGCTGGATTTTGTTCATGAGATTTGTTGATTTTTGAGCTGTATATATTTAAAAATGATTTTAAAAAGATAATATATTATTTTTTGCACAGTGTGATCAGCTAGCCCAGCATTGGAGGAAGGGGCAATTAGCATCCTGGGGTCAGGAAAGAATAGAGTCCTTCCGTCCCAGGCAGTTTGCACACTTAGCTAATTAACCTTCCTGTTGAAAATACCAAATGAATGCTTACTTCAAGTGACACTAAATTGGGACTTGATAGCAATAAGTTCTAAACACAGCTTTTGGCTATTAATGGTATTTTTCTTAAAAAGTAAACTACAATTCAAACTTGTTGGCAAGTTGCATGTGGTTAGATGCCATTTTCCCTTTAGTAGCCAATGATTATAATTTAGAGGAAGGTACACATACATTTTGCCTGGACAGGATGGCAGCAGCAAGAACTCCATGGGTTGGTCTTGCTGTTTACTTGCTAGGGTCTCTTCATTCCAGGCCTAATTTAAATGGCTTAATAACAGTATAACAAATGTAAATTGTTTACATTTTGAGACACAGCAGCATACTTACAGAGACATTAACTCCAGAAGGCAAATGCTAGACTATCCGTTTCTTCCAGTTTGCTTTTTATAGGGTAAAATTCTTACAAAAGATAAGCTTTAAGATGTAAAACCTCAACAAAGTAAGCCGTGAGATGATTATCCTTCCATACTGCCATTACTATTATATGGAGCGCTGCAGATACAATTGTGTAGTGAAAGTTGTCTGGAAACACCAAACCAAAGAGAGAAGATAGTTTTGTAAACTGATTTGTGACCTACTGGAAAGGTTGTGTTAAAGCAACGACAGATACTGTTCTACCCCTTCCCCTGTCCTCTGTCAACCACAGCAAAAAAGCAGATACTAGTTAGGCAGCCGCTTATTGGCTGCTTGGTTGGGGTGTTGGTTTGGAGGTCTATTTTTTGTTCCCTGTTGAATTTAATTGACTCTCCAATGTGGACTTCTGTTTTAAGTCTAGGAAACAGCTAACCTCCAACTACAAAAAGGATGTACGTTTATATAGGGAGATTATTAGGAAAATCGTCAACAACCCAGCAGACATAGATTGCATGAAGGAGTTCTGACAAAACAGAGAAGTCCTTTTCCTTCCTATTTTGCTTTACACTGTAAATGTGTGCAGACATAAGCAAAGGTTTCTGTTGTGTTGCCTCAGAATTCTTATTATTCTGCCTCTTGGAAAACAATCACTTATGAGGCTTGACCATTTTGTGACTGTTTTGCTGTGTCTTACTGCAGTCATGAACACCCAAGGCATGCTTTGGTTTCTGTACTTTGAGCAGTCCTTTGTTGGTTTATTTATACCTACTTAGTAACTCATTTCCTTCCCATAGGTGCTCTGTGTCTGAGGTTTTGAATTTTTTAATGAAAATGTAACAGTATGAATATAAGCATTTGATTTTAGTAGCATACTTGTCTTAACTAAGTTCAATTATAGGTATGTCCACTGACAAGAGAATATGGAGTGGAATAAGGGTCTGGATTAGGATCTAAGTGTGTCACTTCGAATGCCAGAGCCAAGAAGGGGTGTGTTTCATAATGAATGGGCCCATGCCAAGAGAGACCTCACATTGGGTGTCTCCCAGTTTCCCTTCCTGGCTTCTCAGAAGTACCCTAACTTCAGTCTGGCCCACCCTCCGTGCTTTCTTTGTCCTTTGGGAGACGGACAGAAGTGAGTTTGCCTGATTGAGCCATGAGCAGGTTTGCTGGCAGCTTTGGTCACATGATTTATGAGGTGATCTTTTCTCTTTGTGTTCAGAGTGGACTTCTGATTCCAGGTCTTTATGTGGTTTTTGTAAGGAGCGGCACTTTATCTGTGTTTTAGCAGAACTGTTCCTCTGTGTCCTTCACAGTTTTCCCTTGTTTTTGTTTCCTTTTTAAATTATGCAGAGTTTTTTTTGTGTGTGAAATTAAAGCCTTTATTAACCTTCTCTAGATTTGACTGTTATTTCTGAAAAAGGAAACATTCTTACAGACACTAGACACTATTAACAGCCAGTTATGTGAAGTTGTACAAATTGCCTAGACTTCCTACAGCACCAGTCACATTATAAAAAAAAAATGAACTTCTATTTAGTGCAGATTACCACCGAGTTTCTTTGGTAGTCATTTGAGGAGCCTGTGGAACTTTCCAGAGGTTTTTGGATAGCACTTATCATGAAGAGCCCAGGAGAGAGTGCTGAAAGAACAGCTGCTGTGCTCGCTTCGGCAGCACATATACTAAGACTGGCATGAACAGAGAAGATTCGCATGGCCCCTGCACATGGATAACATGCAAATTTGTGAAGCGTTCCATGTTTAAAAAAAAAAAAACAGCTGCAGTCACTACTTGCCTTTAGTCCTCCAACCCCTACCTGCTAGCTACATTGCTCCTTCTAGATACAGGTATTTTGTGAGCATTGTGGAACCTGCAGAGAGGGCAATTCTCCAGGCCATTTAACTGTCCCTCAAAAAAGAAGTCCGCTTTCATTGGCTACATGAAGGAGATGCGTGTGAGAAGGAGAAGCTGTTATCCTGGGGAGAATGTATAATGGCAAGCTGCTTCCACCCACCTGCGATGGACAACAGCACGTCATGATAGAGAAGCAGCTAGGGTGGTGCCTCACAATTCATGTTGCTCATGAAAGACAGGAACACTCAAGTAGGGTAGTTAAAAGTGGTGCAACACCCCAGCATAGAAACCAGCAACCGCCTTCCTGAGGGCTTCAGGGGGACCACAGGCTCCTTGTGGATGCATCATCTTTGTAAAGGAATTTGGAGATTACTAAGCAAAAATACCATTGCCAGGCTGCTCACAAGTACAACTTCAAACTTCATTAACCAGCAAAGGACTGATTGCAGTAATAAAAACAGGGAAGTGCTGACAGTGTTGGGAGTGTGGGTAGGCTTGCTTTACAACCACAGTTCCTCCTGCTGCTCAAAACAGTCCTCTTTCTTTCTTGAGGTTTTGTTGCTTCCATCGAGGCAGGGCCGAGAAGGCAACTGGAGACATCCCAAAGGCTCTAGTGAAGTCTTCCACAGACAGGTGCTCCTGGAAGATGAAAGAGCAGAAGCAAAGTCACTCCTCCCCAACATCTGGGCTGGTGGGTCAGGAGTGTGGCATGGAACCTATGCAATGACCAGCAGAGGCCCGCAGCTGTTTGAGGGCCAGGAAAGGTGTGGAGAGGAGACTGTCACCTGTGCTTCCTGGGGGTTGGTCCCCTGTTAGTAAAAAAAAGGGAGATGATCAATTGAGCCCCTTCTATTTCTATCAGGGTCAAGTTCACATTAGCCCTAAAATGAGAATTGAAATATTGGACTTGGCTTGGTTAAGGAGTCACTTCTCTTCCCAGGCCTTCATCTTTCCTCTCATAAAATGAAAGAAATTTTGTAAGGGCCAACTTTTGCTTCCTTATAGGAGAATGAAAATGTAGCATGAATGGGTGTGAGGATGGGCCCGGCACCGTGGCCTAGCAGCTAAAGTCCTCGCGTTGACCGCACCGGGATCCCATATGGGCGCCAGTTCTAATCTCGGCAGCCCCACTTCCCATCCAGCTCCCTGCTTGTGACCTGGGAAAGTAGTCGAGGACGGCCCAAACCTTTGGGACCCTGCACCCACGTGGGAGACCCGGAAGAGGTTCCTGGATCCTGACTTGGATCGGCATAGCATCAGCCGTTGCAGTCACTTGGGGAGTGAATCATCGGATGAAAGATCCTCTCTGTCTCTCCTCTCTGTATATCTGACTTTCCAATAAATAAATAAATCTTAAAAAAAAAAACAAAAACTAAAAAAAAAAGAAAAGAAAGGGTGTGAGGAACCTGCTGTTTAGTTCGTCTTCACTTAAGCAGTGAGACCATGCCTGGCCCACAAAATAAGCAAATGATATGCAAGGTCCTGCTATCACAGGAGACAGGATCCTTCTAGAAGAGCTTGTCACCCTGAGCAGCAGTCTCACTCCTGGGCCCTTCTCTGTTTTGGATCAAGTTGGATGGGTGCCAAGCATGACAGGGCAAGTGCTAATGTAGCTTACTGGCACTGCTGTGCGCTTCAACACGGGGCATGCGATAGGAACAGCCAGCCCTCCGGGCCATGGTGAATGGTTTTTTTCCCAGATTGCCTCTGTTGAGCTGGGACTTGTTTTGTTTTTTTCCGCTAAAGAGTACAAGACATCTCCATCCCATATAGAAGTGCCTGGCTGGGTTCAGTCCCCAGCTGCTCTTGACCCAGGGAGGCATCCCATGATGGTTCAGGTGGCTGGGTTCCTGCGACCCACATGGTAGACTGGAATGAGCTCCTAACCCGCAGTCTCAGCCTCAGCCCAGCCTTGGCCATCACTGGGCTTGGAGGTGTGAACCAGCAGACACGAGCTCAACCTGTGTCGGTATTAGTCCTATCAACTCCAACTCAGCTTCTTGCCGATTGTTTCTGAAGAGCATACAATGGCTCCAGTGCTTACACTCCTGTCACCCTCCATCAAGAGGGACTTCAGGGACCCAGCGGAGTGGCCTAGCGGCTAAAGTCCTCGCCTTGAACACACCAGGATCCTATATGATTCGAATCCCGGCAGCTCCACTTCCCATCCAGCTCCCTGCTTGTGTCCTGGGAAAGTTGTCGAGAACTGCCCAAAGCCTTGGGACCCTGCACCCGCGTGGGAGACCCGGAAGAGCTCCTGGCTCCTGGCTTTGGATCGGTGCAGCACCAGCCATTGCAGCCACTTGGGGAGTGAATCATCGGATGGAAGATCTTCCTCTCTGTATATCTGACTTTACAATAAAAATAAAGTAAGTCTTTTTTTTTTTTAAAAAAAAAAAGGGGGGGGGCGGGGCGCAGATTTTAGAATCCTGGCTTCACCTGGCGCAGCCCTATTGCAGGCATCTGGGGAGTGAACCGGAGGGTGGAATCCACTCATTCATGTTTTCTCTTCCCCCTCCACACTCTCTTGCTGTTCGAAGTCAATGAAACCAGACATTTCTTTAAGGGCTTTCACTTAAAAATAAAAAAAGTATAGGAACTATTTGCATACCATTTACATTGTATAGCTATTGTAAGCTAGAAATGATTTAAAATATATAGGAAGATGTGTAGGTTCTTTGCCAATACATTTCCTATAATGGACTTAGACATTTTTTAACTTCAGGGTTCCTGGAACCAGTCTCCTATGAATACCAAGGAAGAACTGTATTAATCTTTTCTTAAGTATAAAGATGTTACTTGAGGGCCCAGTGCGATAGCATAGTGGCTAAATCCTCACTTTGAATGCACCAGGATCTCATATGGAGGGTGCCGGCTCTAATCCCGGCAGCCCCACTTCCCATCCAGCTCCCTGCTTGTGGCCTGGGAAAGCAGTCAAGGACGGACGGCCCAAAGCCTTGGGACACTATACCCGCGTGGGAGACCTGGAGGAAGCTCCTGGCTCCTGGCTCCTTTGCACCGGCCATTGCAGCCACTTGGGGAGTGAATCTTTGGACAGATCTTTCTCTCTGTCTATCCTCTCTGTATATCTGACTTTCCAATAAAAAGAAATACATGTTTAAAAATAAAATAAACCAAAGAGCTTCATCCCTCATCCCTCGTGGCTTCCCAGTCAGAAGGTAATGTTAAACTTCAGCCATCATTTACATTCCAGTGTGAAAAACAGCAGCCGGAAACTATGGTCACACTTTTCCCCCACCCCGGATCCTTCCCACCCTGATCAACACTGTAAACATCAAAAACAAAGATAGTATTTTTAAAATACCAGCTGGATGACTTCATAAGAACAGGCCTTGCTTAGAGATGGCTGGGAGAGCGCAAGGTACAACTGAGGTGGAGGAAGGATTCTGAGAGAAGTTAAAGGTCAAAGAACAAACACGGTCACGTTTTGGCTGGTTATTGTGAATAGAAAACAAATGATGACAAATGACTGGTTTCTCTCTTCCTGTGAATGATCTAGAAGATTAGATAGCACAATTTCATCTTTTTACTAGACCTGGGAGTCTACTTTTCTAGGCCTTGGCTATCTTCCCTGATAAGATTAGGCCAAGACCTTTGTTCTGCTGATGGCAGTGCCCTCAGGGTACACTCAGGACAGTCCCTCCCAGCACCTGCAGACACCAGGAGGTGGATGGGATGGGGCTGAACCCAGGGCTTCCCTGACACACTTTTTTTTCCCCCTCTGAGCTGTTGCGCTAAAGTGAAGCTGCCCTGGGCAGCATTTTTCCTGACTGCGGACAGCTTGAGATCGAGTAATTTGCTGATCGTCACACCTGCTCAGGTAGGTCTGCTGTCCCTGTTGTCCAACCTGTTCCCACCTGCCTCCCGCCCCACCCCCGCGACCACCCTGGGGCATTCTCTCCTGAAGGCTGATGGGAACTAGATGCTGGGAGCCTTCCCCACTCCCAGCCCTGTTCCTAAATAAAACAGTAAATATGAATGGCTTAGGCATTATTGGGTGAAGGAGAGCTGCTGGACCCCAAGTTTATCTGTAGCCAACCCCCCTAGGTTGTCACAGCTGTGGCTGCCGCATCCCATCTCCTCTACAGGTGACTCTAGGGTGTCAGGATTGCTGGACTCTGACCTCCCCCTAGGGGGCTAGATAGCTGAGACTGCCCATCCCAATGGACTTGTATCTTTCCATTGACCCTGCTCTTGAACCTTGCGGTCCTGCCAGCTGATTGCCAGCCTCACCCACGGCCACATCCGCCTCTCTGGTTTACTCATCAGTGCTCAAACACTTAGATTGCTTTCTTTCTTGCTGCTCACGGTCAGACCCTGTCCCCGCCCCACTCTGGTCACTGACTCACCTTCTAAGTCTGCAAAGCTGACTTCTAAGGTGGGCCCACTTAACACTGAACTCCAGCTCTCCTCTGAGAATGCATGCTGGCTATCTTCATGATCAAAATTCAGCCAAAGACAACTGCAGTTTAGTTTTTGTTTTTTAAAAACTCAGCTGCCGGGCCCGGCATGATAGTATAGTAGTTAAAGTCCTCGCCTTGCACGCGCCAGGATCCCAAATGGTCACCGGTTCTAACACCAGCAGCCCCGCTTCCCATCCAGCTCCCTGCTTGTGACCTGGGAGATCACTGGAGGATGGCCCAATGCCTTGGGACCTGCGTGGGAGACCCAGAAGAGCTCCTGGCTTCGGATTGGCTTGGCTCCAGCCATTTCGGCCACTTGGGGAGTGGACCATCGGAAGGAGGCTCTTCCTCTCTGTCTCTCCTCCTCTCTGTATACCTGACTTTGCATTAAAAATAAATAAATCTTAAAAAAAAAAGAAAAGAAAAAACCACTCAGCTGCCTTCAGGCAGTTCTAGCTTAATGGACTTGTCTTCATTCTGTCAATTTAAAATAAGCCTAGGGCTGGCATAATTGCTCAACTGACTCATCTTCTACCTGCAAGTGCCCATATCCTATATGAGGTACTGGTTTGGTCCCAGCTACTCCACTTCTGACTCAGCTCTTTGCTTGTGACCTGAGAAAGCAGATGGAGAATTGCTCAGATCCTTGGACTGCTGCACTTATGTGGGACACAAGGAAGAAGTTCCTGGCTCCTGACTTTGGATCAGCTCAGCTCCAGCCATTGAGGCAATTTGGGAAGTGAACCAGGAGATGGAAGATCTTTCTCTGTCTCTCCTCTCTATAAATCTTACTTTCTAATAAAATAAATCTGGAAAAAAAAAAAGCTGCAGCTGAAAAGAAGCCACGTGTCCATCTTCTGTCTCAGTAGCATCATTTGCCTCAGCCCCTAGAAAGTTCTCCTTATACCTGGTTCTTGCTCTGGCTTTGCGACTAGCCAGTTAGGGTGTTAGCTAAGTCACTTCTGCCTGCAGACACCAGCTGTTCTCAGCACTGAGCTGAGCTTTCCTTTGTAGAGCACATTCTGTGGACCAAAGAAGGGTTGGCTAAAGTTCAGCACTTGCACTGGGACTGTCCCAGTGTCAGAGTGAAGACAGGACACTCCAATCTCCTCACAGATGGGAGAACCTGGGAGGGCACACATGGCAGTGCCCTCTAAGATATAAGGGTTAAACAGCTCTAGGAGGGGCCGGTGCTGTGGCATAGTGTGGTAAAGTAACCGTCTCTGATAGTGCATCCCATATGGGCACTGGTTCAAGTCCCAGCTGCTCCATTTCCAATCCAGCTCCCTGCTAAAGTGCCTGGAAAAGCAGCAGAGGTGGCCTCAAGTCCTTAAGCTCCTGCAAGGGAGACCCAGAAGAATCTAGGCACCTGGCTTTTGAGTGGCCCAGCCCTGACTGTTGCAGCCATTTCGGGAATGGAGCAGTAGATAGAAGATCTGTCTCTCCCGCTATGATTCTGCCTTTCAAAAAATAAATAAATAAATAACCCTTAGTAATAAAAAAAAAAAAAACTGAAAGAATGCAATTATACTCTTTACAGACCTCTGTCTTCTGTAGCTTATCTCAGTGGAAGGACTTCTAACTCTTCTACAGAGCATATTTGCTCTCCTCTTAGCTCCCTTGGCTAACTGTGCAGTCTACACTGATCACTGGTTGCTAACAAGCACTCCCTGCTGTCCTCACTCCCTAGGGGACCCGCACCAGCCCGGCCAGTGCAGCTGCCAGAGGCCAGTGCAGCTGCCAGAGGCCAGTGCAGCTGCCAGAGGCCCCGTGGGTCCTTGGCTCTGCTGCAGGGTGTCTCCAAGCTGCCTGCTCACCGGACAGTTGTCACAAGCTCCATGTTTCCCAAGTGCCTCCAGTCCATGAAGGTCCCTCTCCAGGTGGCCTGACTGAGGCTTTTCTACCCCAGAGAGCAGTGGTTTTCCTTTCTCACACTCTTGAGAAAGGAAAACATGAGCCATTGACTTTGTCTCCTACGTGTTCTCTAAGTCACTTCTTCCTCACCTCCTCCTTCTTCACTACCGCCTGTTCCAAACCATCCAGCTCCCTGCTACTGCACCTAGGGAAGCTGCAGAGAATGTTGCATCCATGTGGGAGACCCGGAAGACACACCTGGCTCCTGGCTGTAGACTCGCCCATCTCCAGCCATTGCAGCTGTTTAGGGAATGAACTAGCAAAGACATCATGTTCTCTATCTTTATGTAACTCTACATTTCAAATACTTTTTTTAAAGTTCGACTGTAAAGCCACAGAAGATGGCCCAAGTGCTTGGAGCTGGGGCTCTGTCACCATGCAGGAGACCTAAATGGAGTTCAGGCTCCTGGCTCTGACCTGGCCCGGGCCTGGCTGTGCCGGCCATTTGAGAGTGAACCAGTGGATGGGCGATCTCTGCCTTCCAACTCTGTAACCCTTTCAAATAAGTAAAAACATATATATTTATAATTTTATATAATATATAAAATATTTATTTATATATTATATATATTTTTTTATTTTAAGAAAGAAAGAAATGTAGATGTGGGACAGGCATATGGCACAGTGGTTGGGATACCCACATCTCATAGAGGAGTTTCTGGTTACAATCCCAGCAATCTGTTCATGTACACCATGAGTTGGGGACAGCAGGTGGTAGAGGCTCAAGGACTTGAGTCCCTGCCACCTGCACGGGACACCTAGACAGAGTTCTGGGCTCTTTGCTTAGGGTTGACCTGTCTCTTATTGACATTTGGGGAGTGGTTTTCTCTGTGTCTTGCTCTCACTACATCTTTCAAATAAAACCTAAAAAAAATACGCAAGTCAGTCACTGTTTTGATCCTAAATGGTGTCTTTGTGCTTGTCGGATGACAAGGCAGTCCCCAGCATGGCAGGCAGTGCACTGCCCAGCTGGGCCCCTGTACCTTTGCCAGCTCTCCACAGTATTGCCACCCTGGCCCCTCCAACTTTGACAGTTCAGCCCCATCTTCCCCATCCTTTATCTCTGATGCACCCAGTCACCTGCTTAGCCTCTGTAATGCCTTCCACAGCACTCATCACCACTGATACTTGATAATGTTTTCATTGGGTGTGTCTGATCTAGCCCCACACCCCACCCCTGCAAATTATCAGCTGTCAGGAGTTCAACACCAGGGCCTGTCTTATTCACCACGATAGGACATGATCCAAGGTGGTCAGGCTGTGCAAGCCAATACAACAGCCACATCTCTGGCCTGGTGGCGTCTGACCCACCTCCTTCCTGCTGGGGTCCACCCCTTCGGGGAGCTCTTCCACAGGCTTGTTCACCAGCTGTTCCAGCGGGAAGATGGGCAGAGGTCCAGAACTAAAGCTGGTGGTGGCGGTAAACATTTCCACTTGTGGGTTTGTGACCTCCTAGGCGACAGACAGAGACCCAAGGTTATCACTTCAGTTGGTGCATATCTACCTCCCAACTGCCTTCCTCTTGGATGCTGGCGTTAACTCCAAGATGTTCCCAGAGCCCATTACACTTCACCACGCACGCACATGCGTGCGCGCACACACACACACACACACACACACACACACACACACACACTGCTGTGAACGCCACATGCTAGATTAGGGAAATCCAGCCAACCCAAGCCAGTGGGACCAAGCTGACCTGTTTAGTTCAATGACTCATTAACTTCCCCCATGGCGTCCCCCAACCCAGGGAGTTGGAGATCTCCTCTGGGCATTGATGACCCTCGTTCTCTTTATCTACTGAGAGATTGCCATCCAGAAGTCCACTTAACTTTAATTTATCTGTTTATAGCCGAGCACTGTCAGTGCCTTTCAGAAGGGTTTATTGAGTGCTACCTGCAGGTCCTCGCCCAGTGGGCGGAGGAGCCGCATGTGTCATTTCTTGATTATCCCAATGGACTGTTGAAGTCTGCAGAGTTGGCACTGCCCTGTGTCCTCAGGAAGCCTGTGAAGCTCTCGAAAGAAAAAGCTTCCATTGCACATTCACATGGCCCAAGCCTATAGCTTACACACACGTTTCTGGCAACTAACTGGAAAATCAAGTTCTACCCAGAGAGGGAGCCCCAATAGCAAACACTCCATAGGCAAGTCATTTCTCAACGCAGACTCCGGGGACCAACAGCCTGGAACCCCCTGTGACGTGCAGCTTCCCGGGAGTCAAGCCCATGTCTGCAGGTCCGGATCTTTGGGTGAGGAGCCTGAGAATTTGCATTCTCACGGGCTCCTCTCCTCCCCTCTCCCTTGTCCCTGCGTCATCCATGCCCTCACTGGGTACCACTGAGCTTGAGAACAGAGCCTGGGGTGGGGTGGGGAAGGAAAGCTCAGGCTCCTGGTGTTTGTTAGGGATGTCCCCAGTCCCCTCTCTTCCCCAACCCTGCACCCAGGCCACAGCAAGGCTTTGCCACACTTACTGCAGTAATCTGGCTCCAGTCACCAGACTGCCCAAGCTCTGTCTTCAGTTCCTCATAGGATTTGGTATTCTGTGTAAACGTAAATAACATACCTATGGAACTGTGTCACATAATACAATGTTATTAATTTTTAAAAAAACTAAATAACATATCAGACATTCTGCATGGCCAGGAAGTGGGAAAGATGGGTGGGTGGGAAGAAAAGCTTCCTTCCGGGACTCCAAGAGAATGCTGCGGTGGGAGGAGCAGAAGATGGGAGGAGAACCCCCAGCACTGGGGATGGTAACCAATCAGAAAACAGTAGGACAGCCTGTTTATCTGTCCCTGCTCCATACAACCTGGGACATCAGCTTTTCTCACCCCCAGAGATCAACATAAGCAGTGAGAACCCTGCTGGGGCCTGCAGTCCCCCCACCACCACTGGAGAGGCGAGGGGGCAGAACGCACATGGCTTGGAGGCAGACACAGAGCTCCCTGGATTATGCTACCTGCTACCCCAGTGCAGGAGGCTAGACAAGCAGCTGCACCATGCTCCACGCGAGCCGGCCAGCCCAGGAAATCACTGGCAGAGAGGTTGGCATTGGGTGGGACTCAGGGACCTGGAGATCTTTTTCTTTCTTTCTTTCTTTCTTTTTTTTTTTTTTTTTTGTAAGATTTCATTTTATTTTTATTGGAAAGTCAGATATACAGAGAGGAGGAGAGACAGACAGGAAGATCTTCTGTCTGATGATTCACTCCTCAAGTTTCCACTATGGCCAGAGCTGAGCCGATCCAAAGCCAGGAGCCACGAACCTCTTCTGAGTCTCCCACACAGCCGCAGGATCCCAAGGCTTTGGCCTGTCCTCAACTGCTTTCCCAGCCAGAGATAGGGAGCTGCATGGGGAGCAGGGCTGCCGGGATTAGAACCAGTGCAAATATAGAATCCCGGCGTGTGTGACACAAGGACTTTAGCAGTTAGGCTACCATGCTGGGCCCAAGGAGATGATCTTATATCTAGATTTGACTTTGTCCCCCAAACAAAACAACCCATCAAACACAGGATTGGGGAAAAACCAAAATTAAAAAAACAATTTGAGGAAACAAAGCTCTTTGTTCCCTGAATTCCCCTGCTATGCCAATTAGAGCAGCTGCAGCTGTGGTCAGGTCCTGCCTGCATACCTTTGCCCGAGAGTGCCTGCCCTCTGCTTCCACAGAAAGCATGCTATGGTGGCCCAACGCACTGTGCTTGGATCAGGACTACACACATAGCCTATGTTGCTCAATTTAATGCCATGCCATCACGTATCCTTTCAAACCAACACCAAGAATCCATCAATTACCTTCTAGAAGCTTCTGCAGAACTGGCTATATCAACTTAAGCTTCTGCCTGCAGCACCAGCATCCCATATAGACACAAGTTCAAGTCCTGGCTGCTCCACTTTCCATCTAGCACCTTACTAATGGGAAAAAAGCAGCAGAGAATGTCCCAAGCACTTAGGCCCCTGTACCCACATGGGAGACCAGAAGACGTTCCTGGCTTTAGATTGGCCCAGCTCAGTCAGTTCTGGCCATTTGGGGAGTGAACTAGGTGGAAGATTTCTCTCTCCCTTTCTTTCCCTCTCATTCTTGCTCTATAACTCTTTCGAGTATAAGTAAATAAAATAAATAATTTTTAAAAAATTATTTCTAAAAAAGTTTCTGCTCTGACATGAATGGTCTTGTCTGGCTCCATGTGGCCATGGCACATTTAAACCATGGTTAGGGAGGAATTCCATTTTGAATTATGCTAAATGAAACGGAAATTGTCAGTGCCACTCTAATGGATAATACCAGAAGCTTGGGGCGAAACCAATACAGGCAAGGCCCAGGAGCTGCATTAGTTCTGAGACCCCGGCTTCCCTCCCCTTTTCCCTCCCCTTCCCCTCCTCAGAGGACTGAATGGGCTTGGTTTTGCTGCCCTCAGCTGCCCTCCCCCATCAATAACTCCTGCCCAAATCACTCAGTCATGTGCCCCAGCAGGGCGCAGCCACTCACACTCCATTTGAAGGGATCCCAGGCCAGGAACCAGCCCGTGAATGTGGGCGGCTCATTGCCCTGCTTCACCACGATGATGGGGGTGCCCAGGTCACGGCCGCTGGGGTGGGTCTTGAGGTACTCCTGCACGGTGGTGGCAGCTGCCTTCTTTTCCTCCTCGTTGGCATGCTTCCCTATCCAGAAGAAGACCTGGGAAAAGCACCCCCAACACACACGCATTCATTCCTTGCTGTCCTCCCAGACCTGTAGATGCACAGTGGCAGAGCCCTGCTGACCCAGCCACTGCCTGAGCCAAACAGCCTCACTCATGGACATCCCACTGGCCTTGACTTTGCACACGGGAGAAGAGAAAGTTGGATCAATGCTTTCTGTAAACATGCAACTCCCAGCCTCTTGCAAGCTTAAAAACACTCCTGCTGATGGGAACCAAGGAGGATGTTGGGAAGCAGCCCTGCACACAGCTTCTTCTCCCCTCTCCCCCGTCTTTCCTTCTCGGGCTCCTGGGATTCCCGGGGAGAAGGTGCAGCAGGATCTGAAAACACACCAACATGCACCTGCCCACAAAGCCACTTGGTCTCAGCTGAGGAATGCAGAGCTGGGGCGGGGGGTGTCGGGGGGCACAGGTCCCTGGCCCTGGATCCTGTACCTGGTCCCAGACATCCAGCAGGAACACGTCATCCTCTTCAAGGTCGTCCTGGGTGAAATCGGGGATCTCCGTGGCCAAGAAGCGCCCGGTTTGGTTGGAGCATTCAAAAAGCCGCGGGGCAATGGCCAGGTTTTCCTCCTGCAGCCTGCAGGGAGTACAGGAGAAACCATGTGGGGAGGAGGGCAGCATGGGGCGAGGAGACCACAGATTCCCCAGGGCTCTCACCGGCAAGGGTCTCCCCCACCAAATGTTCTGCCTCCCCTCTGTGTTCATCTGGAGGATAAAATCCAGAAACAAATCCCTTCTAGGGAGGTCTTCCATAGCTCTGTGTCTTCCGGTCACTGCCCTCTCCCTCCTTTCTGCTGGCTAGCCCTTTGGCTTTCAACTTTATGGGGTGGGGGGAGGGGCAAAGTGGCAGATCACAGAGATCTTCAGAAAAATTATCTGGGAGGCCAGTGTCCTGGTGTAATTGGCTAAGATTCAGCCTGAAGTGCCGGCATCCCATATGGGTACCAGTTTGAGTCCCAACTGCTCCACTTTCAATCCAGTTCCCTGCTAATGTTTCTGAGAAAGCAATGCAGGATGACCAAAGTGCTTAGGCCTCTGTACCCATGTAGGAGCTCCAGAAGAAGCTTTAGCCTCCAGGCTTTGAACCAGCCCAGCTCTGGCCATTGCAGTCATTTGGGGAGTGAACTCACAAAAACAAACATCTAGAAGTAGGTTATGACCGTCACTCCTCAGGCCTGCACCTGCAGCTAGGGGCAGAGATTCGGCTCTGGAACTTCCTTCCTGAAAGGCATATGGGCCCAGCCCTCTCCTGAGCTGCCTCCCCTATTAACTCTCTTTATCACAGAAACACACCCACCAGGCCCTACGCATGGCATGGTCAGAGGCACAGGCACGGGGCATGGACACGGCTGGCCCTATTGCCCTGGTAGCCCAGCTCACAGTCCTCAGCCCTGGGGACAGAGAGGAGATGCACAGTGGCTAGTCAGCCCTGGGGGATGTTGGGGCACAGGAATTCCAAATTTACCTCTTGGAGTTGGCATAGGGGGCCTTCCCGCCCAGGGCCATCCAGAAGTTGGCTGGCTCCTGCCCTTCCACTACCACCTGCTTCTCCGTCCGCGCGATGGTATCAGCAACTGTCTTGGCCATCTCCCGTTCATCCCCGCTACAGCCCTGGAAAAAGTAGGGTGTTGTGGGGGATGGGCTGTGCTGGGTGAGGCAGTGACCACCGCCACCTCTGTCCTTGACACATTCAGAGGAGAGCACAGATGGGAGAGTCTACATCCCTTCATCCTTATGGAGATGAAGGAAGAGGAATAGGGAAGAGAGAGAGAGAACAAGTCCTGACATAAAGACAGACCTACACAGGGACGGACAAAGGTGCCAGAGACTAAAAGGACACAATGGGCCCAGCACAGTGGCCTAGCAGCTAAAGTCCTCGCCTTGAATGCGCCAGGATCCCATATGGGCGCCGGTTCTAATTCCAGCAGCTCCAGCTCCCTGCCTGTAGCCTGGGAAAGCAGTCAAGGACAGCCCAAAGCCATGGAACCCTGCACCCGCATGGGAGACCACAAAGAGCTCCTGGCTCCTGGCTTGGATCAGCTCAGCACCGGCCATTGCCGTCACTTGAGGAGTGAATCATCAGACGGAAGATCTTTGTCTCTCCTCCTCTCTCTATATATCTGATTTTTCAATAAAAATAAATAAATCTTTTAAAAGAAAAACAAAAAGGACACAAGACACAGATGGGGATGCAGAAGCTCAAAATCCACCAGTAGTCAGAGGTAGGGTGGAGGAAGGGTGCCAGACAGACAGTTCTGGCAGAGGCCCTGGAGTCTGCCCAGGGGCTCAGGGCACTGGGGACCCACCTTCCCACACCACAGGTAGCAGCAGGATGGGGTCTTGAGGATGAAGACATCATTGGAGTTGAGAGATGCAGCCCGGGCTGGCACTTCGAAGGCTTTGGTGTTGTTGTCGCTTGTTCCCCGGACCTGGAACAGCCGTGTGGAAGGCGCAGGCTCCAGGTTGTTGCTGTCCCGGGAGCTGCCTCCCTGGGGGTGTGGAGAGAAGACAGGGAGACAGAGCAGGAGTGACTTAATGAAGCAGACAGACTGCCAGCAGAGGGTGCAGGGAGAAGCAGAGAGGAGGACGTTTTGCCTCCTCCCTCTGCTCTCCAGCTGAGCCATCGCCTGCTGATCTTGGCAAAACTTCCCTCAGCCTTTGGTGATTCCCCGCCAACGCCAACGGAGGGCCAAGCTCCTCCAAACTCCTTTCCACCGTGAACTCTCGCCTGATTCCCGGAGGACTGCAAGCATGCTCCGCTGAGAGCTCAACCTTATTTCCGGCACAGAACTACAGTGCTCTATGGTGCTAGCTGACAGTACTCAGCGAGCTGGCAAGCAGTGTTCGCATGCCTTGTTCTCTCGCCTGTGTAGGACTGTGTAGGGGCTGCATCCACAAACACAACTAACCATGGCTCAGGAATATGCTGGGAGCGGGCATTTAGGTTTTTGTTTTGTTTTGTTTTGTTTTGTTTTTAAGTACAGAGAAAGATCTTCCATTCGTCTGCTGGTTCATTCTCCAAATGGTTGCACTAGCCAGAGCTGGGCTGCTCTGAAGCCAATAGCCTGGTGCTTCCTCTGGGTCTCCCACATGAGTCCAGAAGGGGTCCAAGAACTTGGATCATCTGCCATTGCTTTCCCATGTTATTAGCAAAAAGTCAAATCAAAAGTGAAACTGCCAGGACTTAAACCAGTGCCTATATGGGGGGGGGGAGGGGAGTGTCAGCACCATAGGCAGAGGCCTAACGTACTACACCACAGCACTGGGCTCCTAATTTCTTGTTACTGCAGACTCTTGGAGGAGGCAGCAGTGATGGCTGAGGTAAGTGGGTTCCTGCCCACGTGGCAGACCTCAACGTAGATTGAGAGTTTGTCTCCTAGCTTCAGCCTGGCCCAGCTCTGGCAGCCATTGTTGGCTCTGAGAGGAACACCAGCAGATGGACGCTCATGTACTTTCTCACTGTGTGCCTCACTGCCTCTCAGATCAAAAGATAAACTCCAGGGGGAAAATAAAACTGTATTTGTTTTGAACACATGCAGCCTTTTTTTTCTTCTCGTTATCTCCAAACAATATCCTAGAACAAGCATTCACCTGGCACTTACATTCTATCGGGTATTATAAGCCATTCATTCTCCCTGAAGGAGCCAGTGCTGGTGGTTAGGGTGGTGGTTACAACACTGCTTGGGATGCCCCGCATCCCGTACCACAGAAACTGGGTTTGAGTCTTGGCTCCTCTCCTTGTTCTAGTTTTCTATGAACATGTGCCAAGGAGAGCGGGTGACGGCTCAAGTGTGCCACCCACTTTGGAGACCTGGAAGGAAATCCGGGCTCCCAGCTTCAGCCTGGAGTAGTCCCTACTGTGGTGGGCATTTGGGGAGCAAACCAGCAGACGAGAGATCTCTCCTTTCTTCTTTCAAATAAATTAGATGAATATATATATGAATATATATGCGTACATATGTATATATATGTGTATGTATGAAAAAAGATGTATGTATGTTCTAGGCAAGTACTGTGCCACTTACATAAGGAATTTGAGTGCTCCCAGAGTTTGGTATCCATAGGAAGCACTGGAACCAATCCTCCAGGGAAACAGAGGGAGGTGGCTGCTTACTAGGTACTCAGCACATCACTTATTGCTTAATTGACTGCAGTCCAGGCAAATCAGCCCAAACCATTTGTTTTCATGCAGAGGATTCAGGGAGTTACGTGATGAGCACTTGTTATTTCAGGAGAAATGCAATAGCTGTTTCCATCCCCAAATGGACAGAGGTGATGGGGCCTTTAATGATATCCCTTGCCCATGAATAACTGGGCTTCTCCCAAGTCCCAACTATTCCCTTTCCCTTTCCAATCCCCTCCTGGATGCCCAGTTCCTCGTCATCATGCCAAGCGCACCTGGTAGACCACCATGCGTCCCTTGAAGATAGACATGAGGTGAGGTGGCTCCTTGCCCATGGTGACCCGGATCTGAACTGGTTCGTCATTGTACTTCTGGTCCAGGATGACAGCCTGATAGGCCGAGGCTGCAATCTCATCCTGGCTGGCCTGGTTGCCCTGGAGATGAGCAGGCAGGAAGTGGTGAGAGAGGAGAAGCCCTTAGCCTGAACAACTCCATCCCCAGTTTTGACCTGACCCCAAAATCAGCATTCCTTTCCGCCAGCCCTGCACTCCAGACATGGCCAAAAGCCCAGCTGTATCCCACACCTCCATTCTGATCCCAGTCCCAAACCCAGGGCTTTTCCAGTCCCCAGGCAAGGCCCAACACCAAATCTCCTCCAGTCCCTACTGTCCTCCCTCTTGGGGACACCATGGGCATCACAGCCCTCACTTCCAGCACCCAAGTCTCTCCCTTCTGCCTCACATCTGGACACAGATACCCCCAGGTGGAGCAGGTGCACAGCAGGTACAGAAGACAATGACACTTGGACAGTAGATTAAGAGGATCAAAAGGAAAGGAAAAGAGTCATAAATGAGGTGCCTCATGGGACCTCAGAGCCCCCAAGCAGTCCCCAGAGGAATCGGGTTGTCCCTGGAAGGGGTAGGCTGCCCATCCTCCAAAGTGTTCAATTCTGTGGATACAGCAGGGGAACAGCGGAGGGGAGCTGAGCTGGCCGGCACGGGTGGGGCCTGACCTGCCAGATGTAGAGCAGGTAGTGCTGCTTCTCGCCAATCAGGTAGGTGTAGAGCAGCAGGTAGCAGTCGCCCCCGAAGAAATGGCCCAGCCACCTGGACTCCACAGGCACCAGCTCCAGATTCTCAATGCGCCACACCTGGGATCAGGATCAGGTCAGCGTGAGGACCAAGATGGTAGGGGAGCTTCCGTCCCCTCTCCAGCCAGCAGGGTCCTTCTCCTAGCCCACCTACCTGCACCTCCCCACTCCCGTCATCCACCATCTTCTGCTGGGCGGCCACCTGAGGCTGGACGTGCATGGAGGTGGCATCAAACTTCACCTGTTCCACCTTAGCTGGAAGATGGTGGGTAGGAGCATGGGGTAGAATATCATGAGCCCAACTATCATTAGTTGAGGTCCTCCTCCTTGTTCTCACCACAGCCTTGAGTGATGGCTACAATTCTTAGACCCATTTTATGGATGAGAAAAACCGAGGCTAGACTTTCAGTGGCTTACCCAAGCCCACACAGACAGCTGCAGAGCCATATTACAGAATGCTATCTCCTTGCCCCTAAGGCTGAAGAGGGACAAGTACAAGGCTCTAGCCTGAGACCACCCTGACCCCTAGAACACTTGGGCTTCCAGCATGGAAACAAAACACCCCTGGCCTTTGTTCGGCACTTCCCTTCCTGCACCCACCCCGGCCCAGAGCTTCAGCGCAATCCTCACCCACAGAGCCCACAGTGTGGGTTTTGCCCAGGCCCGAGGTCTGGTTGGGCAACGTCCACTTCTGGAAGAGCTGCTGGAAGATGGCTGACTCGGCCCCGTCATTCTGCACCTCCACCTGTGTGCTTGCTGGGTACTGCTTGGCTTTGATGAAGTTCTGGGTTGGGGGAGGCAGCAGGGAGAGGGGATCCCTTGAGGCTCTGTCCTTGCCCTCTGTCCCCAGCCCCAATACTGACCGCCTGCCCCAAACTCGAATCCAAACCCACTTCCAAGGGTGACTTCCAACCAAACCCTACTGTGACCCCAAGTCAAGCTCAAGCCTCACTGAGACCTCAGCCCTAACTTTAAACCTCAACCCCGTAATCAGAAATCAGACCTGGCCTGACCCCACCACAGCTCCAAACCACGTGCCACGCCCAGCTCTTGTTCCATCGCAGAGCCCAGGCCAACCCTGACAATAGCCCCGCTACCCTCCTTAGGAAGGCCACTTCCTGTTTCCTTCTGGTGTCCTAAACCCACGCATGAGTGCAGGCAACTGAGAGCCACACCCTGGGCAGGCCCTGCTGGGATCCTGGCATGCAAAGACACTCCACCCCTCCCTCAGTGCAGGCCAGGCCAGCACCCGGCCCAGCCCCTCTCCTTGCCTTCCTGACCTCCATCAGGTGCTACGCCCTGGCCACATCTACCTGCCCTCCCCGTGCTGCTTCAAGCCCCTCCTTACCAGTGCCTGGTTCATGGCCTCCTTCCTCTCCTGGGCGTTGGCATTCTTCCCCCTCCACACAAAGATCTTCAGGCCTGCTTGGTCCAGGATATAACAATCCTGGAGTCAGAGAGAGAGAGAGAGACTCAGGGGAGAGCCTCATGGTGTTGGGTGCTAGGGTAGCGACAGGCACAAAAATGTCCTTCTAGGGGGCAGATGCCTGGTGCCCATGGGACCTCTACACCCCAGACTGGAAATGCCAGGCTTGGGGTCCAATTCCAGCAGGTAGTTGCTCAAGCGTTTGGCTCCTTAATACACATGTAGGAGACCTCAGTTTTGAATTCTAGCTAAGTGTCTCTCACACCTTGTCCTTCTCTGCCGTTCAGATAGATTTAAGCTTTTTTGCTTTGATTTGCTTTTTTGTGTGTTTTGGGGTTTTTTTTATTCTATAAATTTTTTAAATAAAAAAGTAAGTCCTGGCCCAGCAATGTGGTATAGCACAGTAAGCCTTCACCTGTAGCACTCAAATATGGGAATATGGGTGCCAGTTGGAGTTCTTGCTGCTCTACTTCCTATCCAGCTCTTTGCTATGACGTAGAAAAGCAGTAAATGACAGCCCAAGTGCTTGGGTCCTTGCACCTGTGTGAGAGACTCAGCATAAGCTCCTTGCTCCTAGCTTCAAGTTGTAGCAATTTGGAGGGTGAATGAATGATCTCTCTGGTCTTTCTCTTCCTCTCTGTACCTCTGCCTTTCAAATAAAAGCCCATCATTTAAAAAAATAAGTCTTGGGGTGGGGGATTTTGACACAGTAAGTTAAGTCATCACTTGGGATGCCAGCATCCCAAACAATGCCTGGCCTGAAGTCCCAGCTACTCTGTCTGAGCCAGCTTCCTGCTAATGAAAGTGCCTGGCAGGGCGGCAGATGATGGCCCAGTCCTTCAGTTCCTACCCACATGGGGAGACCCGGATGAATGAATCTTTAAAAAGCAATAAAGACATATAGTGACACAGTGAACCTTTGAGTATAATGCAAATTTAAAAGTAGGTTATCTCAGACCAAAAAAATAAACTGAGAAAGCACCTTGGAGGAAAAAAAAAAATCAATGAAGAGATCTTTAACAACAAGTCTCTCCTCTCCTGGAATTTCTCCTGCTTGGGGGAAAGGTGGACCCGCTGGCTTTGGGGTCCACCTTCCCGTCCCCTCCCCCACTCCATCCTCTCACCTCATGATTGAGAAGGTCCTGTGTGAGCGGCCGCGTGGCAATCTCCCTAACCACCATCTTCCCCTCCGCGTCAGACATACTACAGGACAAAGGCAAGGTAAGGTAAGGCACGGTGGGGCCCCTTGGTCAGGGCACCTCGCCCACCAAGAGGCCTCCTCCCCAGCGCCAGAGAAGACCCCAGCTGGATACTCACTGGTACAACTTGAGGGCAGCCTTGAGTGCTGGCTCCACCACCGAATCGGGCACAGCAGCCTTCAGCTCCCGGCGCTGGCCCAGCACGTGATTCATAATCTCCATCAGCTGAGGGGACGCGGCCTCATCCTCCCCATCTACCACACCCACGTAGGTTCGCCCACCCCTCTCCTGGTCTCGGATCTCCTTGGCCAGAGTCATGCCCTGTGGTAGGAAGGCATTGGTGACCCATGAAAGGCTGGCTGGGGACAAGGCAGTGCCTGCCATGCCCAGACCCAGGGCCCCACAGCAGCAGCAAGGGACCTGTCAGAAATATAGGTTTCCCCATGGACAGGAGGAGGACGGTGCTTGGGAGCTTCATTTGGTGATGGTGTTTATTGGCCTTGATCAAGAACTAGGATCTGCCTAACTGAACTGCCTTTTAATCCCCAGCACCAGCCACATACCTGTTGAGGCTGCTACCCATCCTGGCCTCAGAGCCTCTGCCCACCCAACTGGTGCACTTGTTTCTGTCTCCAGCCCAGCCCAGGGCTCTCGTTTTAGCTGGACTCTCCATTTTCCCCCAATCTGTAGCTTTTTGGTGTTTTACATCTCAGAAAAGAAGACACTGCCAAGTTCCAAAGTTCTTGGACCCAGTGGGCAGCTCTGGATACCACTCATGCCTACCTCCCGGCCCCTCTTATCTGACACACGTGAGGAAGTCCCATAGGTGCCATCTTCCCTAGGGCCACCTGCCATAACCATGTACCTAGTCTCTTTCTCTTGTCTCTCTCCCCTACCAGACAGCAGCTGCAGGCCTGAGTGTAGTGAGGAGGCTCTCCGCTGTTTCACGTCACCCCTGCATCCCCCAGCCAGGGCACAGGCTCTGCCCCACCCACCCACCTTCACTCCACTTTCCTGGGTGAACCCCAAGACACACACAGCACCCCACTCCGCCTGCCCCATAGAGATAACTTCAAGCACAGCACCCCAAGAGCCAAGAGGAGATAAGCATGGGAACACGGGCACCGGTCAAAAATCTGGTCAGTTTGACTATGAGGCAGAGCAGGTAGCGGAGAGGCACCTGCGCAGGCGTACCCTGAGTCTCTCCATGCGGTTGCTCTCTGGCCCATTCCACTGGATGATGAGCTTCCCCAGATCCAGCAGGAAAACATCCCCGCGGTTGAAACTCTTCCAGGACATCTCCACCTAGGGGGCAAGTAGGTCAGGGGAAACCCAGACCCCAATCAGAGTCCATCTCTTGGCTGCCTCTCCCTGTCCCCCATGGCTGCTTGGTTCCTGCCTTCTACCCCAGCACCCCCAGGGAATCTGTCCTACCTCTCCGGCCACCACGTTCCTCTTGCCCTTGACATGTAGCAGCCGACGGACATCGTAGGAGTTGGTCTCCACCTGCTTCAGGCCGGAAGCCACGCCCCCTTTCTGGATGCTGAGAGGAAAAGAGAGCTGAGCCTAAACATGGACTGGCAGGTGTGCAAGACCCCTAAGTCCCCAGGTCCTGGCTGCCTGGCTGCCTCTAGGGTTAGCTGAGGGCAATCTGGGACCCAGTCAACCTAAGGAGACACTTAGAGTTGAACTTAAAGGAAGAGGTCATTGTCAGGCTCCAGCAAGGGCCAGGGCAGCTTGTCTAATAATAGTAAGAGCCTCCTTAAAGACTGCACCCTAGGGACAGTGGCGCTGTAAACTAATCCTCCATATATGTCTCCAGCAATCTATATGGGCACTGGGCAACCCATATGGGCATCAATTCATGTCCCAGTTTCTCTGCTTTCCATCCAGTACCCTACTAATGGCCTAAAAAAGTAGCAGAGAATGGTCCAAGTGCTTGGGCCCCCGCACCCACTTGAGAGACCCAGAGGAAGCTCCTGGCTCCTGGCTTTAGATCTGCTAAGCTCTGGCTGTTTGGACCATTTGAGCAATGAACAAGCAGATTAAAGATCTCTCTCTCTATATATATATATATAAGTCTGCCTTTCAAATGAAAATACATAAATCTATTTTTACAAATCTGCATCCTGGGCCCGGCAGTGTGGCCTAATGGCAAAGTCCTCCCCTTGAACGCTCGGGATCCCATATAGGCACCGGTTCTAATGCCGGCAGCTTCACTTCCCATCCAGCTCCCTGCTTGTGACCTGGGAAAGCAGTCGAGGACAGCCCAGTGCTTTGGGACCCTGCACCTGCGTGGGAGACCTGGAGGAGGTTCCTGGCTCCTGGCTCCGGATTGGCATAGCACCAGCCATTACGCTCACTTGGGGAGTGAATCTTCGGATGGAAGATCTTCCTCTCTATCTCTCCTCCTCTCTGTATATCTGACTTTGTAATAAAAATAAATAAATCTTTTTTTTAAAAAAATCTGCATCCCTAGACTCTTCCTTGCCTTACGCAGATCCTACCAGAGCAAGGAGCCTGCACAGATGGGCGTATGGTAACATAAAATCTAACAAAGGGGCAAGAAGGGCTGGGGACCTGTGAATAAAGTCAGGGCCCTGAGGGTGAAGGCAAAGATTTGCAGTAGAAGAAAAAGAGGGAAAGGCACAATTCAAACATCCCAAGCGGTGCATGGCTGCTGTGGCATGGAAAAAGGAGAGGGATACAAATGGGAGGGGTGGGGACTGCGGCAGCTCAGAGTAGGCAGTTTCCATGAGCAAGGCCAGTAGGCCAGAACCACAGAATCTTCCAGAAAGGCCAGTAATGTGGAGAGAGAAGAGAGCAACTACTTGCCTGCTGGCCAGAGTAGGGCTTGAAAGTGCTGCTTCGAAAGTGACCTTTAGCACTGAGCTGTGGTCCAGGACACGCAAGCAATAGCTAACGGCCTCAGGGCCTGGCCAGGGTCAAGCAGAGAGCCGCAGCAGAAAGGTGCAGGAGGAGAGAAGTGATAGAAGGGTCACTAGAAGGGGCTTGCGCTGTGGATTCCATAGGGATGCCGGTTTGAATCCCAGCTGGTTCGCATCTGGTCCAGCTCCCTGCTAAGCCACCTAGCAAAACAGCAGAGGAGGGCCAACCCAAAGGCTCAGGCCCTGCACCCACATGGGAGGCAGGGAAGGAGCTCCAGGCGTATGGCTTTGGCTTTGCTCAACCCCAACTGTCACAGCCATTTGGGGAATGAACCAGCAGATGGAAGAATTTCTTTTTCTCTGTCTCTCTCTTTCTCTGTAACTCAACCTTTCAAATAAATAAATCATTTTTTTAAAAAAGTGTCCCCAGAAGTCCATGTGGGGCCCATTTTACACACTACTCCAAACTTTGGGCTCCCTCCTGGGGCCCTGATCACCTCCACGACGCTTTCTGGCCCCCAAGTGTGGTGTTCCTGCCCCTGTAGCCTGTGTGCACCCTGCCTCCCCGACCCCCTCGCCCGTCCCCAGGCCTCCTTACACAAGGCCCTGCTTGAAGTAGCTTCGGAAGGTCTCACTCTCATTGCCCTGGACCTCGCGGTGCTGGACAGCCTTGCCCTTCAGGTAGTCATCTATCTGTGTGGTGTAGATGGCCGCCGCCCCCTGCTCGTCCTGGGATGAGGCCTGGCCGATCCAGAAGTGGATGTCATAGGACAGGTTGTTGCCTGTCTTGTGGGTCTAGGGAGAGAGGACAACCAGGACACTGACATGCTGGACTCCTGTGGCCCCCTTTTTACGCTGCACAGCCTCTCACACGTGGGGCCTGGGTCGCAGGAGATACATGCCGTGGGCTGGCAGCCAGGGACCTCTCTAACCCACAGCAGTGCCTTCCCCTCTATGCCCTTCCCTGCCTCATCTCAGACAGGGATGAGGCTTGGACCACGCCGGTGTTTCCCAAGCAGATGCATGAGGCCTGTGAGGAAACCAGGAAATGCTGCCGAGTCCCCCTTCGGGATGCATGGGGCAGGCCCAATGTGAAGACACTCAAGTGCTTACTGTAAGATGGAACGGTATATGCCCATCCTCTTGGTTGCTACATAGCTTATAAAACTGAACAGCACTGAACTGAATACATGTTACACTCCCAACATTCATTATAATGTTACACTGTCTGGTTACAATGACAGGGGTAAGTCTGGGCGTAGGCATCTTGTGCACCAGCTGCTTGAGATAACTGCATCCTGTATCACAGCATCTGAGCTTGAGTCCCGGCTCCACTTCCAGTTCCAACTTCCTGCCAAGGCAAACTCTGGGAGGCAGCAGGTGATGGCTCACCTGGTTAGGTCCCTGCCACCCATGTGGGAGACTCAGTTGGGATTCCAAGCTTCTGGCTTCAGCCTACTCTAGCCCTGGCTGTGGTGGCAAGTTGAGGGGTGAAAAAGTAGATGGAAGATCTTTCTCTGTCTCTTCCCTTGTATCCTCTTTGCTCCATCTTCCCAAGAAATAAAAAGTGCAGGTGGTACCAGGGTATACTGAAACCAGGAAGGTACTAAGAGGGTGACTAGAGATTTGGGAAGCATGGACTTGAGTGACAGTGACATCGTGCCAGCTCAGACAGTCCCCAGGGAAGAAGGTCACCTCTCCTGAGAGCAGCTCAGGGACAGGAAAGGCCTCTGAAGTTCCATTCCTGAGTTGTGCAGAGCTACCTCAAGGGGGCACACCCTCAGCTTCCTGGGCACCCCCACCCTCAATCTGCAGTCTGCCCCCACAGGCCCAACTCACTGCCAGGACCACGTAGCAGTCTCCATCGTAGAAGCTCCCAAAGGTGTTGGAAGGAACAGGCACCATCTGCATGGCCTAAGGAGAGGAGGGGGCACAGGGGTTGCCTGGGAGCATCCAGACCCAGGAGGAAGAGAGCGGGGGAAGCCGGTGGGGAGGATGCATGGGGTGGGGGCCAAGAAAGGGAATCCAAGGCCAAGGTGAAAAGGAGAGAAAAGGGAGAGGGAGAAAAGAAGCCTGCAGCAGGGGTGTTGCAGTCAGCGGTGGGGGGGGGGGGGGGGGTGTTAGGGGCAGCAGGGAGGAGAGCGGGAGAAGGGAGGGCTGGCATGCTGCAAATGATGGGTACTCCTGCTCTGTCCCCCTCCAGCCCCGCCCAGAGCTCACCTCAATCCTCCATATCCGGATGCCTGGGGTGGTGACATTGAGAGAGTTTTTCACTTGTGTGCTTAGTTCAGTCATGATGGCGGGTGAGCCTAGGGCAGAAAGCAGGCGTGTGGGAGCAAGAGCCAAGTTGCTGGGAGTGTCCCAGCTTTGGGGACTGCTCTTCCAGCCCAGGTACCTGGAGAATCCAACAGTGCCCTGAGGCTACAGGCTGGGGGCGGGGCAAGGTGGCCTGGGGAGCTGCCCCTTCCCCTGACACTGGGCTCTTACTGGATTTGGCCTCCCACTGTCCTACCTGGCTCTGCTCCAGACCCACTCACACCCCCGAGCCCATCACCCCTGGAAGAAAGCCCTGGCAGTCAAGGCCCTTCTTCAGCCCCACATTCTCTTTGTAAGCATGTTCACCCAAAGTCATGCTTGATGAACAAAATATCACCTGTGAAGCAGAGGCAGCTTGGGGGGGTGAAGCTGCCCACCTCCCCTTCCAAAGGGGCACAGGGGTTGCCAGGGAACCCAGCTGAGGGGTCAACACACAGCTCTGGCTCCTGATGCTCATCCAGCCCCTGAGGAGCAGTGATGATGGCTCAAGTGCTTGGATTGCTGCCACCTGCATGGGAGACCTAGACTGAGTGCCCATCTTGCAGCTCCAGCTTGGCCATGGCAGGTATTTGGAGGAAAAAACAGCAGGTGGGATTTCTCTCTCTCTCTCTCACACACACACACACACACATATTCTCTCTCACACACATATTCTCTCTCTTCTCAAATGTATTATTATTATTTTTAATATAAAGAAGCTAGACATAGGGGCCGGAGCTATGATGAAGCGAGCTAAGCCTTCATCTGCCACACCAGCATTCCATAATGGACACCGGCTTGAATCTTAGCCTTTCCACTTCTGGTCTAAGTCCCTGCTTATGGCCTGGGAAAGCAGTAAAGGATAGCCCAAGTTCCTAGGCTCCTGTTCTCATAAGGAAAATTCAGAATAAGCTCCTGGCTCCTGGCTTTGGATCATCCCAGTTCTGGCCATAGCAGCCATCTGGGGAGTGAACCAGCAGATAGATCTCTCTCTTTCCTCCTTTCTCCATATTTCTACATTTCCAATAAAAATAAACGAGTCTTAAAAAAAGAAAAAAAAAACATGTGCAGCCATGTTCTGTTTTTCCCTGGTTCCCCACCAATACCCCTTAACCTCCTTCTGGGGGTCTACAAAATGGAGCAATTTCTGCTTGCTCAGTGCCAAAGCCCTGGGCCAGCATCCTGTGCTGGGTGGATGAATGGATGGAGAGAGAGAGTAGATGGGGGCAGGGGGAGGAAGGTGGAATGAATGAATGAATAAGGGAATGAATGAATGAATGAGGGAATGAGTGCACCTGTGGCTGGGAGGCACCCTGCTCCCACTGAGCTGGAAGAAACCTGCCCTTGCCTGCAGCTGACACCCCCCCCCCCTTGCACTGCAGCCCCGCAGCTGCCAGCTGCATGCCAGCTCATCAGCATCACCTGGGAGCACTCACAAATGCCTGGTGCCTGTCCCAGGGATTCTGAATTAATTAGGCCTGGGGAGGTGGGGGGGGGGCTGTTAAAAGTCCCCAGGGATTATGACCTGAATGAAAGCAAGGAGAGCCACTTGTCCCCTGCTCTGGGGCCCTTCCCTGTAAGGCTGCAGGCCACCCATTCTCCTCCAGGTGCTGCCAGCCTGTTACAGCTGGATTGCTCCTTGAACCCATGAATAATGAATGAAAGGCCAGGTGACCCCAGGATCAGGCCCCAGAACCAGGCCTGACAATCTCCAATCCATCTAATCTCTTCTTGCACCTCGGCTCTGAGTCACCTCTTAGAAAAATTAGCGACTCAGCCTTTCACTATAGAAAATCCCTCTTGGGAGCCACGGGGTGGCTGTTCTCCACCACCACCCCCTTTCTCCCTGGCCCACACTCAGGAGCATGGAGGAGGCTTGTGCCCTTTTGTGGATCCCCCTCCCTGGCAGCTTGCCGCGTTCCTAGGTGCTCCAGGGCCTGTTGGACGCCCGCCGTGGGCTGTGGCCTTCTCCACCAAGGAGTCCTTGAGCTTCCACGGCCTCCTAGCTCAGCACAATCAATGCAAGTCCAAAGGAGAAGGTTCTCTGGTTATGTCAGCTGCCACCGCCTTGCCCGCCACGCCCCTTTCTCTACTAGCTGATCACAAAGGAACCATGTTCCTCTCTGAGCCAGAGGCAGGTGGTTGCTGGTCCACTCTCTCGGAGATGTGGGGGCAGATGGGAGAGAGCATCCTTGCTCCTTAGAGAAGGGGTTCAGGGTTCTCTTTCCACACGGAGGGGGCCTGGTCTCCTTAGGGTCAAGGGTGGGCCAGGGATCTCCAAAAAGGGTTGACTGTGAGAGAGGGTGCCTGCCCCACTCCTCTGGGCACCCCCCCAGCTGTTCAGAGCAGAAGCTGCTGCCCCACCCTGCTGAATGGTGGGAAGCTGCTGCCCTCACTCCTGCCCTGACCGGATTCTGCCTGCTCTTAGCTACCATTCACTGACTCAACTGCACTACCCATCAACCTCTCTTCTGCGTCCCTGGCTCAGTGAAGGGAAGAGCCAAACCAAAACCCCGGCCAGGTACACAGCCCCCTGTCCTCTGCCCCTTTCTGTCCCCCTTGATCCACCTAAATGCCTTCCAGCCAGCACTCCGGGTACCTGGCTGACCTCAGCTGCTGCTGCTGGGCCTGGCCCAGGCTGCTGGCCTGCCCACCCTCCCTCCACACACCCTATGTCAATTGCCTCACGCACAATTTACACATACTTCACTTCTTTTTTTTTTTTTTTTTTTTTTTTTTTTTTTTTTTTTTTTTTTTTTTTTTTTAGTTTTAAAGTAAGATTTATTAGAAAAGTTGAGAAGAGAAGACTCCTGTCCTAGCGACGGGAGGGGGTTTGAGATAGAAAAGACCCTTACCTCCTGCCATAGTGGCAGGAGGAAAAGGACCCCAGTGCTCTGCCATAGTGGCAGGAAAATAAGAACCCTAGTCCTCTGCCATAGTGGCAGGAGAAGAATAAGCAAAAACCCCCACATACTTCACTTCTAACTCAGCCTAGGCTTTCTTCCAAGAAGTTTTTTTTTTTTTTTTTTTTTTTTTTTGGAATGCTCCAGCTAGGCCAGGGATCCTTCTTTGTGGGTCTCAAGATGTTCGGCATTGATATCTACCTCTCTGGACCCCAGAACTGTGCCAGAAGGAACACAGCTGAGTTCCCAGCTCCTAGCACACACCAAGTGCCCTCATTTGTGAAGCCCGATGACTGGAGGGAGGCGGGGGTGTCTTCCTAAACTTCCTGTGGCCACATTTGAGCTCCTGCTCAGGTGCCGCTGCGCAGAGCCGTGGGGTACCACCATGGCTGTCATTGCGCAGCTGTGTAGCTCTGAGCTGAACCTAGATATGCTAAAGACACGAACAGTGTCTGTGATGGCACAGGAAGTGGACATTCTCAGCCACTCCAGCCCCAGGCTCTGACGTTCTGTCTAAGAGGGAGCCACGCAGGTGACCAGCATGCCCTGTGACTCTGAGCATAATGGGATCCCAGTGGCTATGGAAGCCGGGAGGGGCAGGTCCTGGTGGAGGGGAAATGGAGCCCAAGCTGTGCTGGGAAATGGCCTGCATCTGGACCTGAGGCCTTGTCCCACCAATCCCTGCCTCTACCTTCGCCCATTCAATCCCTGATGCCTGCAGGTCACCTCCTACATCCGGGAGAAACAGGATGCAGTCAGAAACATTCCAGATGAGGAAGAGACAGCCCAGAGGAGCTGAGCATGGCAGACAGTGAGGCTAGAGGGAATCACTAGTCCTGATTTGCTCATACTTCTCCCTGTTTCTGATGAAGCAGTTCCATGCCCCAGTGGCCCTCCTCAACCCAAGCTGAGCTGGGGTGATGGACACGCAGAGCAGGATGAGGGCAAGCATCAGATGGAGCACTGCCCCCCACCCCACCTGACCTTGTGGAGGCTGGGGACAGGCTGGGCTCCTTGTTCCTCCCAGAATCTCAGAAGGCCAGTCCCACCCTGAGGCCCATGCCAAGGGGCTGCAGGAGGCACCAGGTTGCCAGCAAGAAGCAGGGCCACTACCCTCTTACACCGCCCCTGGTCCCCAGCAGTCCCCAGCAGGTGCCTTACCTGTCTAGAAGAGGCAGCCACCACTTGGGAGACCTGGGAAATTATGGCAAGCCAGCTGCAGGAAAGCGAACTTTGTCCCTACCTTCAGCCCTCCTCCTCTAGGACCAGCCCTCACCATATAAGGGAAGATAGGGCCCTAGAGAGAACATAGGTGAGGGGGTGGGGAGGCAGGTGCTGCCAGGTCCCTGGGAGCTGCAGTCAGCCTGTCAGCCAGGGCTGGGGGGCCCCACCCTGGGCTCCTAAGGGAGCACCTAGGCAGGAGCTGCATCTCTGCCTGGGCGCTACCTGCACGCTTTTCTTCCTCCCAGCCTATGGGAAGGTCCAGTTGTTTTCCCACCTGCCAGGTGGATTTGGTTCAAGTAGGAAGAAAGGCAAGGGTGCTTGGAGCCCCAATCCTGCACCTGGACACCTGCAGGACCTATGGGGTCCTGGCACTCCCGGGGGGTCTCCTCCATTCAGCACGACCCCCACCCTGCTCCATTTTCCTCCCTCCCTCCACAAGCGTAAGTGCTCACCCTCCCGAACTGCCCTGATCACGCCCCAACACCTTCCTGGAGTTTTTATGAGTTGCCATAAACCAGTGCCTTTGGACTCTGCTCTGCCATCTTCTGCCGGAAGCCAAGCTTCCCTTTCTAGCCCCTGGCTCCAGGGGTCCCTGGCAGCTTTCTGCCTCAGGTTCTGACCTGCCACTGCCTTAGAACACAAACTCAGGACCCTGGACATCTGTGGTGATCCGCCTACCCCTGAGCCCTGGTGCCCAGGAGCAGGCTGGGAAGGACTGGGCTGGAAGAGGGCAGCTCCCCTTCCTCCAGACCACACTTTCCCATGTGTGTCTGATCAGATAGGAGGTGGTGCTGTTGTGGCTTTGGAAACAACGTAACACTGTTTCTCATGAATTCAGAGGAATCCAAGTTCTATTCGATCACACAGACAAGC